CATGAGGATCGTTACAGCTAAACTAGCTTTAAATTACTTTAGAATTCTTATAAAAAGCTCTTTTATAGTTATACTTACACTTAAATTTTACTTTAAGCTTTAAATAACACTTAATAAACATACTAAGCTAGTTTATACTAATATAGCCTAGATTATACTTAGTGTAAGGCCGGGATGGCGCTTACGTGTAAGGCCGAGATGGTGCTTACGTGCGACGGGTATATATACTATTCTGTACGCAATAATTAACGTTGGTTAATTATTCGCACCTTTTTGGTTGTATTGGCGTAGTGGTACAGAGCTCCGTCCTTACACTTAGTGTGTAAAGAATTAGCTATATTAGCTATAGCTGCTAGCTAAAAAGAAAATCTTAATATATCTAGCTTAAGTATATACTTAATAATTACTTACTTTTTATTATTATCTAGCTTTTATAAGTTTACTATAGGCTTAGCTTATAAAAGCTATTTAGTATATTAGTAATTTATTATTTTTTACAAGACTTTATACATAGCTATAGCATGTTACTTAAAAAGTATTATATTTTATTTAAAAGCTTAAAGTGTAAGCTATATCTAATATTCTTTTAATATATCTAAGTAGTGTTATTAGAAATGTATTAGTGTAAAAAAAGTAGTTTAGTGTAGTCTTAGTAAAAGTAAGCAACTTAAGTGTGTAAGTAACTTGCGAGCTTATAATTTTGCGACTCGGTATTGTAATATATAAGATTTACTTGTTACACAGACATCCTTCATTCATACTTAGAACAAGCTACAAACTAGTCGCTACGTTCTGTTAAAAGTCACACACCAAGCCAAGTTAACGCAAGGCATGTTAGTCCACGATTTCCATTCCCCTCATACTAAACATACAGTCATTACTTTATCCAAGGTGCCTTATCCTCACCCACAATAAAGTCCCTCCCGATGGGCCTCCACATCAACCAACCAGTTAAATCATCATTCTGCAACTCCTTCCACCTCGGACTAGGATCCTCAACCTCCACATCTGGTGGGATCAATTCAATAGGACCAAAACCACATTTTTCATACGCCCCTCTCGCAGACGGCAAAGAGCTGATCACCGTCTCGATACCGAGTTCATCGGCTTTGGCCGTTCCCCAGCGGATCAGCATGCGGCCTGCTCCGCGATGTCGGTGTTCCTGGGCGACGACTAGAGAGAGGAGATCTGGGGTATGTTAGAAACCTGCCTAACTGGAGCTGTTACGCACACATACCCATATGCGCCCTTGGAACCCTCGCACTTAGAAAACCCCACAACCCATCAATGAACCTCTCTGCGAACTTCCTCTCCACACTCCCCTCCGGATGCCAATGTGCTACCGTACCTCCACCTCCCTCGCCACCACCTTCTGTCTTCTCCTCCTTCATCTCATTAACTGCCCAAATCGCCGTCCCAATTACACCACCGTGCTTCCCAGCCGTCGCCTCTGTATCCACAACCTTAAGCCACCATTTCTTCTCCGGATCATGTGTCCGAAAGATTTTCCGTGTCCGACCTCTCCGGTCTACAATAGCGTCTTCACGGTTGGGGATGTTGGGGCGAAAGTGCTTGAGTTGGGGGTTGTATGGTACTTGCCAGGCGTCATAGTCCATGGCGCAGATATCGTCGAAGTCGGCTTCGTCCTGGACAACAGAGACGATGAGTGGCATGGCTAGGTTGATTAGAGGTATTTAGGTAGACCTGGTACTATCTAGAGGTAATGAGAAAGGATAGGGAGAGTTTTGCAGTTCACTGTTTCTCCCGAAATTATGCGCAAGAGAGTGTGATGTGTAGCGTTTGTGTGGAGTGTGTGAATCTAACGGAAGAAAGTATCAACACTTGGATAACACCACATCTTAAATACCCGTAGCTTCAGCTCCAGATTTGGCCCCATCTTCCATTTTCGCTTACGAGCTTGAAGCTCTGAACTACATTTGAATAGTTGTTCGGACCTCGCAACCTCCTCCCTACATAGGCAGTTACTTTAAACGGACGAACCTAGGAAGGAACGCACTTGCATGACCCCGCAATCCTCGAAGACGCCACCAACCAGAGCCCATATCGAGGTGTTAGGGTTAGCGCTAATCCCTGTGGATGTCTTGTATTACCGAATTTCCATCGCTTGTCGCGCAACGAAGTGCACGAGCCTTGTCAATATTAGGGACGGAGTTGAAGGATCGAGTTGTAGTGAATGCTTCTCACATCGCTACAAAACCTTAACATGATATCGAGTATCTACAGTTAGTACCGGATTCAGATTTAGGAGCGCTATCGAGATGAGCGAAGTCTTCATGACTGGGGAGTTGTGTGCCAGGCCTTGGTGGTGTGTTTGGAGGTAGGCAGCCAGTGCCACTCGAAGAGACGCGGAAGACATTCAGTATTAATATTTCTCACGAAAAGCGTTGCACAAATAAGTCCGACATAAACAAAGTAAGCAGAAAGAATTGAAACCCTGCCAAATATTGTGAATTTCTATGGGTTCAGTTGTCTGCCAACATGATAGCAGTTTTTCGACCAAGGTGCCAACGACGGTGAATGCTCAGAGAAGCCTCTTCTCATGATAGCTTGGATTCGCATTCTGCCGAAGCATCCATGTTACAGGATTCCGATTTCCAGGAAAGTGCCACGGTGTTAAAGCCATTACTATGTCAGCCGAACCTATCGACTACGATGCCATCATGCCTCCACTGCAGTCATCTCTCTACATACGCCTATGTCTACATGTACGCCATCGCCACGCCATGCCATTTTTCATCATCATCAATACTTGTTCTAACTTCCCAGGTTCCAAACCTACTACTTCCACTCCATATGCACGCTGAAATGCGAATCTCAGACTCCGGACAAGGAGACTCTGAGAAAGTAGTGCCATAGCACTATGCCAGACGACCGAAAAAGGCGGATGAAAGAAAACCTTATCTGATGGAAATGACCTAGATATCTAGGCAAGGAAATCGACAAAGAAAATAAAAATCAATCTAAGACTTCTTAACATCGCCCCATCTCAGCTTGCCAAATCCCCGTCGTCCAGAACTCGGCCCCGCCGTACTAGCTGCCTCTTGCTCCGCAGCTGCAGCAGCCGCTCGCTCGTCCTTGGTCGGGATACGCGGTTGCTCTGCGAACCTGATACCGGGCGCTCTTGGCCTTTCCCCTTGGGGCTGAGGTTGTTGTTCTCTATTCCGTTGCGGCGAGCCGTGGCTGTGGCCATGGTGTGTTCCACGTCCAGTCTCAAGCGGGTCTCCACCTTCCTCTTCTTCGGATTCGGAGTCGGGAGAGTCGTCTTGGCCAATGCCGAGAGCACCCAGGCGACGTTTTCGTTCTGCCGCTGTCTCCCCTTCGTCCATGTGACTTTTTGGCGCGTGACTGGGAGGAATGGCAGTTCGATCTGGGGATGAGGACCCTTGAATAGCAGCGAGACGACGACGCTGGGCTGCAGTCTCAGACTTGTGAGAGTGGTCGAGGGTATAATTAGCGAGGTCGTCTCGGACGGAATGGAACGGGATGTCTTCTCCATCGCTGCCGACCAATGTCATTCCCTCAGGCCCACACTTTCTACCCTCTTCTTTAGCGTCTGGAGACTCGATCTTTTGGAGCTGGGCTTCGCCCTCTTCGCCGAGAACAGGAGGAATCTTGGTGGAGGAAACAGCTCGTTTGCGGGCAACGTGGTCCTTCGCATCTTGCCTCGCATCTCTCTTTACGCCCTCAGGAACATCGCTATCCTCAACAAGCTTGGCTCGAGCCTTTGGATCCAGGTTCTGCATCTGTTGGATGAACTCCGCTTTACTCATTCTCCGCCCACCAGCGGTAACAGTGAAGCGAATACGGTCATCATCGTCGTCTTTCTCATCCCCTGACGCTGGCTTCCTCTTCTTTGCATCTGGAGACGCACCTGAAGTACCTGATGGCCCCGACTCTTCAGGGCCTTGGAGGTGATTTGGAATTCCGACATAAGTACCCATCTTGCGAAGGCTCTGCATGGCACGACCCCCAGTTTCAGCCATGGAAGATTTACGATCGATTCCAGGGCGGTCTTTGGAAGGGGCTGGAATGTCGTACTTCTTAAGAACTTCTCCATCCTCGTCCTCGACGATGATGGTGTTACCAAACTGATACGCAAGAGCTGGACCGCGCTTTTGCACCGGCTTATGTGCTCTGGGCGGTGGAGTAGGTTCTTCATCTTCTCCACGACGGCCGGCGCGGCCCGAGAAACTCTCCATCCGTTTACGCATATGTTGGAAGCGACCTGGATGTTCCACACCTTCCTTGATGGCTTCGACGGCCTTGCTAGGCGCCTCCTCGATTGCTCCGCCATGTTCGGTTTGCGCAACACCATGGCGCACATTGTTCTCGGTCATCAACCGACGAGCTTCGGCCTTGTCTTGCTGGCTTCGTTTCTTTTCGGACTCTTCATTGCAGCTCTCCCTAATGCCCAAGACGTTGCCTTCTTCGTCTTCGATGACAGTCTTGTCGCCCTCCTGGTACATCTCCTCTTCGTCCTCCTGAGAACCCTGCCGTTGCACCTTTTCCTTCACCAAAGAACTCTCGGGAGATTCGTCACTGGGTACAGCTAGGGTGTCAGAATCTTGCATGGGTGAGTTAGCCTCTGTTGGCTCCGTGTTAGAGTACCTGGCACTGGCGGGCGCGATGGCAGATTGAGAGATAGGTCCACCAGGACCTCGGCCAGCGTCCCACTTCCTGCGTCGAGCGGAGGAGCGGATAGAGCTTGCTCGGCTGGAGGTGTCTTCTTCCTTTTGACGTTTGAGGAACTGGCCTGTAATACCAACTGGAGGAAGTAGACCCGGACCAGATAGTTCCGTCTTCTCGTCCATTGACGACTCCGAAGGACGTCGCAGAGACATGGAAGATTTTGACCGAGACTGTATTCGGGGAAGGCGTTCCATCCAACTCGGCCCCTCCTCGGGTCCTTGCGTATACGATAGAGATATAGTGAGAGTGTTGATGTGCTTGCCGAGAGTGAATACCGCTATTGAACTACCGTGAACAATGATGCTGCAGATGACCAAAAAAGTCGTTATTGGCCAAATGAGTTCAATGATATTGAGATGTTCAAACCCCTCTTCCGGTAACTCGGCTAGCGGAGTCGTACTCTCAGTCTCTAACTCTGCTCTTGCTAAGATTGCCACAAAGATGCCACCGACGCCAATTGGCCCAAAGTGCCCGGCAAACAAAGCTTCGCGCCAAGTCTTCACATCCGGTAGAATTGGCTTGAGCATCAACATGATCGGAATGCGGCGGAATAAGAGGACCAAAATTCCGAGGACGACAAGACGCCACGGAGTGGTTCCAATGATGTCTGGGGCATTGTACTGCTCCCAGGGAATAATGGTGCCGAAATAGACAAAAAATGCCAAATTGATCAACAAGTCGATGACGTTGGAAACGTGAGATTCCTCGGTCTTCTCAAGGAACCACCCGTCGTTCGAAAAGCCAACTCCACAAGCGAATCCAACCAACAAATCGTCCATTCCGAGAATACTCCCTGACCCAGCACAGAAGAGCGCGAGAACAAAGTAGAATACAAGGAAGCTCTCTCGATCGATGAGGTCGCGTTCGTGCGCGTAACGAATAGCGCGGCGAGCGATATAGCCAATCATGACTCCATAGAAAGCGCCAAAGACACATTCATAGAGAATGGACACGCAAAACCAGTGAAGAGCGACCTCGTTGACGTGTGGGCGGTAGCGAATGAGGTAAATAGCAAGATAAATGAACGGGAATGCCATGCCATCATTACAACCAGACTCAGCCGAGAGTAGATCTCGAAGATGCTTCGGAACACGCTTTGCGAACTTGCCCTTTCCGACAACGGATGAGGCCAGGACTGGGTCAGTAGCGGTGACGCAGGCAGCGACACAGAGGGAGTCCAGCCAGTTGAGATGGGAGCCAAACATCCACCAGATGAACAAACTCGTGATGAGCCACCCGAAGGTCATGACCGGTATGAGAAGGAGCGAAACCGATTTCCAGTGCTTCTCCATGTACGCCCGGGGTAATTCAACTCCAACGGCGAAACATTGCACGACTAAGACGATTCTGGAGAATTCTAGAGTGATGAGGTCCGTATTGCCCCATTCAATCGGATTGATGAGGTCAGCAGCATGTGGCCCAAAGATGATGCCACAGATCGTAGCAACAGTGGCTTCGCCTATGTACAGACGCTCCTTGATGATAGAGGAGCACAGCATAAACAGACTTGTGAAGCCACCCAGAATGATGTACACCAGGTGTGGTTTGGTGATGGAGAGGTGATCCCAGGCCATGACGGCGTGATTTCAAGCCCCCAAGATGCGGAAAAGAGTGTATGGTGTGGCTATGTGGGAAGGATATAGCGGTCGGGACCTCGAAGTAGAAAAGCTGGTCGTGCAATGCGCGGCATGTATGTAGAGTCGCGCCCAGTCGCCGCTCCCTAAACTGCCCCGATGGGCTGTCTAAATGATGGTATGCGCAAGCGTGTGGGGAAGGTGCAATCTGAAGTTGTGTGCCGGACGTCTGGGGGTGATCGTGGTGAGTGGCGATCGTCAAAGGCGAAGAGAGCACCAGGAGTTGGGGAAGAAAAATTGGCTGAGCTTACAAAGCCTAAGTCACGTCTTCTGGATTCTTGGGAAAGCTTGGGACCGAAGGCTCAGCGTGCGAAGAATTGGTGGATGGCTCGGAGCTTGGTCAGAACCTTGGAAGGATCAGAGAGTGCTCAAAGCCGTGGCACGATGCTTGTGGCCAAATGCCAATTCTTCACTCAATTGTACTCCAATGGGAGCTGTGATCTCTCACAGAGTGGTTTTAAACCCCACGCTGCCCTCGCCGAAAGGTATTTGTAGGAATGGTGAGGAGAAGCATGTCGCGGCGGGCTTGCCAGTATTTAATACAAAGGTACTAGTGCAAGATTATCGTGCCTTGGGTCCTTGGCTTGCGTCGATGTTCTTGATTCGCCGCCAATATCCGGCGAATCACAGATTGCCTGCAAAGACCCCAAGAACGTTATCAGCACCGCTGCTCTGTTGAACACCTATGATTGAAGGCGTCGGACGAGCTGAAATGAATTTAAGACAGTGTGGGAATTTGGTTCCTTGGAATCAAAATTAAATGGAAAAGCAACTCGAAGCGCATCGCGTTGGCGTCGGATAGGCCAAAGCCTCCGAAAGCCACGCGCACGTGCAGCGCCACTGCCAAAAACGTGACACCATACATATGCTCCCCACGCCAGATGTGCGACGTGGGGATGCCGGTCTGACTAAGTCTTCACATATGGAGGATTGTCCAGCCTATGGGAACCTCGTTGGTCGCTCTCCAGTGGGTGGACTTATGTCACATGATGGGCAAATCCGTGTTGGATATGCAGCCAGAGAAGCGTTCACGGAAAGTCAGCGAATAAAGGGAGCCGCGGTTCGTACAGTTTGCAGGCGTGCAGGAGACCGAGACGAGAAGACAATCAGTTGCATGACTCATCCCGATTGGATTCAGTGCTGAGTGTAAGATGGTAGGGATGTCTTCTGTTCAGCGGCTTCAGAGTGACACCTCGCAGCGGCTCGGAGAGGAGCGCAGTGGGCAGATACATGTATCGGCATTTCTGCATATGTATCCCAAGATATGTATAAAATTTTCCAGCCTCGGCCAACTGTAGTCGGCAGATCCCATCTTAAAAGCACCACGTCATCAGTCTAAAATGACTGGTACCCACTCAAACCCAAGCCAGAACCCAAAAGCAAATCCATGATATGCCCAACCTTGGAAAACAGGTGCTCGCGACGCCTCCCTGACCATCCTGAACGCTCTTTCAACAGTGAAATCCCAACCAAAATTTTTCACCTCCCCGAATAACAAAACAATAGCCCAGACGTGTAGGAAATTAGTTTCTTGGTAGTAATGCTATTTCCCCTGACCTAGATGCCCTAAAATCTTAAACCTTAGCAGATCCATATCTCATGTCGTCATATACACATTCCTTGTCTTGGTCCGAGGGCCTATGAATGCCCAACTGGCACCCAGGTTCTCCGTTCATCCATGCTCCTGCTATTTACACGACTCCCGGGAGTTAGGGGGATCTCGACTCGAGTTCTGCTGCCCCCTACCTCTCCTTCGCTGTCTTCGTCATATGCATCAGATAACCTTGAAAAGTAGTCTGCTAATCCGTTGGTAGGTGACGCGATCGTCTCGTAAAGGGGTGGAGGCGTTTCTAAAGGTGGTGGCGGATCTTCATCCTCGAAGGCGGGCGGGTTAAATGAAGGCGCGCGTAATAGGTGTATAGGTCGCTGGACTATCCCATTGTTAGGTCCACCGATGTGAACCTGCTGCGGGCGTGCTAGGTCTGGACTTGGAATCGTAGCCATTGAGTTATCACGTGCCCGATCCAGCGTGTTGAGAGTAGGCAAAAAGCTGGTCGGAGAAGTACGTCGAACTGGTGCGCCAGGACACCCACATTCAGGCATTCGAGTAGCATCGCTTGCACTCTCTGGCGACGAATATGCTGGAAGCGCGGTGTTCGCTTGAGTTGCTTGGCATGATAGGATGTGAAAAGGTGAATCGATGGAGATCTCAAAATGCCGTCTTTTGGTAGGATTATTCTGGTCGGGTTTGGAGAGACGCATAACGATCTGGATATGTTAGTCAAAATACTAAAGCATGTGTGAGAGACAGTGTACTTGCCTTTATCCAATGGTGCACCTGAATGTTCTGATACGTAGTATCGAAATGTAACCTTGCTGATTTGTCCTTATCCTTCATGTTGTGGCAGCTAGGGAGTTGAACGTTGAACTCCATCTCGGTAGGTCCTATGTTCACCTCCCCGCTTAGATCGCCCAAGAGATTGGTGGGATCTTGCACTTGTACATCCTGGCCTCGTGCTGCAGCTACTCTTTGGTCATACGGAACACCACCTCCGGACACGATCCTCATAGAGCTTCCAGGAAACGTGCTTGTTGGGGGGCCATCAGCCCGTTTCTCGAATAATTGTACTTTTCGGACTGGCTCCATGCGGTGTACTCGCTTGTTCGCACAGAAATATTCTATATTTTCTGTAACGAAAACCTTGATCCTATGGCACTGAACCTTTGCCAGTGGAGTGAGCTTAAAGGCAATGGGCACCTGGGCTCCTAGGGGAAATGATTTCCCAGAAATGACGATGTCGTAATGCAGCTGGTCTTCCCAACTTCGGCTGATCGCGATGGGCTCGACTTGTTCCAAGGACCCCTCAGCCGGGGCGCGGATGAGCGTCACTTCTTTGGTACCTACAAGGTTGGCACGGAATGCACCAGCACGCTCGACAATAGCTTCCAGTTCATACTTGACGGATCCAAGCTCGACGTCAATAGTCTCAGGGAGATGGCTGTCTAATGGTAACTCAAAATTGTACATATAGTCACCCGGGTTAAAGGTCCTGTAGCCCTTTTGTGCGACAGACGGGCCATTGGTTGCAGATTCGCCTCTGCCGAAACTTCGCGATTGGCTCACTTGGAGGGATAGTCGCTTCGATTCCTTGGTACTGAGGTTTATCGATGAGTTGTTCGGTGACTTCCCAAACAGCCCACCCTGACCTGTCACGTTCATGGCCGTGCTCTTGTAGAGCTCAACATGATCAGCACCGGGGCCAGCCTCTGCTGTGGGGAACTGGGCATTGAAGAAGGGCCATGTATGGCTCATGATGGTGTCCGTTTCCTCGAAATCAACTTTCTTAGGTGGGATACCTTAGCTTTCGTTAACATGGACACTGAAACGATTGAGCGCATTGATTACCTTCAGGCCATTTCGTTGTCGCTTTACCGCGAAACTTCAGAGTGATAGCCTTAACCTTGGAGGGCTTTGTTACTCGCAAATGCAGCCTGCCACGAAGCATTGCCGTACTTCGGTCTGAAGTTTCTGTATGCTCGAACCCTTGGAGAAAGAGAACCGGCTCTGTCAGCGAAATGCCGACATTGATGCCATTACCAGAGGCTAGTGGCTTGTCTTCTGGGAGTATCTGGACGGCACTGCTCGCAAGGTTTTTGGCCGACGACCTTGCACAGTTAGAGGAACGATGCCCGTCTAACGCAGGTCGCGGAGCCAACGATCCGTGGACTGAGTTTCTCGGACTTGTTCTCATCTCGCCTGTTGCCCACGACCACCTCCGACTTTCGGGAGGCGAAGCAAGAGACGCCCTCGCGCTGCTTAGGGAAGATCTGGGAGACGTGCGATTGGAGGGTTGTCGGTCGGAAGACGTAAAATGGGTGTCGATGAATGATCGAAGGAAACGTTTGGCGTTATCTCGAGGGCCCGCCAGCTTTTCAAATATGTACGACTTGCTGTTTGGTTGGCGGCGGAAGAGCGACGGGTCGGGGCCGACGTGGGCAATGTGAATGCGGTGGGGTCGACGATTTCTTCCCTGGAAGAAGCCGCGTCTTGCACGTGAAGAATCGTGGAGGTGCTCAGGGAGGTACGAGAGGCGTCCGCGGTCGGTGTAAATGTGAAGATATTCTGTCATGGCGGGGCGTAGGGTAAGTAGGAATTCAACCGCAAGTAGAAACAACAACAGAGGGGTGCAGAGACATGGGGGAAGGTCGTCCGTCGAGATTTTAGAGGGGCAGGTGTGTGAAGATAGAAGACAAATGGACTTTGTGCGACTCCTTAAAGTCATGAGAGCGATACAAAGGACTTCCTGGCTAGGGTGACATATCCATGTCCCATGTTGATGCTTTTGGAAGGAGCAGCAGGCTAGAGCTCCTCGTGGAACAAAGATGCGGTGAACGGGAATTTTTGAAATGGGACAGGGACTTACAGGCGTCAAACATCTGTCAGGACGTGGAAGCGGGCATAGTAATGATTCAAATGGGACGCAAACACATGCCACGGGACTGTGGGTGGAGCGGACAGATTGACCAAGCGCGGATGAGCGCGGGAGGTTCCCTGCTGAGTGAGGGTGCGCTGGCTGCAGATGCTGCACTACCAGGACAACGAGAAACGGGCGACAGGGTACTGAGCACTTAAAGGCGGCGGGAATCAAGGCCGTTGGGCATATCGTGAGAAGCGTTCTGCGTGCCCTGTCAGACAGGGCAGACCAGGTCTGCGTTGCGAGGTTGATGGACAGGGCTTGCGGGTGACGCGGATTTGGTGTGGGGAGCTGATCACGGCGATTCGATCTAGCGGGCGGGAGTAGAATCACACGATAGGACGAGTGGATTCAATACTATTTCAGTCGTTGAGAAATGGGTGCAGCTAATGGCGCCGCGCAAGTAATAGGATTTTGGCTGTAGGTGCGTTGTTTTCTCAGCATCCGATGGAGGCAGATCTGGGGATTCCACAGAGAGAAACGCTCCGTGACGCCAGTGACATCAGAGTACTCTGCAGGGCGCTTCTGCCCACTTCTGCCATGGTATGCCTCACGCCCGTTCTAGTTTAGCATCCGAGGTCGGCCAGCTCGGCATCAGATCTGCTGGCCTGGAGAGGGCCTGTAAGGGGATGACGGATGGGCTTCCGTCAACACCAGCCCGATACCATGCAGGCTGAATCCTGACAGTTTTCTTCATTACAGGTCTATACGAAGCTCTGTGAAGCCCGCTGACGAAGACACACAACTCAGCCACCCTAGGCGGAAGTCGATGGCATGACTGAAGCCAATTGAGGACACTAGTTCATGACGAGGACAGAGCCAAGCGCTCAGCGTTTCTGTGCACCCATCACTATCTGCGGGTTGGGTCATGAGATGAGTTTCCTGTTTGCAAGCTGCAGGCCGAGTCCAGGGGACTGCGCTAGCGCGACCAACAGCAAATCACGAATTATTCCCGAAGTCCCGATACTGCGTTAGGAGGCGATCTCTATCGAGGATTCTCTTTTCGGCCAACGCAGCCCCAATGTGTTTGTGGCGATCGATTTTGCAGATTGACATTGTGGAGGAGACTCTCGCTAGCACTATCACCGTTGTTTGTCATCATCCCAAGGTTGAGGAAAGCTTTTCAAGGTCTCCTGGGGATAGAAAACCCGCGCCGCAAGTTGATTCCGTCATCTCTGAATAACCGACACATCCACGGGTAACACTCGGATAACGAAATATGATATTTTTCACTGCGGCGAGGTCGACAATCTGGATGCGTCAATTTAGTGGAGCGGGGAGATCTTGACAAGGCTGTGGTTAGAGATCCCGAGGTCGGCCCGTGAGGAACAGATTTGCATGCAGGGTAGCACGTGACCGATGTTTCCCCGCGACGCGACACGGCTGAGAGACGCGACTTACGATGCTGCTGGGGCCATCACAACGCAACGACAACGGGCCTCATGTTGCAACATCCGCCACCATGGACACGATCCGGGGATATGGTGAGCCATAATGCTGGATCGCAAAGACGTCATAATTAACAGTTTCTTCCAGGAACCAGTCAGATGCCCTTGGCCGGCGCCATTCTGTGCTGCACCTCTATCCCCCCCGAACAGCGCGTAAGTTTCGCAGCCACAGTATTCACTACTAGTCTAATGCTCTATGATAGACGGCCCTCGCCCAGATAGGGGCGCAAATGGGCGCAACTATCAAGCTGGACCTGACCTCCGACGTTACGCATCTCGTCGTCGGTAACATTAATAGCGCGAAATACCGGTACGTCGCAAAGTCACGGGAAGATGTCAAGGTGCTTGCCCCCGAGTGGCTTGAAGCGCTTCGAACCGTATGGATGGAGGGGGAAGATGTCAACGTGGTAGAGCTGGAGGACGAGTACCGACTGCCTACCTTCTTCGGCCTCAAGATCTGCCTTACTGGTTTTGATAACCGTGCGTAGATTAATCACAACCCAACGGCCTAGTTCAATCCCTGACATATGCACAGCGGACCAGCGAAAGTATATTCAGGAATCGGTGGTGCACAATGGTGCCGAGTATCACGGCGACCTCACTAAGAACGTCACTCATCTGATAGCGGCTAAGCCGTCCGGCAAGAAATACGAACATGCAGTCAATTGGAAAATGAAGATTATATCATACGAATGGTTCCAGCACAGCCTGGAGAGAGGCATGTCTCTTGATGAAGCCTGCTTTCACCCTACAAAGCCTGAGGAAGAGCGAGGAAAGGGGGCTTGGGATCGCAGACCAAGCATGTCCCCAACACTAGGGAAACACGCTAGGGAGGTGGAGCAGAGTCACACGGTCAATCCACACCGAAGAAAATTGAGGCGCTCTGCGAGTTCTAGGATGGGCAGTCAAAGCGAAGCCTTATGGGCTGGTATTACTGCCGCTGGATTAGAAAGAAAACGAAATGAGGAAGACGACTGGCAAGATGAGAACTTTGTCAAGCCAGCGCTTCCGCGCGACAATGTTCCGAGTCACCCTAGCGCCATGACAGCCATGCACGAAGATGGTGCACAGCCCGGGCAAGAAGACACTGCCTCCCAATCCCTCCCACAGATCGCTTTACCTTCCAATGGGAAAACCGGAATATTTGAAGGACGCGTAGTATTTGCACATGGATTTGATGAAGGAAAGGTTAGTCAGATCCCAACATCACCGTTTTAGACCAAGCTGACGTTTGACAGACCAATATCCTTCGAGAAGTATTGACTAACGATGGGGCAATCATGATGCGCGATGCTTCAGACCTCGAAAATCTCTCTGCAGATGACCTCAGGCGGAGCTATCTGATAATACCTCACGACGCGGAACCTGACCTCACATCACTTCCGGGAGGCGCCGGTGCAATGCATTTAGTCACTAATTGGTGGGTCGAGCGCTGTCTCCATACAAAGTGCCTAGTAGACCCCACAGGCCATGTTCTTTGCAGGCCTTTTGATAAACTCAGCATTAGTGGTTCGTATGTGTTCAAAATGGCTTTGAGCCTTTGCTAACCGCTTTAGGGTTCAACGGCCTGACGGTTAGCTCGACGGCATTCACCGGCATTGAACTACTACACGTGACGAAAGTGATCCCACTGATGGGTGAGTCGTCTCAGCCTTTCCAAATTCTGTCGTTGACATCGAGAAGGAGCGAGCTACGACGAATTTCTCACACCAAAGACGTCTGTCATAGTGTGCAACACCCACAACCCAAACCAAGAGAAGCTCAAGTTTGCCACTGAGAAGCGAGTCCCAGCTGTACATGCCAATTGGCTGTGGGAATGTCTTCGTACTAGTGAATTCCAGCCATATGATGCATATCTCCTAAATACAATAACCCCTAGTCCGCAAATAACCCAGGAAAAGCATGAAAACAACTACACCGAAGTCCCTACCGCACCTCTCTCCGAAGAAGACAGCGCAAAGCTCCGAAAGAAGAAAGCCCACGCAGCAAAGCCACCGTCGAAGCCTCGAAATGGCTCTCAGCGCCCTCGTACTCTAGACCTTGCTTTATCCGCTGACCCCACGCCCCTATCGACGACCGGGTCGAATGCTACTACCCAGGACTCTAATTCTAGTTCTACGGCACCTTTCACTGGCACCTATGACGCACCAGCTCCTTTACCACTTCAGAACATCAATCCAGGTGTGAATTCTCCCCGACGCCCATCAACCTCTTCGAATGCCTCAAGCACAGACATCAACACCAAAGCGAACTCTGCATCTACATCCCGATACACTTCTACATCGGACGTACCTAGGAAACCTACGCACACGTCTCGTAAATCCAAGTTCACAAAAGAACCCTCACCAGACTCTGTAATTCCTCCTCCATCCGAACCGGTACTTAAAGAGAAGGACTATTCGAGCCTCATGTCAGAGCTCCTCACGCACCGCAAGGCCGCTGCTGAAAAGAACGCTAATCATGAACCGGATAAACGCCGACGACATCGACAGTTGGGACGGGCGACATCGACTCGTTCGAATCCTTCCACTGCGGGAGAGATTGATTTAAAGACCAGCTCACTGAAGGACGACGATAATGACGGAGGGGAATTGAATCTGGTTGGAAAGGAGAAGGAAGGGAATGGGTATCAGCCTTATCAGCCGAGCCAGGAGCTGGGATGGGAGCCGCCGGGGGTCCAGGAATCGAGACCGATGGGAGTGGTGAGGGACGTTGTTAGTACTGCTGGGGGGTTGCCGAGGATGGGGAGACGGAAGAGGTGATGATGTGCAATTATCTGTGTTGCTGTAGTCTGGATCTTTTGTTGCTGTTGATAAGCGTACGAAGATGTTTTGGGTTAACGGGGGTTGCATAGCATGTATGGCGTCACGGAGGAGTATTTTTGCGCAAAGAGCATAGACCGCCAGTAAGATATATAATGAATGCACATGCCATCAATACGTTAAACCCTCGACTCATTCACTCCTTCAGCCCATACGTAACCCTCAACCTCCTGTCTAGATGCTCTTTCGCCGTCAACGCCACCCCATTCCCACTCCCCTCTAGCCCCAACGTCTTTTTCTGCCTCTCCATCTCCTCCACAATCTCCTCGCTCTTCCCAAACTCGTCGATCAGCTTGCTAGGTACAGCCTCGAGTTTTACCTCATCTCTCGGATGACAGAAATACGCGATCGAATATCGTTCTTCCCCGCCCGCAAAAGCTACGCGATGGATAGTTGACTTCAATGTCCCACTGGTCCAGAAGGAAAGCAAGTCGCCGATGTTGACGAGAATAGGTGGTGAAGATAAGGCGGAGGGATACGGATTCACGGGTACCGGTCCCCATGACCCATCACCTTTCAGGATCTCCAGGCCCGCATTTCCTGGGGGTCGGAAGAGGAGCGTCAGGGAGCCGTAATCAGAGTGCGCGCCTGCGCGGATGCTTTGGCTGTCCTTAGGCGCAGTTGTGGATGGGTAGTATAGAAGACGGAGGATAGTGCCTGACGGTCCGAGGGTTTGGTCGTGCCGGGTGGCAAACCAGGTGGCTCCGCCATGGGAGGAGGGGATGGAGAGGGCATTACCGAGGAGCGCTAGGATGTTGGTGCAGAGCGTGTGGCATGAGGCTTGGAAACGGGATATTAGGGGAGAGGAGGAGGAGAGTGGGGAAGGTAGAGGTTGGAGAGAGGGGTTGGATTCGGCTATATTGAAGGCTCTGGGCTTTATGGTTAGAGAGAGGAGGGGTCGTGGAGAGTATGGGAAAGAAGAGAAGGAAGGAAGGACAACATACTCCTTTGGATCACCTTGCTAGACCGAGAATGCTTGAGCGAGAGTACTATGCAACGGGATAAGACAAGTGTTTTCGCATACCTTTTGACCCTCAGGATCAAGAGATTCCCCTTGCATAGATACCCATCCTCGATTATTTCCTCCTGCTCTCTTGGAATGGATCGCATATTCAGCCTTTAGTTCTCGGGGCAACTTGAAAAACTCCCGAGACTGAAGCGTGTCAAAACCACGAACTGCAAATGTGATGCACTAGTCTACATACAAGTTCGAACATGTCTTCGATGTCCTTGGGCGGAATAGTCATGCCATCATTCTTGATGAACAGGAACCCGAAAGTGGATGCGGCGTGCAGGACTTGCAGGGCTACTGCAGAAGAGGGATTTGAGATATCAATGACCGGAATGCCGGCGTCTTCGACACCTGAACGAGACATTTGAAATTTGACGGGGAAAAAAAAAATGAACGGTGAGGATGAGAGCAGGGCGTAGTGACTGATAAGGTCGGATGATGCACTGATGGGACAAAACGTCGCTCTCTAATGAAGCTTATGTCATACTGAGGGACTCTGATGGCTGACTTATTTCTATGATTTAATATTAGAATCATGTTCATCAGGTTGAAGAAAGAATCGACAGGGAGCGACAAGGACCAAATACCTCCAGCGTTGAATGGGAGGCTGTTCCTGACCTAGTCTCGATGAGGCCTAGCGCTATCGCAAGTGACGCTCGCGATGAAGCTCTGTTTGGAGCCTCGCCAAAAGTGCAGTTCGCCGTTACGCTCCCCCGCATTCCTTCTTTAGCACGTTCATACACCTCTTATCACCTTCTCGTGAATCCGAAAAGGTCTTCCATTTTGACCTGCAGTTTGTGCTCACTTCTCCCTGGCTCCTGGTCCACAGCGACGGATTTTCGTGTCATTCACCATGATCCGCGATTTCGAAAATTGGAACAACGTCCTGGGCGACGCCTCGCAGTTGGATGAACTCAAGGGCTCGCAGGTTGCAATTGAGGCGGCCGACTACATCAGCACCCGGATACTCAACCATCCGCGCGCAAAGGAGCCGCTGGTCCCCGCCCTAGGGGGTCTGCCGCTGAGCTTCAAAGTCAACGTCGAGGAGGACCTAGACAAGTTCGCCCAGTACCAGATCAAGCCCATCTTCGTCTTCAGTGGCCTCGACCTTGCCAGGCAGGAGGATCCCTTCCACCAGCGACAGGAGGGCGCTTCGGTCAACGCGACCGCCTGGGCCCTGTATGACCAACACCATGCGGAGCAGTCTGTGGTGAAGTTCGGCGAGTCAACCTATGTTACGCCCGAAGATCTGTTCCCCGGCCTCCAGTCGATCCTGAACCAGAGGAATGTTTCCTTCCAGGTCGCCCCCTACAGCGCGTGGGCTCAGGTGCACAACTCCCCGTTGCTTCGCCATGTGGCTGCAGTACTGACATTACTTAGTTGGCATACCTTGAGAAGCACAACTTCGTCCAGGCCATCTCCGGCTCCTCCGAGGTCCTCCTCTTCGACTGCGACAAGGTCATCACAGCGTGGGACTTTGAGGCTGGCATCTTCCGATGGGTGAAGCGAGGCAAATGTGTCGCGGACCTGAGGAAATTCACGGGCAACAACGACATCTCGGACGATATGTTCGTGGACGCTTGTATGCTAGCCGGCACCCACTTCCTTCCCACCCTGCCGAACCTCGAGCAACCGCCGCGCGCGAAGACGCTAAAGCCTCTTGGAGCCATTGAAATAATGATGGCCAATGGACGGAGTGGCATATCAGTCTGCATGAGCTATCAGGATGACCCGCAGTCGCGGCGACTGCACTATGTCGACAAGTATCAGAGGGCTCGCCTTGCTGTCAAGCATCACCCTGTCCTTACCGCTGAGGGCAACGTTGCGCCGTTGCTTGAGGGCCAGTTACCGAATGACGCTCATGAACTCATCGGCCAACGTCTTCCAGACGAGATATACTACTATCTTTCACGAGGTCTGATCAATTCCCGCGTCCTCGGCTGGCGCGCAACCGGCGAGATCATCGAGGGCCCTCCCATGGATGGAGGGGATTCGGTAGAGTATCATGATCTCGTGAGCTCCAAGCTTACTCCTCTTCGAACTACGGCAATCAATCTGCTATCGTCGTCCCTGCACTACTGGTATCAACACAAAGACTTGACGTTGAAATGCTGGTTCCCCGATTCCACGAATAAACCTGCAACCAACACCATTACTATGAGAGCGCTACCGGACAGTCGGAAGTTGGTCGAGAAGTGGAATTTGAAGGAAGCAACGTTCCGGGATATTATTTCCAAGACTCAGGTTCGTACGGAATCGGTCCAATATTGCTGTCACTGCGCCTCTAACCCGAGTTTAACAGGGCGGACTCATTGGAACTGCTGTTCTGTCCTTGAGAGATGCTGAATTCGTCCCAAAAACGGTCTCTGCCAAAGACGTAAATAACGTAAGCTTGCGCCTTGTGGTCCATCTCGTCTAATTCTAACGAGAGATAGCAACTGTCTACAGAGCATGAGATCCTCTACAACGCAGTTTGGCGTTTCCTAGCCCTGCGTGACTACGTGGACATGAATCACAACCTGACTGCATGGGGCAAGGTCCTCGCGACCGTCCTTGCCGCTCTTGAGGGAAATACTGTTCTCGAAGAGGCCGCACTCACTGTCGTGGAGCTGCTGCGTCTGGGCATCCTCAATTCAGATGCCAACATGTTCCCTTACAATGGCGCCCCGATGCGTGGGGAAAGTAAGTTCTGGATCCCGTCCAATTTATGGGACTCGCTAACATCTGTATAGTGAAGGACCGAAATTTCAACCTCTTGATTTCCCGTGTTGCTGGCGTTGGGTCTCTCCGCCATAATCCTATTGGATTTACTGGCCCTCTCAGTCAACACCTTTTGGGATACAATTCGATGATCAACGCCGTCCGCAGCGCCCTACGTGATCTTGTTGAAGTCGGCGCGACTCAGATGTTCATGGGTGGTTTTGCTAAGCGGGACATCGACAATCTCTCATCACTTGCTATTCGGTACGTCTCTTCCTAGTTCCGGGAAATCCTACCTTGTTGACTCCTTAAACAGGCTGCCATTCCTTCTGCCCAATAATTGTGCATTGAGCATTGCCGTAAAGTCTTACCTAGATGAACTATACACGAAGGAAAATCCGACGTCCGCCGAAGCGAAGGCCTATGCTAAAGAGACAGCATCGACCCGATACTTTCCGCAATCAATTGACCTTGTCAGCGATCTCCAAACTGCATTCAAGCTCTGGGATGCAGTGTTTGCCGGTGTCAAATCGTCAGGCAACTTGATTCGGGAAGCTGATCGGAAACATTGGACCGAGGCCAACGAGTGGCTGGCAGCACGACGCTAGTGAGCGTATGTGAAGCACAGATCTAAAATCGGTTAAAGAAATAGCTTCTGGGGAAGATTGGAAAGAATTAGGCCGCAGCAAAGCGCTAGGGATGTGTTCAACATGGCAACTAGGGTCTTACAGCCAGCAGGGAGTTAAGGTTTGCGACTATATGCGATGTAAAGGAAAGGGAAGATCGACCGACAATGTGGCTTATGGATCTTCACAGAAATGATGAATATTCTCCAGATCTGCGTCTGGTGATATCATACTTGTATTAACGACTTGCTTCTCACAGCGAAAGCAAGGAACCACAATACGGCGTGTTGGGACATACAGCGTAACATGCTAGAGTCTAATTTCGGGTAGAAACCTTCACCCTCTCAACCGTCTCCCTTGTTCCAGCTGCAACCCCAACAGCTTCGGTGCTCTCCGCCTGTCTCACATACTAGGCCTGAACATGCTGTAGTTATCTAGTACGTTACCTTTTCTTCCACCCTCCTGTGCGCAAAATTTTTCTAGATCTTCGACGTTCTCAGCTCAGAAAATATCTTATCGAAATTGAACTCGTTCATCCGGCCACCTGGCTTCATGCCTGCTAATTTCCACACTCCATTGATCTTCTTGTAGCAGTGGACCATGAGTGTAAGACCCTGGCCCGTGGCTTCTACATCTGTTTTCTGTGGAGTTTTGTAGCGCTTGTATTCTGTTCGCACCTGATGGTATCCAGTCATGCTGTTTGGCACGTGCGATCATACTTTGAGCCTCCGATGTGGTGGATGCAATCTACGATTTCCCCGAGTCTGTTAGGGTGGGGGGATAGGAACGCGTACCGGGCCATGGTCACGGGTTTTGGCCAAAGGCTTCGGAGTAGTCCAGGGTTACTTCTGGGGCGAGGATGGTTTCGAGACGGTCGAATTGCTTAAGCCTGCGAGTCAGTGCGGGGTGTAACGGAGAAGGACTTTGGAATCATAGATGTCGGCCCATTCGAATGTTATTCGACTGAAGGCGAGGTACTCTGCGACCTTCAGTCAGACTTTGAGAAAGTTGGCAAACAGGAGCGTGCCTTTAAAGGTGATGTCGTTCGCCATTGTTGTGGAGGCTTAGGGAATGTATGCGTAAGTATACCAGTATCTAAGCTTCCACAACCTCCATAATTCACATGTGTTGTCCTGCTGGCTCACTTCATATCCTAATGTAGATGTGCGAGCTTGGTAGGCGGGGTCAAGAACTTGCTATTCCCCTACAAAGTTAACAGAACACCGACAACGCACTCACCAGATAGACCCTCCAACCACATCCTCACACCTCGCACAAGCTTTCTTTATTCCGTAAACTCAAACTAGTAACCGACACTCTAATTACGATAGCTTCAACGTTTTCATCATATTCACCTCGGCAGTAACCACATTCCTCGTCATGAATGTGGAGAAGCGGGGGATTTCCGTCAAGGATCTTCAGCACTAAATAGCCACTAACTTCTTTCACGTCTTCGCATCTTCAAGCTCCAGCTAGGTTATACCTCGCGAGGCGGTCAGTCTTCATTCCGGGTTTTCTGAGACTGTCGGTGTCTACGAGACGCAAGGCGCGCTACGAGCAGCATCTCACACGCAGACGGAAAGCAGGATTGGTTCCCGGACCCAGGGAAAGGTACATACGAGTCGTGAACGAGGCCAGAATAATTAGCGAGCGACAATGAACAAAGCATAGATAAATATTGTCAGAGCAAGAGAAGGCAATGTGTATGATGGTACTAAAATCTTAGCAAGATATTGCTATAAGGCTTGGTTCTTCATTTATCTATCTTCTCATCTGTTACTTTCCTTCTCATCCTGAAAATTATCATCAGTCACCCATCATGTCTGCAAAGCGCCCGGCGGTTCAAACAGTTGGCATGAAGAAGACTCCCAGAGTTGGAGGAATACCTGCGGGCCCCACCGCGTACAATGTCCAGTTATCTGCGACGAAAACGCCGGGATTTACGCATGTGGAGGGGTTGAAGCAGGAGAGTGCGGAGATAGTGTCTGATTTGTTGATGTTGAATAACGCGAAGTACCATACTTTGTTCAATGAAGTTGGACTACACAGTAAGTAGTGTAGACTCCTCCTCCTACATCCACGAAGGATGGCTCGAAAGCGCTAATAGAAGGTAGACCACATGGTCCACCACCTGCTCTCTCTCTGGGCCCTCGGCGCGTCCCCTTCGCAGATTAAGAGCGCATACGATCTCAATAAGAAATATCAACTTCCCCAGTACCACCACTCCGCCTCGCTCTCCCTAAAACTCAAAGACCCAGAATTCTTCCAGCAGTGTCTGTATAAGCCAGAGTTCTACAGCAATTATCTAGAGTACTTTCAGGAGGAGATTGCGGAAAGGGGAACGGAGGACGTAGTCCGGGAGTACGTGTTTGCAGGGGATGCGAGAGCGGACGATTTGCTAGGTAGAATGTACTCCGGTAAGCCCTCCTCCCTGTGCGTGCCTCAGGTACTGACATTCAGTTGGTTTTGAACACCCCATCCTCCACCTCGGCTTCGCTCTCGAATTCGCCCAACCCTGCCTGGTCGCCGAATCGCTCGCTGCCGCCTCTATCCACGACGACTGGCCCATCCCCATCATCACGCCCATTGAGTCGCATCTCAAATCCAACCCCAACACCCCTCACTCATCCATGTTCAAAGTAATCCGGGCCTTGCACTCTGACCCCATAATCTCCAGCGCCGTCAAACCCTCTGATCCCGCCAACCGTGTCACAGACGGGCTGATGAAGCGGGCAGCAAAAGAACTCGTTCCCATTCTCGCACGATGGAGGGTTGACCCCACAACCCAGGACATCGCGGTCAAGACTGCAGAGATGGCGCATATGAGCGTATACATGGCTGCGTGTGCGCAGAACCCGAAGAAAGTCCCTGCTATAGATTTTTTTATGATGCATAGCGTCAATCTGAGTGTTTTCTACCCAACGTTTATGAGGCTAGAGTGGCTGAGCCTGGAGGAGAGAGCGAGGCTTTTGACGTGGAAGGGGTGGATGGATGCTGTGCTTTATGCTGCTTGTGGTTGCCCGGCGTTGTATCTAGAGAGGGTGCAAGGCTATAAGGCAAAGCGGCCTGGAGACTGGAGTAGCATTATCACACGCGCAGTCACCTACCCGGATGATGGGCATACGAGTAAACTTATCCGTGCGCTCCTCAACGCGCAGAACCTCTCGTTACCGTATTTCTCACCTCGCCGACCTGAGTTTCCTCTCATGAAAGAAGATTTTTTGAAGATTGCACATATGACCATGGATTCTGTCGAGCGAATGAATGATCCGGGATACAGGATTCCGGAGGAACAGCAGAAGATGTATGTTGAGAAACTAGGTATGGATGAAGAGGTTGTTAAGGTTGTGGTGCGTTGGGTTAGGTGGTGTGGTGTTGAGGGAGCTTGGGACAACATTGAGGATTTGGAGGAAGGGGAGAGAGCTAAACTGTAGTAGGGATGTCAGAAGGGGATTAAGGGAGGGGTGATGTACAATGAATTCCGGAGGTAGATGAAAATATCTCGGCTCCTATCTTGAATAAGGCTTTGGGAGAAACAAAATGAGATTACATAGTATCATGATGACTGTGGCGTTCTTATCCGCCACCTCGATTCTTCATGATATTGTGTTCATAATGGTATAAGCCCATCTCCCCGACTGCCATAACTCTCTGAATGAATTTCCAACCTTCTTCGAGGGAATAAAAATGCATCGGAAGCCTTGCATGGCCAGTCCTCACTCACAGACCGAAAACCCAAAAATAATAATTTCGACGCATCCCTAACGGACCTAGGTCTCCCTCTGGACTAAAACCCCCATGACAGCATTATCATGTGCATAGATATCCCGTCACCCGAACTTCATATAGCAAGGAAACTCGTTTACACTCATATGATCGGAGACTTCCTCTAAGAGAATAGGTTTGTATTTCCACCATTTCAAAAACACACACACTCGAATGAATTGGTGGAGTTGTCTGGCCGGAATATAACCAGTCATACGCTCCATACATACTTCGACATACTTCGATTAAAAATTACTAGAAGGGACCTCATGTGGAATAAACAGCAGAGGAGAAAATGCAATGGAAGAAACTGTCCGACTAGAAAAAAAAATACATGGCTCGAGACTTACATGTCTTCATCATCCTCGCCTTGGAGACTGAAAAATATATATATTGCGCTGCTTGGAGCCAACTGGAAAATTTCACATACTCTATAGTGGCCGAGCTTCTCTGGAGTCACTAATAAGACAACGATCGAACTATTATGGGGTGGGGTAAACATCGCTACGCGTTCTATGCATTTGAATTGAAAAATGGTATAGTAGATTAGTGTTTATAAAACTGAAGAGGGAAGATTCATGAATTTCCTATACCCGAATTGGGTATATTAAAGCGATTGTAGATGTAGATAGGATAACCCATGGTGTCCGGGCGGAATAAAATAAGTTGTTGTAAAGTTCAATGTCGCCACGCGGAGTCAATGCCTTCTCTCCCCGGCCGTGGATGATATTGGAATATCAACCAACGATTGGAGATGTTTTAGCACGAAGAAAACACGGATTGGGAGATAAGTACGTGGGTTTCTTTTTTGCCCGGCAAGCGAAAAAAAAAAAAAAAAGTTCAACAAAGATCCTTATGGCTACAAGAGCAGCATTGCCTGGCTGGCATCACAATCGGTTTGACTCGATATGGAATGTCAACTTGATGTTTTAATTAGAAAGACTGCGAAAAGTCAGCGTACTGGCCTTCGATACACTAAGTAGAACGAGGAAAATACCCAAATCTGTATAACAGACTCGAATCTCAAAGGATGATATAATGAAAAATTTTACCCCCTCGCAACGCCCCAACTAGGATGCCCTCTAACATTCCCCTCCAACGCCTCCATCCTCCTAGCCTCCCAGCTTCCCTTGCCAGCAATAATCTCCCAACCCTTCCTCGCACGGCCAGCCCAATAACGAGTTTGGTCCTCATCACCAACTTGACTATAAGTATATGCGATAATCTCCTCATACTTAGGCTTTTCAACTACAAGTGATTCTTCTTCAAACAGGGTGATGAGTTCTTGCGTTAGCTTGAGAAGGCGAGGGAGGTTACCGAAGGCTAAAGGGAGGGTGGATTTGATTACCGCGATGCGTTTGAGACGGGCGTCAGAGGCCGTGATAGTAGTAGGAGGAGACATGCAGAGGTTGCAGGTGCAGGTGAAGGACCAATTGTTTTTGAGGGCTTCGCGGCGAGAGGTGTGGGGGTGGGTTGTATAGCCATCTGAGACAGTTAGTCAAAACGGCAGTTGAGTGGAGAGAGAAGTTTGGGGGCGAGTTACAGCCGAAGGTTAGTTCTTCTCCGGCTTTGATGTTGTGGAGAGCAAAGACTTCTAGATTTAGGGTTTTGGAGTCGAAGCGGTAGTATGAGCTATGGGAATTAGACTCAAAGTACCTGAGGAGACTAGATTTAGAATGGTGTCACATACTTCGGTCGACAAGCGTGATTGATTCTCTTCACACGATTAGCCCAATCTACCCTGTCGTCGAAGAAATCGCCGAAAACTTACCGCGGCTTCAGGGACAACGCCTAAATGTCTGACACCCCCAAGTTCCATCCCCATTGAATTCGTCTGGAAAATGTCATCAATCTTATTGCCTCTCCTACTCCTCGCAAGGTCCAGAAATAGCTTTCGGGTGTCTTTAGGAAGTTGCTGGATTGCTTTTGAAAAGACTCTGTCACGGTCCGCATGGGAAAGACCGCTCAGAGCGCCTCGTGCGACAACAACGACGGGAGAGTTGAACATGAATGCTGATCCGGCAGTGATTGACGTCTTGGCGAAGAGTCCAATGCCACGATCTAGTGTTTGACGAGCTTCATAAAGGGTCTGAGTATCATGGTCCGTTTGTCTTATACGGGAGCTTAAAGAACCCACAGAGGCAGCCACACCTGGAGTAGTAATGAAGCTGATTCCCCGTTTATTTCCATAGTCTGCGTTAGTGTAAACACAGAACTCCTGCAACTCAAGTTCTCCACTTGTAGGATTGGTGGATTTGAAGCAAGCAGGGGTGAATTTCCATTGGAGAGATGGATGTGGCTCGTTCTTGTTTACCCGTAGGCATACCTGAGGTCCGCCCAAGGGATGTTGGATTGAAGAAATGCCTTCTTGAGAATGAAGCGCTGTAGCGACCGAGTGAAGAAAAGCCGGAATTAGCAAGGCAATCGGAAGACGAGATACAACGCACAGAAGGAAAAGAGATATGGACATCGAGAATAGATATTCATCTAACAATCCTAACGAATAGTCCAGAAACCAATCGTGGAATAGAAACTGAACAAGAGTTGAAGAACACCAAAGAAAACACATCTCCCTTCCAAGGTGGTATTGGAAACCGAATGGAAGCATCCCCTCATTCTGCATGCTCTGCATTATGTAAGTAACGCGCGCAATTAGGCTCGAAGTCCATGTAGAGTGGTGAAGGATGCAGGCAGGAGGTCGTGGGGATTGAGATTGGACGCCGGCTAATGGAAGATGTGATCCGATCCATGGATGATCGAAAGACCGGATCCGAAAATTTTAATTAGGCTTAATTTTGCACGTGATGCTCCACAACCTCTGCTCAGCCATGAGACCAAGAATCTAAATATGATGGTTTTTTGGGAGAGGAGCGGGCCGATAGTCAGCGCGGTCAAAAATGAACTTGTGGCAGCACATCGAAGTAAAGGAGGGGCAACAATCAAGAGCAAAACTTTTTTTTTAATCAGAAATTACAATTACCGTAAGGGAAGAATATTCCCAGTCTTAATCCATAGCTCATAAGTAAGCAATCCTTGTACACCTTGCTTCTCCGTTCAAACGTGAAGATAAAGCACGAAGCCAAGAAAATGGCTATATACAATGGCTTATTACAACAACTGAACATCTAGTTCCTTGGCATGAACATGTTCATGGCCTTCATCTCACGCTTGATGTTGGTGGTCTGGGGCAGAGAATCTGTACAGTCTTGCATGCCGGAGGTGGATGCAACCCCGAAGAGTTCCATCTTACCCATGGCGTCGGCGAACTTGCCGCTCCATTTGCCTTGGTTATTGATGAAGCCCTTGAATTCCTTGCCGACTCTCTCAAAGTTAGCGAGCTTGGAGTCCGAGGGGAAGACAAATATGTTCTTTGGCGGGTTTAGGGTCTCAGAGTAGTACCTAACATCCCAGACACCCGGAGTAGAGTCCTGGGGCTGACCTTGGATGCCGGGGGTAGTGTTTTGGTTGAACTGGTTGGATGTAGAATGGGCGCCTGACTGAAATTAGTAGGGATAGAGACAAGATAGAAAGAGGAACTTACCAAGAAGGGCAGCAAGACCAACCTCATCGTAACCTTTGTTCTGAAAGAGCTTGAAGAGATCCGCGGCAGGAGCATTGACGTCAGGGAGCAGGCCATTAGGAGGGGGTATGTTCGAGTCCTTGCGACCAATGAAAGTCTTGACACGAGGTCCACCAGGACAGGTGACGATGGCATGGCTGCCAGCGAAGACTAGGATTGTGAGACTGATGTTCATAGAACTGGGAGAAGGTAGAACAAACCAATCATATCAGCAACAGAGACGCCCTTTTGTTGGGCGAGTCCCTTGAGATAGGCGACGATGGGCCCCAGACCCTGATTTTCTCCACGGTCAATCTCTCCTGGAGCCAGGGCTAAGCTTCCATCGCAACCTCCAGTAGCACCAAGCTTTGATTCCCAAGCTGTATCGAAATTAGCATTAGAAACTGTGTCGGCATCAGGATTGCCTGCCTCCGCAATCGTGGAACACCGCTCGGATAGCAGCTCGTGCATCAGGATTGCAAATTCCGTTGGTCAAGAATTTTGCGGTCAAGATTGTGGAGATGTCCTTCCACTTGGGGTCGCACTTTGAACCACCACCGCCACCACCACCACCACCACCGTCCTTGCGGCGGAAGAGGTTTGTGACGGGGGAAACATCCGGGAAAGAGAAAGCAGAAGCTGTGGCAGCAAGCAACAGGACGTTCGAGACACGCATATTGTATGGATTTAAAGACTAAACTGGGGTAAATGCAGAGATGAAGCCAAGGGAGTCCAAGAGAATAGTGAAAGCTTGGAAAAGCTTGGGAGTTGAAAAGAAGTTGTGGTGAAAGTATCAAAGGCCGTCAATACCTTTCTTATACCCCGGTGCGCTCGTGGCGTGGAGGTCAAGCTGAGCTGAAGCCTAGAAGGCGTGTCTAAACGTCAGCCATGTGGTTAGGTCTAGGACAGGCTGCTGCGGGGAGCATCAACACCATGGCTCGCAAAACCGAAGCCATGGCTTGGTGTCCTTCGGTTGAGAGATAATTCAGAGGGGTTATGCGAGAAGCACGGGCGCCGGAGCACTGGGACAGCTATTCAGCTGGAAGGTGTTATGCAAGGTCTAGACGAGCTACATCGGAGCCGACTAGATTGTGGTCGTTGTGCTGGCTGTGCAGAGGTAACAGAATGCGGTTCCTCGTTGTTCTAGAGGATTGTGTGGCCGGTGAAAACTCGTTGTGAGGCTTTTGGCTTTGTTCAAGAGTCAAATCTCCCAGTAGCGACGAACATACGCAATTCTCGCTTCAACAGTTTGAGATGTTTTCGTGGTATGCCTCACGGTGGGATTTATCTAAATTGGGCTGGATCAATAAAACGTGCATGTCCCAGGCTTGAGGTCTCGGGGCTTGGACGCTGTGCAGGCTGCACACCCAGGCCGCCTCTGCGGGTCCTTCACAGTATTGTAGTCCACCATTGACAGATGCCAAGATCAAGATGACAGGCGCCGGAGACCAGGTTATCAGCGTTCAAGCATTCACGACAGTCCATGCGTTGTGACTCGTGGGAGCTACCAATCGTTCAAGTGCCAAGGTCCTGGAATCAGTCCGGCTTATTCTCAAGAATGGTTGCTGAGAAGTTTCCGAGTCCTATTGCCCCTTTAGAAGGGTTACCCATTAATTGTTCCCGCTAACACATGCCTGAGAACAATAGCACATTTCCACGTTATCACGAGAACGGTTCGTTTCTTTGTGTTTCTAAAAGGGAGGCGATGATTGAGAGCCAATCAGATAAGCTTTATGAATCATGCAGGGGTCCAGGTACAAAGATCGCCGCCCAAAAACTCCTCGCGAGTCGTATTTTTGGAGTTTGTGTTAGCCGAGAACAGGAGCAGCCGAGCCAACATGCAGCCATTCAGGTGAGAGCATATGAAATGTGGCGTTGATGGCGCTGATTACGGCGCTGATCTTGGAGCCAAACAAAGGACAATGGTTGCGAGCTTACAATGAATTGCTTTCCATTGGGGGATTCCGCCAGACTTAAAAAACGTCATTCCATGGAAAATACGCAGTCTGTTACGTGGAATAGATCATCTGCGGGATCATCTCAGGCGTACAATTGAGGTCGAACAAGCAATACGGCCAAGAAGTTTGTCTAGCAAGCCTCAGAACAACAGCCTCCAAAGCTCCGCCCCGTGGAAGTTTGGAAGAAAAAATTCTCGTGACGCACTTGATGTGGCATGCAGCCGTGACAAGCGTGAGGCGCACACCATCAAATCTAGACCGCTTAGTGGCGCAGGAGGGAGCGGAAACGAGAGCTGTGGAGCGAAAGCTGAGAAAGACGTTCTATCTGAGTGGTCACTAGTCCTGCGACCTTAGAACAATTGGAGGCAATTCCTTTCAGGCATCGCCAAATACGGAAGAGTCGTAGCATCACCTTGTCGCCTATTTCTGAATCGGGATATTTGGAAAAATCAAATGCCAAGCCACAACTCAAACCACAAGTTTTGGGTTCTTCGAGGCTGGAAAATGACAGCGCGTCCGACGGCTTATCCTCAGACGTGTGGTATTCCGGAACACAGAAGTTTATATCTTTGGTCGTGGGGTTGCTACTGAAGGATCCTGGTAGGTTGTATTTAACAGAAGTGACTCATGCTTCACGGCCCTGGTTGATGGACAGTTCCAAGGGTCGGCTCCCACCGGTCATCCCTTCCCCCTCCAGCCTTGGAATGCTCAGAAGGCATTGCTTGGACGTTCTTGAGAGCTACATTCCATCAGAGTGATGACCTTGGACCTGGGTTGATCAGGAATCTCTGTCGGTCTAGTGGAGCTTGGGGACAGCATTTAGCGAGTTCCACTCTCTTATCAGGATCAAGCATAGCCAAGCTTCTGCCTTCCCTCCAAGTCAACTCACTTTTGGAGACGGCTGACGTTCTGGCTGGGGTTGCCAAGCATCAGCATTCATGCGGAAGCGGCAGACTTGACATTTAAGCTTCGCCAAGAACTCCTGTCAGCCCGCGAAAGGCCTCGTGGTCCACTTGCGGGCTGCCACGGCATGTTGTGCTCACCAGCAGCATCAAGGACTATGTTTAGAGCTTCAACTTGTCAGTTTGAATCCTACTCAAGCCGCTCTTGAGCTCCTTGGCCATGCCCCGCTTTCCGGGTCTCCTGCTGTCCCGCTCCACGAAAACGTGGACAAATTCGCCCACAGCCTTGATCTCCTCCTGTCCGCGTTCGAAGACGCCGATTTCATACGTGACGGAGCTCTTTCCGAGCTTGTTCACTCTCAAGGCCAGGTCCACGATAGCAGGGAATTCGATTGGGGCTAGGTAGTCGCAGTGCGAGTGCACGACGAGGCCGATTTGGGATGCTGTGGGCGGGTGCAGCGAGCAATGCTTGATGAGATATGTATTCACCACAGAGTCGAAACTGAAACTCGTCAGCATCCTTCTAAGGGACATACAGTTGCATTCTCACAGGAAGTAGTAGATGCTGTTGTTCAGATGATGGTACATGTCATTGTCGCTCCTTGAGGGTCATGGTCAGCGGGTGGAACAGCCGCTGCGGGGTGGCTGCCTTTGCACGCAGGGGGAGTGCCCACCATCGCGTCCTGTACTCCAGCTGAAATTTGTAGTCGCGTCGTTTTCGGGCTTTCAGCGCGTCTGAGGCCATACTGAAGACTGTCGCAGTCTCTTGGAGGATTGATGTGAGGTCAATTTAAACCATCTAATCGTCCGGCTGCCGGCTAAAGGCTGGTCGATGAAAAATCGCCGAGGTTGTGTAACCGGCGATCTATCTAATCACGATTCACATTCACCCCAACGGCCACATATCGACAGGAAAATATTCCCACGACTGTGCCTTCCCTCGCCCGCATTGGCGCCTTCTCCTCGAATCCTCGCCTTCCTTGCGAGCAAAGGGCGCCTGCCCAAACCGCCCTTGGCCCTCGTCCCCTTCTCAATGTCGGGAAGCAGCGCCCCTCCCCCCCAAGAGAAATTCGAAGAGCCGCCGCCAGTCATCACAACGCCGTGCAGCCCCTGGCCACCCCCATACTACCTCGAAGATGGCTTGCGGAAGGTGACGCCGTATCATTTCACCTACAACACGTACTGTAAAGAGCGCTGGCGGGGCCGGGAGATATTCGATATTTTCGCGTCGGAATTTAGGGACCGCCCGCAGGAGTACTATGAGAAGGCTATCCTCGAGGGCCGTGTGACCCTGAACGGCAAGCCCGTCCCCTCTACCTCCACTATCGTGAAGAATGGGGACATCATATCGCATACCTGCCATCGCCATGAACCCCCCACAACCGCTCAGTCCATCGGCATTGTCCATGAGGATGATGACCTCATCGTCATCAACAAGCCTGCCGGCATACCTGTTCACCCTGCTGGACGCTACAACTTTAACTCCATCATCGAGATCATCAGGGCCGACAGGGGCTATAGCTTAAACCCCCTGCCTTGCAACCGTCTCGACAGGCTTACCAGCGGCATCATGTTCATTGGGAAGCACCGGCGGGCGGCCGACGAGTTCAGCGTGCAATTGAGAGACAGAAGCGTTAGGAAGGAATACATCACAAGGGTGGTAGGAGAATTCCCTGAAGGCGAGATTGTCTGCGAAAAGCCCATTCTACAAATCAGTCCGAAGCTCGGCCTTAACTGCGTCAGGGCAAACGGGAAAGAAGCAAGAACTGTCTTCAAACGACTGGCTTACTACCCCCCGCAAGATGGTAGCAAGGAAGACAAAGTACAGGACGACGAGAACCACGAGGGCATGGCATGGAAGAAGCTTAGAGGTTACTCAATAGTTCGCTGCTTTCCCCTTACTGGTCGGACCCACCAGCTCCGCGTTCACCTCCAATTCCTGGGTCACCCCATCTCTAACGACCCCATCTACGCCAATCAGCGCGTCTTCGGGCCTTCTCTAGGCAGAGGGCGCTCGGACGCTGAGAAAGACGAAGACATAATGACACGCCTCTCTCGCATGGGCAAAGACGAAGTCGCAGACGCAGTCGCATATCACGACGAGGTGGTCGATGCGTACCACAAGCGCAAGGCCGAGAAGATGACGGGCGAGACATGCAGCGTTTGCGACACTCCACTCTACAGCGACCCAGGTGTGCATGAGTTGGGCATCTATTTACATGCTCGACGATACCGTTGCGAGGAAGGGCGGTGGGACTATGAGACTGACTTACCGGGTTGGGCACTTCCGCCCCCAGGCATGGAAGGCCCCACTACATCCACCAGAGAGTCAGATCACCTTGTAGTTGACCTGAAGAAGCTGGACCTGGAGTGTGATGACAAATTAGGCGACCAACAGGCACAGCCGGCACCAAACCAGGTTACTGTTAATCGTATGACTAAGACGGATATAGCACCAAACTAACAGGTGGTTACTGGGATAGCCGCTTGAGATGTGCAGTAAGCAATAGTTCCAAGACGCCCAGCATTCGGTTCGCACCAAACGTGCAAATAGCTCCGCTCTTCTTCATGTTGATAGGACGTGGAGCTAGCTCCGACGTAATGCCCATCACTGGACTGTCCAAAACCCCTAACCCGTTTTGGAGCCTGGAGGTACTGCTATATTAGAGTTCGGATTACAATCGGGCGGGTCCTAACATCTACGACCTCATTAACCGTCTCACTCGTCAGGGCCTGCTCCTATTTTTCTCATGAGTCTCACGACAACATGACGCCGCGATCTCCCAATACAACGCCCTCTGGCGAAAATAGATGGTCTGTGGAAGGGTCAGGGAAGCCATTCCAAGCACTTTGCTCATCCCGTCTATCAGGAGCGTTGAGGCATCGCCAAAGAAGCTCACGAGTTGAATTGGCCCTTTCGAGCCACACGGATCATCAGCCTGTCAAAGTCTCTTGTAGTTTGACCGTCTCTCGTCTCAATTGCATTGTGTGGTCATCAAACAATATCCTGTGACGCGACTCACTACTAACAGTATGTAATGTATACACTAAGCATCACAATGCGGGGCTTGATATATATGTAACTGGGAATGAGTCGTATTGTGAACATATAGTGACACAGCACGAGCGAAGTATGAGTTATATATATTTAACTTCTCCGAAAATCTTCGCACTGTATCACTTCCTAAACCTTCTTTTTGGTTTGTCCCAGCTACGATATAGACGAATACACACCGCACATTATCACTCCTAGCGGCGCATCCGCTCAGCCCAGTCAATCTCTGCTCACAATTATGAATGAGATCGCCCTCTCATAATCATTGACCAGAAGCCACTGGAGTCTCTGACATCTCCGGGACTACGTCTCTACCTCCCAACCCACAATCGAAGAGGCCACGCAAGATATCTAGTGCTCAGCCCAACCTTCAGAATCTCTGTTTACTTCGCCTTCATCATTGCCTACGCCCCATGTACAGCACTTGGCGACGCCCCAGACTTGCAACCCTACGCTGGAAGTGTTAGAAACTATGTAGTTCATCCGTGGCAACACCCAGACTACCCTTCGCGCCCCTGCGTGAAATGCTAGTAGACTAAGGCACCAGTACCGTCGACATCATTACCAATCCCACAGAGTTCTTGATTCCTCTATGGTGGTGAAAACACTACAGCCGAGGATATAGAAGTCTTCACAGAAATCGATCGCCACCCTGCAATGCAGACGGTGAATATTTGCCTTGCGAAAGAGACCGGGAAACAGGCTGTAGTACTCGCCGATGCTATTATCAAGTAAATCCCTGTAAGCGAAAAAATTGTCATCTCATATGTCTGGGATCAAAAGCCCAAATTCATTCTCTCGGTCCATCTTCCCAACGGTAAGTTATTCATTGCCACGTTACGGGCAACGATGTTGTTCAAGAACTGCATGCCGACTGTGCACATCCTATTTTAGGGCTAACAAATTGGGGTTGGGAAGAAGTGGCATACTGTCTTGCAAGATGGTAGGATTTTGAAGGTACTGCCAAGAACGTGTTTGCAAATTATGGCTAGTTTTGAGCTGGCCAGTACTACAGAAAGGAACTGAGCTTATAGCAGGTGATGTCTCAGAACTAGGGCTAGAGAAGAAAGCGTTGTTTGGGGTTGTGGCAAATATGTATCGCGTTAAGGGTTGGAATGGTGGGTAGGTACCGAAGTTCCTTGTCGTTTAGACATGGTAGACTCCGGTGCCAACGTTAATAGTCAGTAGTTAAAGCAATATAGAAAATTAAGAAGGGTAAAATCAATATGTAGTTTCTCTCCCTGTTATCAGCGCGGGTTTGTTTATCAGATAAACGTGCGGGCTGCATTTCCTCGCCATCCAGCAACAAACAAGACCTGGAGACTCAGTTGGGCGATTAAATATCCAGAAATTTTGCACGACGTACCTCCAATCGAGCATCGGACCAACAAATGATATGTGAAGAACTGCTTCAAGTAAAGATACAGAAGATGCGCATTGTACAATACAGCTTGTACAAAGCTACCACTACCATAGCTCAATACAACTCTAAGTTGTGAAGAACTATCTAAATCAGTATCCACCTCAGATCCCTCCTTCCCATCATCCCTCGGCTACTAAGCGCCATTCTAAACATTGCCATTCCCCACAACACGGCTCAATCCACGCAAGCCTCGCCGAAACCATTACCACTAAATACACTCCCTCCACCTACTAGCCAACTTGGCATAACTGAGACTACATCGCTAAGAACTAACCCACTTTAGAGAGCGCCTTGCAAAAGTTCCGAGAGAGCCTAAATGGACCTAGCAGCACTTAATTAAACTTGGGTCGGGATCGGCGTGCTCGCATACTGAGATCTTCGCGCCCCTGTTCTCAGCACACTCGGCCCTCTAGCATTTCACAGAGTCGGCGAAGATTTATGCGTGTCCCGGGTCTCTAGAGAGCACGCAATCCCACGACCGCAACGTTCCAATCTGCGCGGAAGAGTGAGCAATTGTTTTCGGTGTATTATTCCACCCCCCAACCCTTACCCATCCCAGTTGGAATACAGTTGATAAAATGTTGTGGATCGAAGCGAATATTGCAACTTGGTTTATACAATTCTCATACGTTGCGGTTACTCAGACGCCAAACGGAAACACACATTCTATTCTCCCTACGCGACTCGTGGCTAAAGCTACAGGCAAGCGGCCTTTCTCGCCAACTGAGCCTGTGACCACAGTCGGTGGACCCCACTTCCGTACAATTCCCCAACTGTGCCGTTCAATAAGTTCGCCACGTTTAGCGGCACTGATGGATAAACAGTCTACCATCATCTCTTTCACCGAACTAGGTAACGTCGGTTTATTTATCAACTCCTCGCGGCTAAAGATCAATTTCAAGCGCAAGGTCTTCGTCCTCCAGGCCCTAGTCAGATTGGTAGTGGAGAGATTGGGGAAATTTTTGGGCTGTCGAGGTAAGAATTGTTTAGGTTTGCCGAGTCAATTTTAAGGGTCGTAGGAGTCGGGAAGGTTGATTTGCCAAAGTTTTTGAAGGACATGACGCAGAAATCTAGAGATTTGTGGGCGCCGGGGAGCTAGGCTCGTAGTAGTTGAGAGAGCTCTTGTAGCTTGAACAGAAATGAAAATATGGTGGAGGGTTAGCGCTTCTGTGTAGTATAGAGATTCGGCTGTATGTGCAATTTTGTGTGGGGCTATTTATGGGATGGAGATCTTACCGCTAGAGGAAGAAGAGAAATGCGGATTGATTGAGCTACTGCTAACCCTAATCTGGAAAGTAGACATGTTGCCAACTTACCCAATTCAAAGTTTACCGAAGCGAACAATTCTGGGTTCAGTGCTAATTCCATTCCCTCAAATCTCCATCGGCATGCCTCCGTACTCTCCACTCCTTAAACATGCCTCCAATAGTTTCAGATCTGCCAACGCCTCCTCAGGTGCTTGCCTCTGATCCATACCTCCCGTGCCCAGTGCTTCTGCCCACCCCTTAATCTCCTGCTTGACTCCATTTCCCTCTTCTAGAAATTCCTTCACTTCCTCTTTCCCATCTTTGGTCACTATGACTTTCCCTCTTGATACATAGACCGTCCCTTTCTCGCAAGCGACAGCATATTCGGAGCCCGTAAACGTAGTACCGAAGGATAGTGAAAGCGTCCCCGAGGCACCGGACTTTAGTAGAAGCGTGGCGTTAAGGGTATCCACGGGTGGAAGGTGTGGTTGGAGCTGAGCAGTGAAGGCACTAGCTTTCACAGGCCGATGGTCCTCTCCCAACATCAACCTAGTAGCGGCTATGAAATGCACACCCCCATCAAGGAGAAACCCTCCTTGGTACTCAGGCGTCTTACGCCAAGCAGTTTCGAAGTATTTCCCCCCTGGTTGAACCATAGAGGAGACACGTGTGCGGAAGCCGAGGACGCGACCAATTGTTGCAATTTGCTGCGACGCGAAGGTGTAGCTCTCGAGGAAGCGGAAATTCTCTGCGACTGTAAAAGTCGGACGCGGTGTTTGCGTGATGGTTGAATTGTACCAGCTGATCAATTCCGTAGCAGTAGCGACGTCTTTGGCAATAGGCTTTTCAGCAAGCACGTGCTTGCCTGCGGATAATGCCTTTTTTATGAACTCTGGTTGAATCAAAATAGGTAGGCTATGCAAATCGATTAGATTATCAACCTCAGGGACGAGGATAGAGACGTCACTCACGCAATGACAACACCTTTAATGTCGTTTCTTTTAAGTAGCTCATCGAAATTTTTTTCTTCGCTATCCTCGCTATAGAGATCGACGCCGTCAAGTCCCTCGGACAAGCCCATTGCAGAGGCAAGAGAGCGCGAGTATATGGCTTTTAGGGCGAGGAGGGGTGTTCCTTGGATTGCCGGCTTTGAAAGGTCAGTCTTCTGAAGAGGGCTTGAAGGACTTCAATAAAAATGGAAAATGCTGAGTGAGGAGCAATGGGCCTCAAAGAGAGACATGAAAAGACGAGGAAGTCATGCGGATTTCAAATCCAAGTCAGTGTAGACAGTAGGTCCATGAAGACGATTGCTTAAAGTGGTAAAGTGCTCGAGGCATGATTCCAACTTACGAGATGTTCTTCCTTCGCAAAGATGCCTATTTTGAAGTTAACCTTGGTCCTGGAACATATGATCTCGCATACTTACCGCTTCCAATGAGTGCAATACCCGTCGCCATATTGTTCAATGTCTAGAAAAAGAGTGTGTATACAACGTATTGGGAAAGCGGGGAATGTCTCAATCGAGGAGAAAATGACAATTTAAAAGAGTAAATACAAAAGAAGGGAGGGAGAGGGAGGGGAAATCCGTTGAAAACTCCCAAAGATTCGCCTGATGAGAACTACGGGAAAATTCCTGTGATTACCAATGACGATGGTGGTGGGGTTGAGCCCCTGAGGTCGGCACGCTTTCACCGGGCTTCCGCTGTAACTATTCCGGAAATGGACTGGTGAGGAACGTGAGATGCAGCCTCGCCAGTTGCACCCACCATTGTAATTGCAATTCAGTCATTGGTGGACCTTCCGTCTCCGGAAACAGGGGATAGGCAAAATCGGAGTGTTTAAGATTGTGGCGTTTGACAACACAATGGGGCGTTCCCAGCGCGTGCAGTGGGTGCTGAGAAATCTGCAGTGATAATGCATGCGTCGTCATTCATTGAATCTTCGAAGGCCCAAGTCCCCCCTTGCGGATACAGAGGGTTCCGTCCCTCAATTCCCCACCATCACGCCACCGCCGGTACGTGGCTACTCGCGTAAAGACTGTATGTACAACGTTTTCAATGCGCCGGCCTAAAATGGCATATGCCAGGAAGAATCGCAATGCCAAATCCGATCAAAAGTTAGTGAAAGGACAGACTCCAAACACCAGCTATGCCATATTTAGGCCCTGATAGACCAGTTCCAGTGGAATTATTCCATGCCGTTTCCCAAAAGCCATGCAAAATGTTGAATAGAACGAGCAAACACCCTGTCTAGTTGGGAAAGATTGTGTTGAATCGTAAAAGCGTGCAAGTGCATATGACCCTTGATCGTTTCCTCGTCTCTGCATTTTCTCCGTGCTCTTTTTGTTATGCTCTGAAGTACTGGAATCGAACGCTCATTTCTTAGCCTTCTCTCTTTGATGGACAACAATAATGAAGATGCCGGCAACAACCATTCCTAACCCACCCAACCCCACGGCAAACCAGAAGGCCGCTCTGTGGCCGATCAGCCTGATTGTTTGTGTGGTCATGCTGTGGTCGAAAAGTGGTGCTGGGTTCCCGTGAATCCCTCTCTTGTTCGCTTCTTGCGTGATGATGTATCTGTCGATTGTGCCTGCGAAACCCAAACCACATGAGATGCTATAGTTGACCATGGTACTCACAAGACTAGCAGCAATACCCTGCTTCTCTTTCGGTAATGATGAGGACAGCAGTATGTTGGCGGCGGGATAGCTTAGATTCATGGCTCCAGGCATGATAAGTACGCTAATAAACGTCTGTGCCCAGTACGTCTGGTCAATAGGCATTGTGGCAAGCAACAAAGCCCCAACCATGAAAAATGTCATGGCAATAAACATGACATAGGCGACTCCGACACGTTTCAGTAGCCAGACTGTTGAGAACGCAAAGAATACACCAGTAATAGCGACAGGTGAGGTCTCCGCAGAGGTAAGGAGAGCAGAATGTCCCCGCAGATGTTCCAGGAAGAGGTAAAGATAATACGCCCAGATACCATGTGACCCCCATCCTGCAACGATGCAGGTTAAGGCAAAAACGGCGTCTTTTGATAGGCCGCGGATTGGGATCAAAGGGTAATCCGTCGCGTAAAGCTCGACAAGCACAAAAGCGACCATGAAGAGGCATCCGACAGCGAGTAGGGTGCCGATGTAAGGATTCGCCCACGTCACTAACGGAGCTTGGTTGAGTGCGAAATTGATAAGGACAAGGCCGGAAACACCGGTAATAGAGCCCCAGTAGTCGAATCTCGGGCGTTGAGGTCCTTTTAACTGAGGAGTGATGACGGCTTCGTTGGGCACAATGACGAAGGCCAGTCCCATCACGATAAGGCATACGATGGACAATATCCAGAACTCCCAGGGCCACCAGGCCAGGTCAGCAAGAAGCGCAGCAAATACTGCTCCTGTCGCAGCGCCGGTCGGACCCATCGCACCGAAACAAGCAAAACCAATGTTGCGTTTTTGGCCGACTGGAAAGGTTCGGCCAATAAGAGCAACGGCGTTTGGGACGAGTAGAGCAGGGCCTAACTATCGATGAGAATGCGACGGGTTGTTACAATGTGAGGACCTACCGATGCCTTGGAAAGCACGACAGATGCTGAAGAGAATAGGGCCCGAAGAGTAACTGAAACCCGTGATAAGTGACCAGATAGCGAACCACGCCCAGCCTATAAGATAGATGCGTTTATGGCCGTACATATCTCCCAAACGACCTTTGACAGGGTTAGCATGAGTGATTTGAAGCAGGGCGGGTGTCCTGGGTTGACGAGAAGCCTGAGCGGGGTCAGGTGTACGAAGACGCACCTGCGGGAAGAATAAAAGTCCCAACACTCATTGAGAATGACGCTGAGAACCAGCTCAGTGTCCCATAGTCTTCAATGTGGAAAGATTCTGCGAGAACCATGACGGGAGCCACTGTTTGATTGAGTGCACCGAGCGAGAGGAATTGAGCAATGCAGGTGATGAAGATGAAAGCAACCTCCCGCGGTTTCGACATGGATGGATTCGAATGCTCTGATCCCGAAGGTTGAGAATCCGGTATGTATACGCCGGATGTATTCGAACTCGGAGAAGTAGAGTCATCCTGCAGCTTCTCGACATCGCTGGAAAGGCTGAGGCTCTCACTTGGAGGTGGTGTTTTGGCGTCTGAAGGGTGGTCGAGGTCTCGAGCCGTGGACTGAGCGAGCTGTGCTATCGAGGGAGCTGCGGTTGATTTCCATGGGAGTGACCAGTATTCGGCCTCTACGTCTGGGGGTGATGATGGTTCAGGAGATGGATTTAGATAGGAACTAGTACTAAAGTCTGTGTTCATGTTGTGGAAAGGGGCGATTTCTCTTCGACTAATCCGCTGCTCCTTACTAGAAAGAGGCACTTGGTGGTTCATATATCCTCTGGACCGGAATTGTAGATTTTGACTAGAGCCAAGCCTTCGGTGACCTGGGATGAGTTTCAGAGCCTTTGGGAATTGATTTGCTCCATTACGAGGAAAGATCTGACGGCGCCACCATGGTTCCTGCCTGGAAGCTGTGGAGCGACATGCATACGGGGCAAAGCACACGCGGGAGGTACTACCTTGTAACACACCTTCATAGAAGATTGGGAGACGCAGTGCGTAAGCAGAACCGTGACTCTGGGAGACAAAATTGTTACGTGTTGCCGTTTTCGGCTGTGAGAAAAGGCTATGGTGGAGAGCCGAAATGTCTGATGATGTGGATCTCGAAAGGAACTCTAGATAAGTGACCAGCGCGTTGCGGAAGCCTTCCACGCGGCACTCTGCGACACAAACCCTGTTCTGCAGGCGTTGCCAAGCCGCTCACCCGTCTGCATCAGTTCGACGTTGGATTGGAGGAGGCTATTTCCGATGTGAATGGATAGCAGCTGCGACACACCCACCACACCAGCCTTAACATTGAGGGTCCGAGGATCAAGGGTTCAGAGGAGAGCGTTGGGACGGAAGGCCCCGTCAGGTGGAGAACACGATAGGCTGAAGGTGAAGAATGAGGATAGTGGCGCATGCATCAGGCGGGGAATCCCATTTGGCGTTTGGCGCCGCGCAAAATTGGATGAGAGTGTTGCACAGGTTTAAGGCTGTCTCCATCATAATTGGAGCCTGGGGAGGATTGGCTGGGCAGACTTCCATCTAGCCGACAGGGTAAATGGCAAATTGCAATCCCATGGCTCTCTCGATCCAACGTTGCTGGCGTATCAAATGCCTTTTGGTCTCTTGGTGGCAGGCAACCACTGAGAGGCGCAGGTGAGTGCTGTCGTGGAGCATTCACTTCGCCGTCCTCAAGGGAAGGGACGCGGATCTCATCCCATGAATTGCGATTAGGAATCACCTGCTAGTGTTCAGTAGAGAAAGGATATCATGCTAGAGGCTTAGGCACAGCAGCATCGTATTGCTTTCCGGAACACAGTCACCAGTGGGGATGTTCATGACTGTGTTGAGGTCTTCTCAGGGCTCCGCTCCTTCGGTAATGTCTAGGGTGGGACTATCGTTGCAATTGGCAGCACATCAGACTCAAGGAAACGAAAGCATCGAGGATCAGCAGTGTACTCAAAAAGTATACGCTCATTTGAACTGCTTCCCGGGTTTTGCGTCGTCAGGATTCTTTTCGCCGGTAAGCTTATGTCTGTGCTAACGCAGAATAGCTAGTTGACTGCACGTGCCATGGTCGGAGACTCAGGTATCCCGGAGCCGATCTTGGTGTCCACCTTTCCCACTTCGCCCTTGCACTCGAAGGCCCTTCAACAAATCTCCTCAGCAGTCGCCAAGCACCGTCACTGCTGCCAGCCGCATACGTGAAGTAAAATTCAAGCCCAGGTCCCAGACTTGGTCCTTGTGTATCTATGGTAAATCTCCCGATCAGCACTGGGCACCTTGGTACACCCGAGTTCGCCCGGTAGGTGACCTGTGAGCTCGTATTTCACCTGTCTGGATATCTCCTGTCTCACTTGGGGGGTTGAAGCTCCTGTAGCTGCATTTGAGGTACATGCATTTGCCTGTTCCGTCATTCTCTGTAGAAAAGAATGGTTCCTGGCTCATCTCCGCAGGCATTACCCCAGTCTCTCAAGCACTCGACGACGCCGCTCCTTGTCCCGCAACCAAGTCCGAAGTTTTTCACCATCCCCGCTGCTTTCCGCAGTCAACGAGAGATTGCGGTCGTCCCCGTGCCTAATTATTCAAGGTGATGGCCGCCAAGCTTGATAGCCCAACTCTTACTCAGAATGCCATTCGCCCCGTAGCAATCGCCTCAGGCCGGACCAATTTTACTCGGCACCAGCTCCGAAGTAGTAAACTGCATCTGAAGGAACTGCGCAGCTGCATGTAAGATACGAAAGAGGTAACAGGAAGTTTCCTACTGGGGAGATCGAAATTGTATCCGGTGCTGACTGTGGAGGTTTCTATTGCCACCTTGAAACTAATGCTTTTGGTGTCTCGGCCTCAACATTTTCTCATTTAATCCTTATTCCTGAAGATACCCACATATTTTCCCAGAAGAACACCAGTTCCTTGCTACTAGCTACGTCTTACTACATGAACTGCTTAATTTTACCTCCCTGACTCAATTCTAGATGCGGTCATCTAGACGCGGTCCGGACCGCATTCAGCATCTGCGTCATTTCTCCAATGAGGGCCTCACAGTCTTCGCGAGTGCATTAATAAGCCTTACCAATCCCCTTTCCCATCCATGGGACGTTATCCACCCAACGTTGACTTCAGGGTACATCTAACGCGACTTTTTACCAATGCCTCACTTCTGATGCGCAACGTCTCACGTCAAAGCGGGGTAGCTCACGCGTCCATTACTTTCCTCTGATTTCTGTCGACAGAAGATTTGTTATCGCATTCCGGAAATAAGAAGATTTTGAACGAGGACCCAGCTTGTCTTACCGGAATAATAACGTCCTCCTGACGAGACTCGTGTCAAAATATCAGGATATGCCTCATAAGTCACGAGAGAGATTGCTCGCGTAGGAATCATTTTTGTGCCCCTCATTCCTCTCACAAGAATTTCGCGCATTAGCTGCTCAAGTTCCAGATGCACAAGCTGTCTCATGCCTAGGTGTAGGTCGAGGATACTGAACCTACGAGGACTACCACAATACCATAGAGTGGGCAACTCACTGTCCCCCAATTTAATGCATGAGATTCCGTCTAATACAGTGTGTTTTTCACGATCTTATTTCTATGTCAATTGATACGCCAATCTTGGAACTTTGATAGTCACACAAAATCACGTACAATATGATCTCCTGTTAGCCAATAGGGAGCTTTTCCGGCAACGTTGAACCCCTCACTAAGATGGATCTCTGTTTCCTCCTAATTGTTAACTTCCGCACAGTGTGATATTCTGGGGCTGAAATACAGGCTGATGGCAAGATACCGACTCCGATGATAGAATCGTTATAGAGCGCGTGCTTGCAGGCACCTAGCCATGTTCGATACTGAAATATAGCCTCTTTGTAAGCCGTTTCCTCGTTCCTTCGCGTGGTTCTTGAGTTGAATTTTCCTTCGGCATAGTTTACGTGAAAATGTCCAATCTAGACGTTGCAAGCCTGTTCAGCGTTAAGGGGATGGTGTTCGTTATAACTGGTGGTGGATCAGGCATGCCCACTCCTTCCTGCGATAACCCAACGGTTTCTGACCCGATATCAAGGTATTGGTGCCATGTTCGCAAAAGCGCTTGATGTAAACGGGGCGGCAAAAGTCTACATAGTTGGCCGAAGACTTGAAAAGCTTCAAGAAGTTGCAGCTACTGCTGTAAGAGCTCCTCCCCTCCCACAAACATCTGTCACTCGCTAATCTTCTTCATAGCCAAACAAATCCATCGTCTCGATTCAAGGCGACATAACCTCCAAAGACTCCCTCGCTGCCGTAGCAGCCCAGATCGAAAAAGAATCCGGATTCGTAAATTGCGTGGTCGCAAATTCAGGTGCTACAGGCCCCGACTTGTATGGTCTGCCTCGCGATCGTCGACCCGCGTTCTCTGAAATCCATAAGTATCTGTGGGATACGCCGATGGAGCAATTCAATGACGCGTTCAATGTCAACACTACTGCGTGCTTTTACACTTTGGTCGCATTTTTGCCGCTATTGGATAAAGGGAATAAGAGTGACGTGAGCAAGGCTAGCGGAGTGAAGAGCCAATTTGTTGTGACGAGTTCCATCGGCGCAATGAGTAGGAGACCTGGGATGGGATTTGCCTATGCGGCAAGCAAGATGGCGGCTATCCATATGATGAAGCAGATTGCTACTATGATGGCGGATTGGCGACTGGATATCCGAGCGAACAGCTTCTGTCCAGGGGTGTATCCAAGCAATATGAGCCAGGTATCTTCTTCACTTTCTTCTTCCGAGTTTCAAGGTATGGTGAGGTATGGGGGTGACTAACGATGGTTGTAGGGCCTGATGGGCAAGGAGGACCTCACGAAAGAGGGTTCTGTGAGTCCGGAGATGATTCCTTTGACACGAGCGGGCACGGAGGAGGACGCTGGTGGTGCACTGCTGTTTCTGTGTAGTAGAGCCGGGGCGTATATCAGTAAGTAGGCCCTTACCCTGTCACTTACCATGTACTTATACATGCATAGACGGGAATGTGCTCATTTCGGATGGTGGGAGGATGTCGATTGTGCCTGCGACGTACTAAACTTTCTCTTTTGGAATAGATTTGTGCCAACAATAAAACTAATACCTCAGGTGTAGATCTTGTGCATCGTCCTACGATTAAAGATTACTTACGATAAGGGTGAGGAGATTTCCCGGCCGGCAAAGAGTTACTAGTTAACAATTCACGACGCCACGCACCGCTTAAAAAATTGCTCTGCAAGACCCGGAGCAAGTAACCAATAGCACGTTGCTTACTGCACTATCCAAGCCTGTGTTGAAAATGGTCAGGGATAGACAAGATTTCTTCTTCTTTCTCACAATTATGCTTCCGGTCCTTTCACTCCTTCCTCCGTTACCTTAGTCCTGCCCTTCAGCGTCGCTGCCACGGAGCTGCCCATCAAAGCATCAATATCAGGAATAAAGAAGCTCACAAGAATCGCGAGGCCTCCGAAAGCCAAAGAAACCAAGAAGATTGTGCGATACGCATCCATATACGCATATTGATAAGCTGTCGCTCCAGTTACCAATATCTCTGGCGTTAGGCCATGGACCTTGTCGAGAAGGGCTTTTGTGCCTCCTGCTGCGATGGCAGCCATGTAGTCCGCGACCGACGATGCAGGAAGGCCTGCTGCGATGACTTTTGCTGGAACTTGTGTTGTTAGGGTTTTAGTAACTCGTGCCGTTAGAACGACGGAGTAGATGGTGCTCGCTACAGTGGAGATTGCGGAACGCGAGGATCCGGCGATGCCTGCTGCTGTGCCGATTTCCTCTTGCGATCGGATGCTGATAGTGCAGATGGGGAGGACGAGCGCTTCGTTCCAACCGATGAACGTTGTGGCAAGGAAAATGAGTGCCATGGCTGTTTTAGGCGTATTGGGTGTGCAGATGGCGGTCAGACCGAGAAGAAGAGTTCCTAAAGTGATGACGCATATACACTGGATTTTCCATTTGCCGAGATTCTAGAGTATCGTAAGTTTTGTTTCTCAATTTTGGAAGAGGGATAAAAGCTACCTTCGCAACCCCGCCACCAATAACTTCGCCGATGGTGATTCCAATGCCGACTAGGCAAGATACTAGGCCTCCCCACATGACTCTCCCCTCAGCATAGACATTTGCTGTCATCTGTGGCCAAACAATTGCTTGAGAGTAATACACTGAAGCCCCCAAGGACAAACTCAGCATCGAAGCTACCCAGCCTCGATTCCTGAACAAGTGTATTGGAATGAGCGGCTCCTTTATATCGACGTAGGTCTCGTACGCGAAGAGACCCACGAGACAAATGAATCCAATGACTAGCGGAGCAATAACAGCTGCGCTCTTCCAGGGGTAAAGTGATCCACCGGATGATAGTCCGAGGATGAAGAGTACCAGGCCTGCGGTGTAGAGAAACAGTCCTACGTAGTCGAAGTTCTTTAGCCACTGCATTATGGTGTCTCGGCCGTGCTTTTGGTGGAATGTAGGAGGAAAATAGAATATCGTATAGAGAAGAGCCGTCACACCGTTTAAAATTATGAGTATGTAGTAGGTCCATCTCCATCCCTGACCTGTGTGTAAAATCAGAGCAGTGGAAATGGCAGCCCCAAAGCCAGCAGTCGGAAACGAGAAAATGAAGATTGTTGCATTAGCAACAAACCTCCATTTGACTGGTATTAGCTCGCCTATGATGAACGCGTACGAGTACCCGGTGGAAGCAGACAAGCCGATAAGCACCTGACCCCCAATGAGCGTAGGAACGGTGTGGGCGGTGCTAGCGACGATGGCACCGACACATCCCAGTGCAGTGCCGAATATGAAGAAGTAGCGACGACCAAAAATGTCGGAAAGGCGGCCTACAAGAGTAAGACCTACGGCGAGGCCCATAGTATAGACGAGCGAGAGCCAGATGATGGAGTCGGTGGGACCGAGAGCGATGGCTATGTCGCCGAGAACTGGCGCTATCAGAGCAAAGCCACCTGTTGAAGCCTAGGAAATGTAAGCATAAAGAAGGAAATATGGCAGTAGAGAGGCTAAGTAGTACCATCAGATTGAAGCCAATGGCGATAAACGTTCCAATAAAAAAAGGAGACCTGTAGTATCCCTTGGGCAGCTCAGTACTGTCAGCCACAAAGCCACGCTCTCCGACAGTATTGCCATAGTGAGAGCATGCAGGATGTTCTATCTCCTCGGTATATTGTTTCTCTGTGGCTGATGGGGTCATGATGAAAGGTCGCGATAAGAAATCCAAGGAAGATGATGAGAGTTCGAGATGTATGAAACGCGAAGTCACAGGGACAAGATCCGGGGAAGCGTCTCGCGTATTTAAACCACATATTTGGGTACATGACAATGCGTTTCGGTATGCGAGCCCAGCCTTCCCAGGTTTAGGGATGATAATCATCCAGAATTACCTATTACAGTCATCACGGCTCCTAATAACCGGGACGTGTAGCTCTGCACACGGTCTTGGAAAGCTTATAAACGCAATGGGCTTCTCTATCAGCACCAGGCCCGGAATGTAGTACAATCCGAGAGGAAATGCAACCCAGAGCATACTGGATTCAAAAGGGCTGGTGATGGGGGTGTGAATGGCTTAATTAGCTTGCGGAGACCCCACCCCCTCCACACTTTGATTCCAGTTTCTGGGGACGACGGCGTGGAGATGGGGTGCATTAGCTGCGTGATGGTATCTGGGGTTGGGGATGTTGTCTGGAAGATGAACTTCCGGATGCGATAGTTGACGTAAAGTAGTTTCAGGGAAGCCAAGGCCGCACTAGCCAGAAGTGGTAGGAAAGCGTAGGCCAGATTTAAGCTCTGCACCCTCTCCGCGACACGAGAATTAGAAGTACTGAGGGAGCTGGAAAGTGACAGTTAGAGCTTTTGGCGCCTCATTTCCTCTACATTCCTGTTACCGTCCGGTTGTCGATGATCCACAAAACCCTCCCTAGCGGAGAAACTCGCCGGTAGTATATTTCCGGGTCTGATATCCACTCCCCGGAATCTTCAGGTGGCTTTGTTTATCATCATGGGTATCAAAGCCTCGTTTTCGCAGTACATTTCCGTATCCTGCATCATCACACGTGCACAGGCTTTGCCCCTGCATGTCTTCCACGTCTAAATCTCTCAAATGATTCATTTAGAGTGCTAGCAGACGTCTTCCTCAGCTCCCTCAACCTCTCTCAGTTGTTTCATTATTGCTACTGAGAACGAAGTATGCCTACCTTACCAACAAGGCAGCTAGGTAAGAACGGGCCGAAGGTTTCAGCTCTGGGGTTTGGTGCGATGGGCTTGAGTGCCTCATATGGCAAGGTTGGGGAGAATCAGGATCGATTCGCAGTTTTGGACCGAGCACTGGAACTGGGCTCGACGTTTTGGGACACATCTGATGTTTGTGGGTCCTCTGCAGTTTAACTTCTTTTGCTTCTTCATACTAACCTCTCATAGATGCGGACAGTGAAGACCTCCTAAAGCTCTGGTTCGAGCGAACCGGCAAGCGAGATCAAATATTTCTTGCAACTAAATTTGCTGTGACAAAGGACGCAGGAGGCAACCCTATCATTCGTAGTGACCCGAACTACGTTAAACAGGCTTGTGAGAAGAGCCTGAAGAAGTTGGGAGTGTCGAAGATCGATCTCTACTACTGTCATCGCGTAGACAAGAAGACTCCTATTGAAAAGACAATTGCCGCGCTTGTAGAGCTGAAAAAGTGAGATATCCTAGATTATCAAATAGAGCCTAACAATTAAGCTAATATACAAAGTAGAGAGGGCAAGATCGGCGCCATCGGTCTTAGTGAAGTCTCCGCAGCTACGATACGGCGCGCAGAAAAGGTCCATCACATTGATGCCGTCCAACTCGAATATAGTCCCTTCGCTCTCGATATTGAATTACCCGAAATTGGGATCCTTCACACATGCCGAGAGTTAGGTATTACGGTCGTCGCGTACAGCCCTCTAGGCAGAGGGTTCCTGACAGGACAAATCAAGAGCCCATGTGACTTTGAAGATGGAGACTTCCGAAAACATGCCCCACGGTATAATGAGGAGAACTTTCCCAAGAATTTGAAGCTGGTTGAGAAGCTGCAAGAATTTGCAAAGGCAAAGGGATGCACATCTGGTCAGCTGTCTCTGGCATGGTTACTTGCACAGGGAGATGATATCATTCCCATTCCGTGCGTTTACCGACGGCATCCAATGTTCTTAAATTTTGCTGACGCGGCTCCAGAGGAACGAAGAAAATCAAATATCTCGACGAGAACGTAGGTGCGGTTAATGTTTACCTAGCTCCAGATGAGATACAGCAAATACGGACAGAGATCGAGAAGGTCAAGGTGGTAGGAGACCGGTATCCTCCTTTTTTTGCTCCCTATTCTTTTGGCGACACCCCACCCCTCCGATCATAACCTTGACTCATGCTTAGCTATTATCACTCATAGACGAGCGGATAGAAAAATCTACTTCCAGTATCTTTAAGTCTGCTTATGCCTTATACTGGTCTCAGTTTCATTCCTATATTCTGCAAGGTTATTTCGGAACCTTCACCCCCAGCACCGTATTATCATAGCCCAGCATAATGTTAATAGGCGCTTTGATGAAATGATTCTCATCTGGTGCAATTACCCTCACAAAATCCGGATCTGTAACTATCTCCTTCCACGTCTCAAGGTCCTTAACCCAAACCTCCGCAATGCCATCGTATTCCGGTACGGGGATTTTGAAGTCACGGGCAGCAGCTTTGAGATTTGGTGATGTGTGAAACTGGTAAGCTACGTTAGCAAAAGACTGGTTGTACTTCACAAAGTCTAAGGCTTAATTGATTGATAGGAGGGTATACCTGGTTGTAGCGAATGACTTTGTCAACGAATTTCTTGTTCTCAAGAGCTAGCTTGACATGGTTCCCTTTCCAATAATCGTGGAAGAATTCGTCTGTGACCTCGTCTTTCTTCTTCAGGCAGAGCATTACTCGCACGTAAGGAGGATTTACGGGCTCGGCCATGGCGTAGAGAGCTGAATCGTAGATACTAAATACAGAGTGCGTAAAAGTAAGAAATGGAACAGTATGTAGTGGTTTGAAATTGACAAGGATCGAACTGTGTATACAAATATGCGTGGCTATTGCGACTTGCGACGTAAAGGTGGCAGACGGGAAGATGCCTATGGAGAACTATATCCGGTTACCGCGCAGATTTGAACGTGGCGTGGTGCCTTCCCCGCAGATGACGGAGCTCGATTTCGTAGATTTCACCTAGGGCGTGGGGTCTTATGCTCCGGGCTGTCGGCCTGGAAGCTGTGAATTAAATTTGGGGCACTTGTGTAATACATATGTTTCTCAAGACTTCACATATCTTCTTAATGAATATCTATCTACCTAGATGGTGCCACGGTCATAAAACACCTTTGGTATATCAACCAATTTACAACGAACGTACTCGCAAACATTCTTCCCCAAGATATCATAGGAGCTACTCGAATTCGCCCCTCGGTCTAAATGGTCCCGCAACAGAAAGTGGACCGCGTATAAAGCTGGTATTTCGAATCGATCAATATTCTTGCCTTTATCCTCATCTTCGAGAAGTTCGCGTAACTTGCCAATAGAAAGAAGCGACCGGAGCCAGTCCCATTCATCGGCATGCCGTACAAACAAGCCGAGGTTGCAGTCTGACGATTTGTCACCAGATCGCCCATGGACGATGTGTCCAAGGGGGGCGAGCACAGTTTCACCCCATGAATCTAGCGGTAATGGAGAGGGAGTGTCGTAGGAGTCTTGCTGCCGTGGGTATACATTCGTGTTTGTCGGAGCGGGAATCGAAATGGTTTTCCCATCGAAGGTATGAAGTTCGTGATTGATCTTATTCTGTGGGAAAAGTGCGACCCAATACTCAAAGAACGGCTTCCCAATGCTTTGCCGAAGATCCATTGCGGGAGTGCCACCCGGATATCCTTGAAGGCAATTCTCTATACACCACTTCCCAAACGAGGGTGTGTCGGGAGCCACACCTTTGTGTGCTCCAGCTGACATTAAATCCGGGTTCTTGCTTTGAGCGAAGATTCGAAGGTCAACTGTGGCACTAGCTTGATTCTTGGGATTTACAGGAATGGAGCCAGTGATATTAAAGACCAGCGTTTGGAACTCTTTCCGGTAGTCGCCCATTGACTCGAGGGTCTGTCGTTCTATGAGCTCGGCTTTCTCTTCGATATCGAGCCCTGTCAGGAAGAAGTGGACTTCGGCTTGCCAGCCTCCTTTCGCAGTGATGCCGATCTTTGTTGTTGGGGGAGGCGGAGAGCCGGTCACACCTGTAACCCGAACTCGATTCGGAGCCTCTTGAACCAACTTGATCCTATCAAACCGCGCTGTAACATCTGAGTTGTAGTATAGAGGGCCTTGGATCTCGTATAGTAACTGGGCAGTAACGGTTTGCACGTTCACTATTCCACCCGCATTCTCCTCTTTCGTGATCACGAATTGCCCGTCAGCCTCAATCTCTCCGATCGGAAATCCGCAGTTCGTACAGTTTTTCGCATATAAAAGTTCCTTCTTGAAACCAGTGTAGTAACCACCTGTGATGTACGAGCTGCACTCAAGGAGATGGCCTGCGACGAGGGCATATGAGAGCTGTGTGAAGTCTTCTCGATCCCAATTATGGAACCACATTGCAGCTCCAACTACCGGCGCAGCATCTGCTACACGCCCACATATGACAATGTCCGCTCCGCGACGAAGAGCTTCGGCAATACCAACACCCCCTAAGTATGCTTGGGCGCAAACCGGCTCTGCACCCCACTGGTCGATCGGAGTGTCTGAAGGTAGAGAAAGAAACCTCTCTCCATCCTTCAGCATCTCTTTAAATTGCTCTGTCACATCATCCCCAGTTACCCACGAGACTTTCAAGTCTGTTCCATAGTCTTTGACCAGCTGCTGAACAATATTCGCCATTGCTTCTGGATCACATGATCCCGCGTTCACCGCAACTTTCTGTTTATTTTGTGCAATGTATTTAATTGCGGGTTTGAGGGCTGCAACGAAGCTCATCTCAAAAGCTAGCCGCTCAGCTTCTGGTTCTCGAGATGCACGTTCGTTACCACGGAATGTCATACTGATCTCTGATATCCAGTCGCCAAAGAGTACTGCATTTGAAGTCAGAAAGGAGCGTGTTAGGCATCGATTGCTCACCATCGATACTAGGATCCTTAGCAAGATCTCCCATGGCTCTAAAACGATCGAAGACACCACCAGATATTCCTGCAATTCGCATGACTCTTTTGGAGGACTCATTCCCATGCAAGTTAGTCGTCATTGTTGAGGTCTCTAAAGCCTGTAGAAGGCTTGATAAATTATAAGAAAATATCAAAGCTCAAAAGCCAACAATATATATATATGTGTGTGTGCATGTGTAATCAAGACGAGAGACTGCGGTGGATAGGCTGAGAAAAGAATCTCAGGAGCGTGGATATCGAGACTCTCATGTAATGCCACCCGCACGCAAGACATTAAGCTTGCTTCACAAGATAGAGAGCAGAGAGATGATGCTGCATATGCCATTGGGTGAAGCTTTCCGTGAAGAGTTGGAAGAGAGATAGAAGAGCTTCCTTCCGCAAAGTGCAAACAAGCTTTTCCTGGCGTGCCCTGGCTGACCTTCTCCGGGTGATAACCCCCACACTTCCACCGCCACCTTTCCACGCTATCTATACACTCTTGTTTTTACGTGCATATTTCCGCTTCGATCTGCATCATGGAAATTCATCTTCCTGCAACTCGTGACTTCGGATTATCTAATTCTCCTTTCCGAAAAGGGAAGTGCTTTTCCGGAGAGGTGTGTTGAGAGGTTGAGGAGTGAACTCGGAGACGTTTGGAGAGGCTATATCATGTGGCTTTCATGATTGGGGTTTTCGAGGAGACATTCCTCGTTCACGATACGGCCAACATGGCGGTGCTTAATTGGGAAAGTCTGCCCTTCGCGCATCTTGGGCCTTCTGCAACCGCCGCAATTGTTTTCGGGGTAATTGTAAGTTGATGGATGGAGATATCGAAGAATACCCTCGACCTGATCTTCAATTTAGATTTCAACTTATCTCATTGCCGTAGCGATATACAGACTGTACTTCCATCCCCTCGCAAAGTATCCAGGCCCGCTATTAGCAAGACTTACACCAGTATGTTCCCTCTCTGAACAAAGTCATCTCCCATGCTCAAGGCCTCGAGATCCCTATAACATGGAGTCTCCTCCGCGGTCGAATTCCGTTCTTCATGAAAGCCTGCCATGACAAATACGGCCCGGTCGTGCGCGTCTCCCCAAATGAGCTTTGTTTCGACGATGAATCGGCATGGAAAGATATCTACGGCTCTCGGCCAGGCCATAAGAACTTCCATAAAGATCCAATTCACGTTGGATCAATTCAAGCCGTCCACGGAGCGTCTACAATTACCATGGCGAATGATGCGGATCATGCCCGCCAACGAAGAGCTTTATCTCATGCTTTTTCAACAAAGGCATTGCTGGAGCAGGAATATATCGTCAACAACTATGTTAATATATTTTCTCAAAAGATGCAAGAGTTTGCTGAAGGAGATGGAATCGTGGATGTCACAGAATGGTTTGCTTACACGACTTTTGATGTTATTGGAGATATGGCATTGGGAGAACCTTTCGGATGTCTGCACAACGGTCAGTGGAAGTCACCAGCATGAAAAAACACAGAGAGCTGATGCACTGCAGAGGACTTTCGGTTCTGGGTTCCACTGATTAGCGACTCTATCAAAGCAGGAGCTATCGAGCAAGCCACTCGGCGCATGGCAGCAACCGGCAGCCCTCTTCAGCGCTTCTTTCTATGGTGCATTCCTAAAAGTATTCGCGGAACTCGAAGGAATCATCTCGATTACAGTCGCGAAAAGATCTTAAAGCGCATGGAGCAGACTCAGAGCGACCATCGCGACTTCCTCTACTACGTAATGAAGCAGCAAGACAAGGGTGATCTCAACTTGAACGAAGTCATTGTGAACGGTGCGCTCTTTATCATTGCAGGAACCGAGACCACTGCAGGATTCCTCACTGGTTTGTTCAACTTGATCACCCGAACCGACAATAAGCACATTTTAGACAAGCTTACTCAAGAGATCCGGTCCAAATTCAAATCAGACGCCGATCTGAACTTCGAGGAGCTTGCAAAACTTCCCTACCTAACGGCCGTCATTGAGGAAGGCCTGCGCATGTTCCCCTCTGCACCAATCGGCTTTGTTCGCACTGTCCCCATCGGTGGCGACACTGTCAGCGGACATTTCGTTCCCGAGGGGACCACCGTCTCCGTATGCATGTGGGCCGCTACCCACTCCAAACGCAACTTCAAAGATCCCTACATCTTTCGTCCAGAGCGATGGATGGATCGTGAGAACACGGTTGACAAACTCGGGGCCAGCAATCCGTTCTCGCTAGGTCCTCGAGGATGTATTGGCAGGAACTTGTCATACATGGAGATGAGGTTGATCATTGGGAAGCTGCTATGGCATAATGATGTTGAGATGTATGGCATGAATGACGTCTGGGATCCGAAGGATGATTATAGGAATATGGTGGTTTATAATAATTGGATTAAGCCTAGCTTGAAGTTGAGGTTGAAGCCGAGGAAGGACTAGTGTACTGCTACCTAGTGCACGCTTGAGTAATTTATGGATATAACTTACGAATTTACCGCATAGTCAGCCTTCGTTTAGTGAAAGACATAATATTGTGAAGCCGATATGCTCAACAAAAATCCCTACAAGAGTCTTTTCTTCGAAAGACGGAGTGACCGGTCATCGTTTGATGTACTCACCACAGGATCAATCACAACACATGTTTGTGAATCTTTTACAATTATGAGGAAATACAACTACTCATGATCATACGCCGCAAGAATCTCATCGAAATACTGCTTCGTTCTCGCCTTCAAATCGGGATGTGTTGCCACCCAGCCTTTATCCTGCTTGATTCCGTCCACAACTTGGCTTGCAACATCCGCCGGCGGAATACGTCTGGCCTCCCTCTTCTTAAGATCCACTACCAAAGAGTCTCCAAATCGCTCCGGGCGACTCCTCTCACTCTTCATAATCTCCGTCTGCGTCCCCGCAATGATGATAGTGGAAATGCCGACACCGTGTTGAGCGGCTTCGGGCCGGAGTGCGGCGCCGAGGGCATGGACAGCGGCTTTCGCAGAGGTATAAGGGCCATGCAGAGTCACCCAGTTAGGCACCATACCGGCTTGGGAGCCGTGAATACAGATGTGACCGTAGCCACGATTCACCATGTCCGGATAGAACTCCTGAATGCAATACGTAGTTCCATTCAACACGACTCCATAGACCCAATCCCAATCCTGCTCGCGATGTAGATGAAATTCTCCTCCAGTGGTCACACCTGAGTTACATACTAGGATATCAACTTGTAGCCCGGCTTTAGTGATCTCTGCTTTGAGGGTTTTGACGGAGGAGCGGTCGGAGACATCGCAAATTATGTCGAGGACTTTGACATTCGAAGCTGATTTTCGGATCTCGTTGGCACCGGCAGAAAGACGCTCTTTGTTTGTTGAGCAGATAACAATGTTTGTGCCTTCGGCGGCGAGTTGAAGGGCGAGCGCGAGGCCGATTCCAGTGCCACCGCCTGTGATGAGTGCAGTTTTGCCTTTTAAGTCCTTCATTGTGAAAGATTTGCAGATAATGAATAGAAGTAAAATAAGGACTTGTTTCAGGCTAAGAGAGGATTGAGGTGGGCCCAAATTGGCGCTTAAAAAGGAGTATCAAGAGAGTGAATTGAGATATTCCAAGACATTGAGAATTATTACGAGTACTTACTTGATATCGCAACATATTTCTACAAGCAGTGCTCAGGCAGTGTATAGGCATGGAAATCTTCAGCCGCGAAGTGAGGGAGATGGCAATTTCGAGATGAGGTGGGATCTAGTGCACGTGAATGGTGGGGTAGCTTTCTCGAAGCCAGCCAAACTACGGCGGATGACGTCTCGCTCTTCTACCGGCAACACATACCCGATCACCCTACAACTCTTCTAACCCAGAAACCTTTGACAAAAGGCAACCATAGTAGGATGTTGCGTCTCCAGCTTCAGAAGTCGTCCCTGGGAGACACGTGACGTGTCAATTCACTCAACAGTTGCCAACCTCGTTCCAAAGCTCATCATTACTCTATTTCTCGAGTTATAATTACCAAGCTCTTGATCTAGTCACAATGTCTTCAGAAATCAAAGGCCCCGGCCTTCTCTGGGTAACATCCCGTATCGCCCCGTCTGCCGTCGATATCCTCGACGAGCGCACCTATTTAATAGATTGGTACGACAACACCCACATCGCTGAAATCATCCAAACCAAGGGAATAAAAAACGCGTTCCGCTATACCGACGTCGAAAAGGGCACCCCTGACGCTCCAAGGCCGTACCTGGCGTTCTACCCCATGCTTGATTTGGCTTTTACACAAGGCCCAGATTTTAAGCATATCACGGTGAAGAGCGATTGTTTGCCAGGTTCAGGGATTTGCTATGATCTTGCCGATATTGATGTGAGTTATTTGGCATTGGTGGGGAAGATGGAGGGAAACGCAAAGAAAGGTACTTGCTGTTTACTCTGGGCCTTTTTATAGGTGCTGAAAAGCGCAGGCCCGGCGCAGTACATCATGACCTCAGCCATCGAGCCCGCCAATAGGACGTCTGAAGAGGAGGTGAACAAGTTCTACGATGAGGTTGGCGCTACCGCACTTCCATTCCATTCCACCGATTCCTCAGTTTGACCAGCACGCAGCAAACGGCAGCCATTTCGAAAGCCTCGAACTATCTCCGCACAACTAGATACAGGCTAGTATACGCCCGGACGAATGCACAGTCAAGGAAATTGAAAGGACTCCCAACAACAGATGAGCCCGCTCCCGAACCGCCGACATGGCAGGCTGTCCACGAGTTCTCCGCAGAGCCTGCATCAGATGTCAGAGACAGGGTGAAGGCCAATCCGAGTGAGGTGCTGAAGAAAGCGAGGCAAAACGAACTGCACGTCTACAAGCTTGAGATAGCACACGGAGACAAGAAATTCTTCGAGTGAGCAGAATCAGTTGACAATAGTCACGACTCACGAGTCTCACTTCATTATGTTCATTTGTATCCGGGACATCTTTCGTGTGTTTCATGACATCTTTCGATTGTGACCATCTGAAATTCCCTTTCAGTCAGCACCTACAGATCTCCATCCCTGCGTACATTCGATCTAGTACCAAGATCCATCTAGCCTCGCTTTAGTTTCCGACCTTCTTCACCGCCCACCCCGCACCAGGGGAACCTCACTCGGTGACATGTGGCAATCCCAGATTTGGAAATACACACCCGCCACACACACAAACCCCCAAATTCTCCAAAGCGCCCTATCGTAAAAGCGGCTGTCAAAGCGTCTTGCATACATCCACGTAAGCCACAGAGCCCCTCAGCCCACAACTCAACTCCGGGGAACTGGGGACGCGTCTGGGGAAGGGAAAAGCAAGTCCGGGGCAAGGGAAAGTATAATTGCATATGATTTTCGATCGTAGGGTGAAGGGATGCAAGCATCTCAGCCTAGTTTCCTCTATCAAAACACCGCATCTAGAGTATCACGAAAAAGAATCGGACGCCTTCCGTCCCGGACCGTCCAACCTCACACGAGCACCACCTGACTAAACCTCAATACCCCACAATCACATTGCGCTGCCGCGGCATCTGTGTATTGTCTGCATCCATCTGGTGGATATAGAAATAGGAAGCTTGCCTAAGTGTAATAGAGACGGACAGAGAGGCAGCTTCTTTTGATCTTGCAATCCAGCAATTATGCCTTCAGTTAGTCAAATTCCACCAGCACGCGTCTTTTTTAAGACTGTGATAAAACCATCTGCATCTTCTAGCTCGCAATTGCCTTCGTTGACGCCGAGCTCGATTCCTAGACAACTCACAACCACGTCTTCAACCACGTCGCCATCTCCGTCCCAGACTGCGACGCAGCAGTCGAGTGGTACGGGAAGGTATTCGGCTTCAAGAGGATCCGGTAAGAACAATCCTCTAATCCCTCTCCAATTGCTGTTCTATTCCCGTTGCCCCAGCTCGAAGTGCGCTGATAGAAACTAAGTGGCGACCGCATGACCGACCGTGCTACCATGCCCAGCGCGCCCATCTATAAGATCTACGACTGCAAAATGCATAAAGTGAAAATTGCATGGCTGGGAACCGGCAACAGCGTCGGCTTCGAAGTCTTTGAATTCATTGATCCACCACACCAACCCGTTCCAGACTTCGAGTACAACCGCTCTGGATTCTTTCACATTGCTGTGACGGCGCCGGATGTTGAGATTGCGTGTAAGAGAGCGGTGGAGGCTGGTGGTAAGCAGGTTGGGGAAACGGTGGATATGGGGGGAGGGGAGAGGGCGCTTTATTTAAGTGATCCTTGGGGGAACGTGGTGGAGGTTTTAAGTTGTAGTTTTGAGGCGCTTATGGCCAATAAGTAATTAATGGGAGCATTTTGGGATCGTATATAATTGCATGGCTTCCCAAATACCCAACTCAAACATGTTCAAAAATGAGAAAATGTTCAAAAATGGGAAAATTGTTGTAAAAGTGGTGGGGCGGGAATAGAGCGACGGCCGCAAAGTGATGGTGAGTAGGTTGATGCGATGAAGACACGAAGTCCCGTGATTCTTGGTGGTCTACGCAAATTGAACTAGCTGCCTCTTTGCAATCTCGCCCTTCTTCATCCTCTCCACCATTCCATTCACTGCATCCAGGTTCTTATATATATCCACCTCTGGCCGGATATTGTGCTTCACTGTAAAATCGATCGCTTTCTTCATCCTCGATGGAATACCTGTGCTATCACCCTTCACTCTATATGTACCCCTCGCAATATCAAGAGCGTCAAACGTCACCCCATTAGCAGGTAAACCAACCACCATGATGAGGCCTCCAATTTTGACTAGGGGAGGGGCACTTCGGTATGCTGCATCTGCTGCGCTGAATACGGCAACTGCGTCAGCGCCCTTGTTCGGTCCTCGATCCATGAATGCTTTGGCCTCTTCGACATAGTTGTTGTTCGTGCGGGAGTTGAAGACTGCATCGGCGCCCTGAGATTTTACTGTGCTCAGGATGTCATCGTTGATATCCACACCAACGACTTTGAACCCCATTGCCTTGGCGTATTGGCATGCTAGCTGGCCGAGGCCTCCGCAACCAATGATGACAAGCCACTGCCCAGGCTTGAGTTCACAGGAGTCCACGCAATGGAAAGCTATGGGGATTAGTGCTTGATGCCGAAGCTTCTCACTTCACCGCAACTGCGCCTACCTGTTATACCTGCACAGAACATTGGGCTTGCGGTCTCGGCAGGGAGCTGCTCTGGTAGCAGGATACAACTGTGCGCATCCACGGTGGCGTACTCAGCCAGCAGCCCGGGCTCATCGAACCCATGGACCCGACTCTTCTTCACCAAGCAATGGTTACTGTGCACTGCGCATCCCTCACACTCGTTGCAGAAATCAACAATGTATGTAAAGCCGATCGCATCCCCGACCTTGAACCCTTTGTTCTTGGCTGCTAGGTCGATCTTCTGGATGTAACCCGCGCCTTCGTGGCCAATCGTTACGGGCTTTTGATGAGGGAGGGCCATGGACATGAGGTCTGAGTGGCACAACGAGGCGGATGCGAGCTTGACGAGGAATTGGCCGGGGCCGGGGGTGGGCATGTGGACTTCGTTTACTACGACCTTCTGTTGGACCTAACAAGACATTAGTATCGTGAGGGTATTGAGAGGTGCTGGCTGAAGCTTACCGGATCCCATTGGGCTGCTTTCATCATGTTGAAACGTGAGTATCGAAAACCCTAGTATGAAGAAGGATGAAATAGTGAATCGGGAATCAACATTGTCGCGCAGTAACAGAAGCTTCTAAAGCGCCCGCCTCGAAGCGTCACAGTCTTCGAGACTGGGCTAATGTTCTCACTGCTCGCGGGTTTGGTAGCTGCATTCGGGGAGTGCATTTCCGCGATGATGCTTGACGGTTGGAGGGCGACAGTGAACGCCTGCAAAGGCTCCCCATCCCAAACCGGCTTAGTCACATGTCCCCGCACTGAACCTCTTGATACATCCCCTCCAACTTCCATCAGCCTATATCATTTTCCGAAATCTCTGCCTTGAGCCCAACTTCCTTAGTAGGCCGTGTGCACCGTTTGTGGCGATTAATCGATATGGAAAAGGGTGTCCGAGGCCCAGGAACCAATTTGCTAGGCGTTCAACTTAACTCGGAACGTTGTGTAGCCAAATGAATAAAGTATGCATTTTGAACGCGGAGATGTGTCGAGCATTAGATGGAGGTCCTGGTCAACCTTCAGTCATTTCCTCGTCCACTGATTGCTTGTCTGTCCTCATACGCACCCTGCAACCATCCCAACCATCCAGCATCCATATCCCTTTCGTTGGATTGCAGAAACACTGAAGGCCTGATATATTTCTACGAAGATGCCGGTGGATTATGACATCAAAGGCAAAGTCATCGTCCTCACAGGTGCCGCCTCCGGAATCGGTTTCCAGACTTCTCTTCTCCTCGCCCGCCAAGGGGCCTACCTCTCCATCGCAGACATCAACGAAGCCGCTTTGAAAGAGAAGACTACCGAGATCGAGAAAGTCAGCACAGGAAAGGTTCTCGCTACCCTAGTCGATGTTCGAGATGACAAGTCCGTCAATGCCTGGATAGCGAAGACCGTGGAGACCTTTGGGAAGCTCGATGGTGCGGTGAACTTAGCGGGTGTGATTCCGAAGGTGATTAATAAAGAGAGAGTGGAGGAACTGAATAATGAAGACTGGCATTTCGTGTTAGATGTTAACCTGCATGGTGTTATGCACTGCATGCGCGCCCAGCTGCAGAATATGAACAACAAGGGAAGCTTGGTAAATGCAGCCTCGATATGCGGCGTCATCGGATTCCCAAAGAATGCGGCATATACCGCGTCCAAACACGCTGTGATAGGTCTCTCGAGGACGGCAGCGAAGGAGGTCGGGGATCGAGAAATTAGAGTGAACTGCATAGCGCCGTAAGTGAAACCTCTAATTAAGTGATTTGCCTGAAGCGCTGACGCAAACAGTGGTCTGATCGACGGGCCGATGCAGCAAAAATCTGTGGAGGCGCGAGGTGGAGAACAGGTATGGAAACAGCAGATCTTGAGAAGAGGGACACCACAAGAAGTAGGAGCTCTGATTGCTTGGCTATTATGCGACGACACGCAGTACATTACCGGCACAGTACAGATCATTGACGGTGGGTGGGTTTGCTAGAGGATACCTGCATCAGATGTCCCCAATCCTCAGTCGCCCACCAGACCTTCTCATTCCTCAAAAGTAAGATGCGGGGATGCTTAAAGCAACTTCTTCCTCCACCCACTACATGCAGTGGCGGCATCAATGAAAGAGCAATGAATGACCAGCAAAATTTCGCTAGTGAAGGCGCCGAAACGCATTTTTACTAAGTCTAGTACGCGTTGTGCAATGAGCTGACCCAGGTAGAGTTCCGAATTATTGGCTCGGAACTACTAACTAGGTAAGTATGAAACTCTTGCCGGGTCCGGTTCTCAACTAGTATTGCTAGTAGTAGACTTAAAAGGAAACGTTGTAAGATGGGATACTTCACTGAATGGCTGCACCTCGCGTATCAAAATTGGTCGTATTTGTGTTGCCCATGTAGAAAGCCGCGATTGAGGCCTGCTATTTCATTTTAAGAGGATACATGCTAACATTATAGACAATATTCTCTCTTTTCTGCTGTAGCTACAAAAACAACAACTCAGTAAGGTTCAGATCCTGAAGTTCATTTTCAACGAGTAAGAACAAGCTAGCATTATGAAACAGGCACAGGCCATTCTCAAGGATTCGTTGCTAACAGCTCTCTCTGCAAAACAGACTCGGGCAAAATAAAAGCCTCTTATCTACATAGATCCGTAGAACTGCTGTGCCTTTTAAGAAGCTTCTAGCTTTTTCTAGGTGGGGAATAATAATTACAACACCCACTACAGTGACATTACCAACGATACCAAGAGCGAGCTTCGCGCTCGATGTTTGGAAAGGAATCTGTTTGAGAACGAAATTAAAAAAACTGTTTTGGTGAATGACTGTGTAGCATTACCCATTTTATTTATGCACATCCCTTTCCCCAGCACCAGTATCCAACAGCATAGTCCCCAGCACGGCCTCAGCTACAACATTATTATTCAGCTCCACGACAACTCCGAATTCCTTTGCCCTCACACCTGCAGCCTGATACACTCTCAGTCGACTCCACCATCCAAGTCTCTAAATCCTAATGAGTAACTTGAAAGGTTCCTTTTTTTACATATCCGGCCTGAAGTAATCTGGCCGACAACACCATCTCTGATGCTGGGCCATTAAAGCTGTAGATACGGTGCAAACCTTCCAGTAAGGCCAGCTACTCGAGAATATTATCTACTAAGACGCCAATAAGAGTCACAGGCACAATGACTCCAATATCTGACCTCGTACAGAATTCGAAACCTCAAACGAGTTTCTCTCAAGATCGTACCATCCATAGCTATGTCGACCGCGACCGTAGTTGACGACGAAAAACTCAGCAGGAATATTGGAAGCTGAAAAATCGCCTTAGGCAAGTGTGGCTAGAAGAATGTACAGAAGGCAAAAGTCCCAGCGCTTTAAGCGTGGTGAAGATGGCTTGTAAACGACCAGACACGTACAATACAGATTATTATAGGGAGTTAGAAGATGTCGCGAAGTTCTTACTTGCCAAAGTAAGTCTATATTACGTTAAATTTAAGATAATTGAGTTGCCTGATATGTCATAGTATCAGACATGCTTTCTAAAATCCTTTGGCTGGTATGGAAGCGGAAGCAGTCTATATTGCTATGGAATATTGCCCACTTGGCGATCTTCATGGCTATCTCTTAAGCGAATCATAGCCGCCTGTGACAGAAGTGCAGGAATTGACGGGTCAAGTACTGGAAAAGTTGTATGAAATGCATAAGAATGGATTTGCACATCGTAATTTGAAGCCTGCGGTGAGTAATTATCTTATTCTGAGGTAGCTGTACTTAACGAAATTTGATGAGAATATCCTTATGAGGTCATAGCTACCGGATGTTTGGTGGGTAAAACTGGCCGACTTTGGCATTAGTAAACGCGCAGCAGACGGAAATGGCTCTTGAACAGTAAGAGGCACTGCACAATCTATGGCACCAGAGCTACTCTTCAGTTTTGGCAAATATTCAGAATCTTATAACCACCAGGCAGCAGACATATGGGCTCTATGAGAGATTGCCTTTCAAATGGTAACGAGAGAGTAAACATTTGAACGTCTGGACACACTGATCGAATACTATCGAGGGACACAGAGATACACCAAAGCTCAGCTGGTGTCTTCCGCGGGAGAAATTAGTACACAATTCATCAGCAGTCTTATGGCTATAGATCTCCAGCTTCGGGTCACTGCATCAGACGCTCTTTGTCACCCTTGGATACTGTTAAATCGCATTGAACCCCCCCCCCCCCAAAAAAAAAAAAAAAAATACCCTTCCTACAATATCAAACATTCTCAGCCCACACCCAGAGCAAATTGAGGCTGTTGGATGGACATAATATAGGACTAATTCAAGAAGCATCTGCAAGATGAAGAACTGTCTCCAATGCTAGGAATATCGAGCCCGAAGACCACTCAAGAGCCATAGAACATACGAGCGCAAGAGGACAAGTTCTCCATCGCTCAATTACGTACCACACACTACTATGGGAGTGGAGACGCTCTTAAGAAAGTCACGCTGTCGCTTCCGAAAACCATCGTCGCATATATGTACGGCGATCATTCTTTGCTTATAATTGAACGCGCCATTTACCAGAAACATAGCTGAATAAAGGAGCATCACATTACCACCAGAGCAATGAATGTTATTGAGAGGCAAAGGAGAAAGGGCCCGGCTGTCAAGATGACATTCGTAACAGGAGGGGGATCGGAGATGAAAGTCGCACCTATTCCAAACACCGACGGCTTTGATATCGTCGTGTACATGCTGAATGGGAAGGTGGAGCTTATCCCAGTTCATTTTTGAATGCTAAAGCTAAGTACATTTTGTGATGTATATGTAGGAGAGAGTGGCAGTCAATAGCAAAAACTTTGTGATACATAAAACATACAATTCGCAGAACTACACGGCTCTTGGTGGGACCCTAGGAAGTATTCTCGGCCTCATTTACGGGCGCTATCAAGACTTCTCCTTATATTAGTTATCACTACAAGAGCGGGCTGCCTCATTTTCGCCTTCCGTAGCACCGTGGTGCGACACTCTCTTCACTTTTGCTACAGTAGCGATTAGATACGCTGAAGTAAATTCTTCCCTCATGCCCCGGTAGTCCGTCCACCAAGATATAGCCGCGCTGTTCATCATCTTCAAATTAATAAACCTTCGACTGTGGACTCGAACGAATAGCAATTTCACGGACCTTTCGCAGATCCTAGACAGGTTGAGATGATACAAGCAAGGCAAGGGAGTCCGCAGATGAATCAAGAGGCTACGAGGGTGCTCTCGTAGCCTCTAGCTTCGAATTTTAGGTCCGCGTATTAACGTATGTGATTTGTTGGAGGCCTTCTTTGTAATCCCCCAAGTGGAATGTGTAACGATTTCCGTTGATCAACGAACAGGCCATCATTCGAACTCTACGATTGTACTGCTACTAGTATGAAGATTGGCTTCGCACATCCACCATGAACCCGCGTGGATGGCTATCATCATCACAACTAAATTTCACGTTTCCCCACCCCCAATTCTCCAGATTATTTCCCTGGGTTGCATTAACTTTATCCTCATTGCTATTATGGCATGCTATGTGTAGAATCGCGATGCCATCGACGCACATGCAACATAAGTGGCTTCTTCTTTAAAGCGGATCTCCTAAGCGGAACATGATTTCTCGATGTAGTTTTTAATTCCACTTAATATTTCTGAGGGGGAAGTTTGGGTACTAGAGGTCATGGTGGAGCCTGGAGGGTTTATATAAAAATACACTAAGAAGATCTGGTGAGATGCCTTTCATACTAGGTTGCATTACCTACTCTAGAAACTTTATTTCAGTAGGAGGTGCATGTTATGTTGTTATACATCACTAAAGTAATATCTCCGATCGCCACATCAAAGTTTTCCACTTATCTCATTCCTCCCTTCTCTCTTGATCATAAAGCCCTTAAAGAACCCAGTAATTCCCTCAAAGTCATCCATTGTCGTCACTTTCGCAACATCTGCCATCATTAGCCACGCTGATCTCATGGGAGGTAAAAGTGGACTTACATTGATCTGGCCGCACAATCACCACCGCGCCCACTGCAGGATCGACTTCGTACTTCTCATATGCGTGGCCATGTCCAGAGTTGTAGTGTTCGTCGTCGATGTAAACTTTATGTAGATCTAGATGAACACCAACGTTAGCAGGTCAATTTGGGGTGCTGGGAAGAGAAAGAAAAAGCGACGGTGACATACCTCTCATCCTCCACTTGCCAGTCACAGGCCAGAAGTAGCCATGGATCCGCTCTTGCTCTGTCTCCGCAAACTTCGTTCTCAGGACAAGAACTGGTTCGATAAGGCTGTCAATATCAGCAGTCGGGAGAGTATATCCCCACGTCATTCTCGCTAGAAAATCCGCAAGCTGTCGCGCCCATCAGCCTTGTTGCTAGATCTCTCTATGCTGAGTTGCTCACCTCCTCCAATCTCTTCCTGTCCCTTTCAACCGTAATATCCCCTGCAAACACTAATATTCTCCACCTCCCATCCGACGTCAACCCCCTCATCAACTGCATGGCCTTACAATCACAAAACCTCACAACTTGCGCACTCGGAAACCGCATACCAACTACAATGCCCCTCGCTACTTCCTGCCTACTACCCTTCAAATCCGTAACCTCTGAATCCTCATACCGTGCCGTCAAGCCTGCGGTATATCGTCCCGCCTTGATAAAATACCTCCTGAATTCTTCGGGACTGCCTTCCTTCGCGCTAAACATCCGTGCAAACTCTCTATCAAAGTCGATGAGATCTTTCGCGACTTTTGCACGCTCGAGGACATATGTGTGGAGGAGAGAGTGCGGAGCTTGACCGGAGAGAATCATGCCGAGTTTCCAGCCGATGTTGTAGCCGTCTTGTAGAGAGACGTTCATCCCTTGGCCGGCTTTTGGGGAATGTGTATGGCATGCATCCCCTGTTAGAAAAACTCGATAGTTTTTATGGAAATTATCTGCGAGACGCTGCCCGATGCTGTAGGCGCTCCACCAGAAAGTCTCGGCAATGTCCATGGTGTAAGGGTGGAAGATCTTCCGGGCTGTGGATTGTAGATCTTCAAGTTTGATATCCTTGGGGATAGAGCCGGGCGGGAGTTGAATGTAGAAGCGGACCATGGAGCCGCCTTCTCGTGGGATGATGAGGAGATTGCCAGAGGGGGAGTGGAGTGTAGATTTTCGTCTGATGTCGGGAAAGTTTGTCCGAGGGAAGACGTCCATGACACCCCAGACAGTGTCGGTCGTGTCGCCTATCATATTGTATCCAAGGGACTTGCGGACGATGCTGTGGGCGCCGTCACAGCCCTTCGAACATCAGTTTCTCTCCGTCCCTACTTTGTCGTTCAGAGAAGCAAGAAAGAGAATTCGACTAACCAAAACATACTTTGCCTCAAAAACTTCCTGTCGTCCATTCTTCTCCGCAACAACCTTCACACAATGCGCCTCGGGGTCCCCCACTTTACTTTCATCAACCTGGACACTCTTAACCTCAACCCCATACTCAATCCCCTGTTCCCCATCACTAAACCTATCCATAGCCCCCAACATCAACCCATTCATCCTCGCCTGATTCAAAATAACATGCGGCATGTGACTCAACCCAGGCATTGTGTCCGCCGTCCTACTCTGCCTGAATATCCCGCCGTTGCCATCCGGCGCCCAAAACGCCACTTCCAACACGTGATACGATTCCCGCAATAGCTCTTCCGCGATGCCGAAGGATTCGTAGATTTCTACTGTTCGGCATTGGACGCCGTCTGCTTGCCCGATTTGCATGGGACCACGTCGTCGCTCGAGGATCGTACATGGGATCCCGTACCGCGAGAGCCAGACGCCAGCACTGATGCCTGCGGAGCCAGAGCCGCAGATTAGGACGTTGGCTTTTCTCGTCATGGCGAGATTTGGGGAGGACGATGTGAAGGAAGTGAAGGAATAAGAAGTCTAGTTACTTGGGGGTAGAGTATCTTGAAGGAATCGACTAAGGGAGACGAAGGAATTAGGCAAAATGGACCAATTGGAACAGAACAGGGAAAATCGAGATAAGGGAAGTCCAATAATTATACAGTTTATGCAACAAGAACGCTCATGCAGTTGTCTTGCCGAACGCGAAGTCCGAAGGAGTCTAAGTCGCGATGCTGACCTTTGCGGGGTGGTGCGGAATCAATCCGTTCTCTATTGTCGCCGATAAAGTCCGCAAAAACAAGCCGAGGAGGACTGGATATAAGAATTGGGAGGAATGCATGACCTAGTCTTCTAAAAATCTCGTGCGTATCTTGGAAAGATCGGATGAGAAACGTACGGTCCGAGACTTCGGCATGCACCCCAGACAATGGCTTGTGCGCCAAGCATGTCCATGGTCGAATCGCATTGCTATATCACTTCACCATGTGAATTGCTCGAGTATTTCTTTTGACAACTAGAGTGAGCAGTTTATGCGAGTGGTGATGAGGTCCAAGACTACGGCAGTGGATGAATGGGCCTCAGTTATGTCTGATTAGGTTTGCACCTCGGCCCAGATATGTTGCTACCCAATTTCTTCGACGAAGAAACAAACTTATTCTATTAGAATCCACTTACTCAAACTTCATCTGCTTTCCTTTCAGGAATGTGCCACCTGCCAGCTTTCCAACAACAAACCCCAAATATGCTCCGGTGACAATAGTAACTGGCCATTTCTGCCACTCGCGATCCCTAAAAACCATTAGCTCCAGCTATTCACTCCCCTTTCAACTCCTGCCCTTAAAGATCCAAGATGGGAACTCACCAATCTAACGGTATTGGCACAGCGCCTAACCAGGCGCCCAACACAGTACCAATCAGACATCCGTAAACCTCATCAATTGGCAACAGGCAGGCTACAATCTCCCTCCACCTCTCCCCATCCACTCCATGTACGTAGATCAAAGGCAGGGTAGCAAGGAGGGAGATATGCGCTGCGCAAAGCAAAGTATGAGCGTGGTGCGTTGTAATCGGCGCCCCAAAGAAGATCAGGGTGAGCATGAGGAGGGGAGTAGCGGCGAGGGTCGAGACAAGGAGGGAGATGAAAGCTGGCTACATTTCAATGCATATTAGTTTCTGCTACCATCCGAGGTAGTTTTAGGAGGGAGAAGGGGCGCCTGCATACAATAATCTTGCCGTTCAGACCGCTCACTAGTTTCCCAGGCGCTATTTTCTTCTTCTCCCCTGGTTTCCGCTTCTCTGCAGCAGGCGCAACATCACTTCCAATGGGCGGCAGACACACAGCTACATAAGTAATCTGTAGTATGCCAAGGGGAACAAGCGTGTTCAGGAGCGCGGGAACTGGGTCTGCAACGATGGATTTGAATTGGAAGGCGTAGAGAGAGAGTATAAGGATGGGGTGGATGTGCGTGTAGAGCTTTGCCGTGTCATTGCTAAGATGTTCAATTGGCGTTTCTGGCGGCTTGACTTTCGGAGCCTCTGTTGCTGTGGTCGTTGGTGACATTGCGGGTTTTCGTGGAAGTCGGGATGAGGATTGCTAGGGTTTTTGGGTCCATTTTACGATGGAACATCGGGCATCTTGTGGCGGTGCGGGTTGCATCAACGCTACTTGAATGAGGAGTAAAACTAATGGTCTACGGGCCTAACGAGGGATTTTATGAAGATATTTGCTTGCTACAGTTCCCTTCTTCCTCACATACGACATATTATCCCTTTCTGCCCCTTCTGCAGGCGTAATTTCCCTATGCAGTTCCCATGGTGGAGCGCCACAGTCATGCGCCACATCAACTATCTCCCATCCCATCAACTTGACTCTACTACCCCTCCGTTTTCTTCGGGACCAAGTCCCTAAGTGAGAGATCATAGACCACATCCTCCACCTCTTTGACCCGGTACTTCAGGCCATCAGTCCTCCGACGCAGGTTATCGTTTTTCAGGTTCAGAATCTGGAAGCCCGCGAAGAGGTCCTTGACGAATTGGTTCACCAAAACTGGCCGTTCGTAGTCGCCAAGGGTGACGGAATTGCGAGCAAGGCGTGTCTGAAAAGCTCAAATCAGTAATAAGAAGTAGATAGCTGGGCCAAGCTTACGAGTTCTTCAACTAATGAGATGGTGGCATGGAGATATTCCTCGATGGTAAGGTGGAATTCATCCCTGTCTTTGAGATTGACAGGAACTGGAGACTGTTAGTGGAGGTCCGAATATGAAAGCTGGTAGACAAACTTTTCATGATCTCACCAAGCTCTTCGATGGTCAGGAGCCGCCCGCATCTAATCCCATCGCCTTCTTGCTTATAGCCGCCGAGCCAGCCCCAGAACAGCATACCATATGCCTGCGATGCCGTTAGCTTGGATATTCCTGATGGGAGGTAGTGGCGGGCGAAATTTAATATACCGCATCCTGCATTTGTCGCGTCCACATGCTATTAAATTTGTAATAAGGCACCTTTGACGCCGATTGCGCAAGCTTCGTGATGGCCGCAACTGCATTCTGAATCGGCTCTTCTGCTGCCTCGAGGACACTCGAGACTGTTACAGTCGTTAGCATTCACTTTAACGCCATTGAATTCTGGAGGCTCACGATTGGAGACGGGAGTTGAATGGGCTCTTGACAAGACGAATAGAGTAGTGCGATCTAGGGGATGTCAATACAGAGCTCTCGAGCTTAGCGATCGGCGTACTGTGCTTCTCCAAGGTCTGGATGATGTCCCTCAACTCCTGTAGAGCCGTCAGTATGATGTCACGTGGATCAAGGGAGGCTCCCACGTCGTGAACGGCACCGTCTTCGTCAACACGAGCTTGCAAGTCCTGGAAGATGGCCGGATCGACCATGCCATTCTGAGCAGCCATGATGTCGGTGAGGTTGTGAGGTGAGTGTAATGGAGGAGAGGTTGATCTAATGTCTGGTGCGAGGTGAAGGCAAACCACGAAAATCTCAAGATCGTCGCCACACCAGAAGGTCCGCACGCGTAGGAGGGTATTAGAGTCAAATACATTTAAACTTGCCCCTAGAGTGAAGCTACATAATTTTTCTCGCCACTGCGGGTGGTATACCCGAACCTATCTTTCTAAGGTAGGCACAACGACGTGTAAGACATCGCCGACGGCATACAGCAAGTCTAATTTCACAAAACCCTGGACGAACATGGTACGGTACGACACACCGCACCCCACCGGGTTCTACACCAAGCTTGATGATAGACGCAGAAAGCGAGGCCATCGCACACGAAACCTACAAAGCATCAAAATTCGGAAATGGTCCCTGGCAAACACCAAAATACCAAGCCATTCTCATTCAAACAGACGCGCAACCGTCGCAATCCAGCCCAAATCTAGTTCTCCCTCAAGCCTCTAGCAAAGCTAAAGAACTCAATGAAAAAGGTAGCAGTATTCGCGACAGCCAGCGAAGGTGCTGAGGTCAGCGTCCCTGTGTCCGCAACTATGAGCAAGCCCAGTGAGAGGAGGAGCATGATCAAAAATAGGGATAATCTTTAAAATGTGACCGTAGACACGTTTCAGTAGACACGTTTCAGAGCTTAAACTACCTCAAAGTCAGTCAAGGAGGGCAGCCAAAAAGGCGATGTACGTGGCTGAAAAGAAGAGACTGACGCCAATGATTAGCAGGGTACAGAAAGAGTCAGCGGAAGGTACACACTACTACCCTTAATCTAAGCCAAAGGCAACTTCACTGTATATTAGCAGACATTTACAAATTAAGGAAGGGAAACCTTGGTGACTTGGGGTAGACTCACAGAAAAGCTAAAGAAGAAGAAACTTCGCCTGGGCTGGCAGTTGGCAGCCTTATATAATTTGGGGTTCTAGAAATAGAAGAGAAAACCAAGTCTAGTGTGTCATTGGTGTATTGACCTTTGCAATCACGTAATATCACACTCGGGCGGACGACGTTGGATAGGAAGAGCATGTCCGATCAGAACCCTGGCGCAAACGCAACACAATATCGCCTCAGTGACCTGCCCAATCAAACATTGTGGACCCCCGAAGTCTTCTGCTGGTACCCACAGCCCTCCACACCTATCGCGAATCCAAGCAGCCACTCCGATATGTTGGCGACTACTACGAAACACGTGCAGAGGGTATAAAATCTGCGGAATCTGTGCTAAAATTGGAGCCAGATTCAAAATTATGTAAGTTAGACTTTAGTTCAAGGCATATTGTCCACGACTTTACGGTGTAGGCTCTGGTTCCGCTCTAGTATCGGTTCAACAAGGATTCATCTAGCTCCCAACAGAAGCGAAACACTCCAACCTAATATCATACTCAAAAAGCCTTCCACCATCCCTCAGCAGAAACGGATTATCCAAATCATCATTGAGCCCTCCAAATTGGCCCGCAGTCTCGTTACTGTTCCAGAGGATCTCCAACTACGGAATCCCTGAACGTGCGTTAGCAAGCACAAGCTCCCACGGATATTATTAGACTCAACATACACCCGCTGAGCTATAGAATTCCCTTTCCCATCCTTATTGAACTCAGTCTCCGCCTTTCCCTCAATCTCCCGCTGACGCTTGTGCGCCATATGCTGCTTATCGAAGAACAGCCCCAAATCATGCTCGGTAGTCATCAGCAATGAATACATAGCACAGTCACGCTCGACATCCGCCCAACTTTCATAAACCGGCTTCATAGACGATGTAGACACAGTTGAGCCTGCTTTTGGTTCCTCACCGCTGGTTTTACAAACGAGGCGGGCGACAAAGTATCTGCAGTCCGATTTGGGATCGTTATGTTGGCAGAGAAGGAGTTTGAGGTTTTCAGGGTTGTAACGTTCCTGGTATACATACAAGAGGATAAACATGAGGTTTTCTATTCGTGAGGATTAGTGCAATCAATATAATGAGTAAAATTTGAAGGTGACCCACTGGCAAGTCGCTTGGTTTGTGTACATGGCCATGCTGGCACATGAGCAACGATCAGTGTAAAGAGATGCTCTTCGAGAGAATCTGGCGAAACTAATCCCATAGTGGGTGCGTCTGATTGCCTGATGCTTTGAGGTCTGACCATCTTACCTAAACTTTGGTCGTTTCGACAGCTCTGAGGACGAGAGTGGGCGTCGTTATTTGGCCGCTCCATAGGGACTGTATGGTACTTGTTCTGGCTGCTACCCTGACCTAGGGCTCTATTGCCTGCCCAATCGACTAATGCCATATTTGACGCCCTATCAAAACATTTTTCCTGGAAACGCCCAGCCGGGGAATGTCTGCTCGGTCCTGCCTCCGACAATGCTAATGGCTTTACCGCTGATTGAAACATAGGTTCCAAAAGCCGCATCTCTTGGTGGAATACCACAGCTGCAGCAGAATCAACTAGTTCTGAAGGTACTTGTGGATTCTCGTTTGGTGGTAGGATTACGAACCTCGAATCCCTTGGGTCTGCTGAGAGTGGTCGTGCTGCCATCGAAGGACGGCGGGTGTCGTAACCATCACTACTCATTTGTGCATGATTTTGTGTGTCCAAGGAGACTTTTTCTTTGAACTGGGAAATCCTAGAGACCCTTGGGAATACTCGCGCTGGTGCTGAAACCGGGTTGATATCGTTACAGCCGAACTTTATTTTGACCGGATTCGGCGTTCCCCAGGGTCCCACTGGTGCTGGACAGTTATCCAGGCTTAGGGCATACTTAAAAGGTAAGGAAAGAGGTTCGGCGTTGAGGAATGTTCCTATTGGCCATCGCGTTGCTCCTATAAGATGTATCGGGAATACCGGTGGGCCGATTTCCACCTCGGGTTCGCTCGTGAGGTCCTCGCCGCCCTCACTGCTAACGGGTTCTTTGCCTTTGTAGCTTTTAAACTTGAGTTCGCTCCTGAGCGTTTCGTCGGATTCATTGTTAACAGGCACTTTGCCTTTCCGGTTTTTCCAGACAGCGAAGGAATAGAACGACGCCATGAAGCTTTATGGCGGGGATAAATGAGATGTCAGGATGAACAAGATAGAAGCGAAAGTTATTTAAAGATAAAGAAGGATGGTTTGTAGAGTGAGAGACGGCGAATTAAGCTGTCAGTGAAGATGGATGACGGAGAACTGTGAGAAGGAGAAATATATCAGGGAACTAGTCGGCGCGGAAAGAGCGAAGGGCGATGCTAGCTAGCCATTGCGAGACAGAAACAAAGAGTACGGACGAGGAAAAAGAGGCGAGGTGTACAAGGTAAGGTGGGGAGCTTGGGACATACGTGTTCGCGATAGCAGAATCTAAACTTGGGATGCATCTGTTTGATAAATGTACATTTCACTTGCCCCTCACACTGCATTTTTACTCCCTGCTACTGACCTACAGCTTCGCCTTGACCCAGTCTTGCACTACCTGAGCACTACCTGTCCCACTATCGCCCTTATACCCCAACAGTCTCTCTAAAATCATCTCTTCATGCGCAGCCTTCGCCGTAATTATCGTACTTACCTTTCCTCCCTTGCCGCCGAATCCTTTCTGGAACCTCCTTGCAAACTCCTCGATACCATCAAGCAGAATTTCGTTCGCACCGCCCCAGATCAACACCTCCTCAATGACATCGGCGGTCGGCTCCCACCATGATGCGGGAGCAAGTGCAGGCTCGTTGTAGAGGTCGCCAGCAAAGGGTGAGTCGCTCCCGAGGAAGGCAGAGGACCAGCGGCTGAGTGCTCGTCCGTCAAAGATGTCTTTTTCCGCGTTGGAGAGGAATGTTGGGGTATGTGTATTGAAGGAGCACCAGGGAGAGAGGAGGAAGGCGGCGTGGAGCTTCGAGGGGAGGTTGAGCGCGGGGATGTCCGGGTGAGGGTGCGAGAGGTGAGATAGCACGCCAATGGTCAGGTTTCCACCCGCAGAGTCACCGCCAAGAGTAATATCCGAAGGATTACGACCTTGTGTCTCTACCAGATACTGGAGAAGTTCGACGGCTTGCTTAAGCTGTGTGGGGTATTTGAACTCTGGAGCGAGGTCGTAGGCGAGAAAGACAACGGCGGTGTCGGAGCCTTGGGCAATGAGGCTGTCCTTCATCTCCATGAGATATTGCATCTGGCCGGCGTTCGCTGGGATCACGTATCCACCACCTTCCTCCGTCAGCGCCGCCCTACGCATGCAACAGGTCCAACGTACCATGATAGTACACGATCAGCTTCTTCGCATTCGTGTTGCCAATCCAATGCGCCTGAGCCCCCCCGGGCAATTTTATGCTCTCCGGAGCAAAGCCCTGGGCTTTCGCGAAGGCAATGTACGTCGGTGTGGTGGGGGGGTTCAGGTAGCGGTCCTGGGCGAGGCTGAGGTTCGCAAGCTGAGTCCGCATCATGGCGAACATGACATCCTTGAAGTAGTTTTGCGCACCCTTCTGGCCCTTGAACGGGGAGATCCATAATCGCACTGACGCTGAGAGTACTGCACATGAGGATCAGCAACAGGACTTCTTGCAGAATTCAAGGTGAACAGACTGGCTCTCAGGGTCACCGACGCAATGCCAAGCTTCGAGACACTCTGGTCCGCCATGATGCCTGCGACGTAGAGGAGAGAACGACTCCGGGGCAGGAATTGAAGGAGAGCGGGCAGCTTACCTCCACCCCAGCTCCTTCGAGACGGCGGAACCCCCGAGTAATCATAGGCCCAGTCTGGAAGACTGTATCCGAGGTTCCTCCAGCTCTCCTCGAGCTCACCCCCGCCGCGCTGAGTCAGGTTGCGCCCGAGTCATGCTCGCCCTCTCTCCTGCGCGGCCTGAATCTCGACATTTCCAACCCCAGCTTTTTGCCCCAGATTGGGTCCCAGACCATGGCCGGGGCGGATGATGACCACAACGGCGATGCAGCTGCGAGTGACGTGCAGGCGGCCAGTCGACTGCATCCACAACCGCCTCAAAAGCGCCGCCGAACCCAGGGCACGACGTCGACGCGCGGAGTGGCAAATCTTACTCCTGAACAGCTGGCCCGCAAGCGAGCAAACGACCGTGAGGCCCAGCGTGCCATTCGCGAGAGGACCAAGAACCAGATCGACCGCCTGAACCAGCGCATTCGAGAGCTGGAGAACCAGCAGCCGTACCATGACCTGCAGGTTGTACTGCTCGAGAAGGACGCCATCCGGGCGGAGAATGACGATATTCGGCGGCGGTTGGAGGCAGTGGTCTCCATGCTACAACCAGTCCTGAGGCAATCGGGAGGCCTCAATGGTATGCTCTCCTGTGTGAGATGAGAAAAGGGTTGGAAGACGTGGCAGCTTGCTCACGCTCTACAGAATTGGCAGCCGCGGCCGAACGAAGCCCCCTTCCTATTCCTCGAGACCCCGCCTCCCACCCTCCCGACCATCGCGCCTTCCGCACTGGTCTGGTTGCTCTGCAAGAAGCCACTTCGCCGCGTCAGAATGGCGTGTCTGTCCACTCCCCAGACACGCCAGATGCAGGCCGGCAATGGCTGTTCCCTGGCGAGCCTCCAACCAGCCATGTTCGACGCTGGCAGGGAGAAAGTCCTCAATTCGACCATGCGCGCACCTCTCACGTACACAGCGAGATGCCTTTTGATGAGCGTTTAGGCGTCGACTTTATCCTAGACAACAACCAGAGAAGGGTGGACCCCAATCTACCGCCTCCCCACCAGCCTACCACTGCCAATGGCTTTGGCCAACATGCGCCAACTATGGTTCCTCACCTTACGTTCCCCCGAACCATACCGGCTACCTGCCCTCTGGATGTACTTATGCTAGATTTTCTCGCAGATCGTCACGCCCGCGCTGCTGAGGGAGTGCCCATCAAGACGCTTGTTGGCCCTCTCTACCCCAATTTCACCGCCCTAGTCTACCGCGACCGAAACGTGGACGCTCATCCACTATCAAAGTTATTCACAGACATCCTCCGCACCTTCCCGGATATCTCTGGACTCCCTGAGCAAGTCGCCGTAGTCTTCATCATGTTCCTCATCATGCGCTGGCAAGTAGAACCGACTCAGGAGAACTATGACCGACTTCCAGACTGGGTGACACCACGCGCGTCACAGCTCTTCGTCCCTCATCCATACTGGATGGACCATCTGCCTTGGTAAGTCGGGGTTTCCCCAAACTTCCCTATTCAGGTTGCCCCTTCCGTTTCAGGATGATTACTAATCCGTTTCAGGCCTCGTCTCCGCGATCGATGCATTGCAGCGCAGCCCTTCACCCCTTTAGATACTTTCTTCATCCCGTTTACGACTACCGTCTCCCTGAATTGGCCGTATGAAGCGCGTGATTGCCTGCTCCCTGCTTCGAAGATCCATTCCTCGTCGCTCTCATCCACATCTTCCATTCCAGCTTCCAGCCCCTACTCTACCGCTGTTCATGCAGGGTCTCCACCTGGTCCGCCAACTCCAGGTCCGGCTGTCAGTACTCCGGGCACCGTCAGCGCTGTAGGAAAGGAAGACGAGCAATGGCTGATCAACCCTGCATTCGAGAGCCATCTTCGTGACCTTAGGAACTGGAGTCTAGGCCCAGCTTTCAGGACTGCATTCCCGCAATTTGCTGATGCGGTCAGGATCAAGGACGGTCGGTAAATTTATCTGTAGATGACAAAAAAAAGGTGCGAGTGGAGGAAAGGGTAATATAAGAGGTAATACGAGCAGCTGGTATCACAATATCTATGAATATTCCCGCGGTCAATTCACGCGACAAAAAAAGTTTCGGTATTCGGTCTCTACTTCTTAGGCGATTACAAGGATATTTTACCTGGGCTTCCTTTTCCCCCTTCAACGGATATGATCGGTTATGGAAAAAAAGGACGAGGAAAAAAAGGACGAGGAGAGGAGAATAGGCGCCCGGATTTTAGAACGGATTATATTGGAATTATGTCTTGGTTTAGCGATATGTTGCATCTTTAATGATATCGAGCTTCACTTCATAGCTTTTCTACTATTTTGAGATAGTGTGTGGCGCCGTTCTACATCATCAACAGCAATTACTTACCACAGTTGCGACTGTGCAACTGCAATGATGATATTAAAAGGATATGGCGATCGCAGGGGTGGTGATTTCCTGGTTGGGAAAAAGAATAATTCGCCGATCCAGGAGAGAAGCCCCTGCTATTCCGGAGTTCCCATGGGAGGTGGAAATGTGTGGTAGGTGCTTAGAAACCCCGGGCTCATGTTATGGTAGTGCATATTTTCTATATTCTCTTTAACAAATTTTCAAGTTCTCAAGGAACGTCCAGTCCAGTAACTTTGCCATAGATACCGATATCGAGATTGGTGTGGTAAATGGGCACATAAAAGGAGGGAAAATCATAGAAGGAAAAAAAAAGGAAGATTGACAATCATTTTCTGGTTCGGCCGCAGGCTTAATACACTCTCCTTTCAACGAGGAAGCCGCCGACTCTCTGGTTATTATCTCGATGCCCCTTTATCTTACTAACACCTATCCTAAACCTTCGTCTTTATCCGCCCTCTCACACAATCCCATTCGATATCAGCCCCTCAAATATCCCCACCCTCGAAATACATATTTCCTCTCTCACTGACTACCTAATTGACAACAAATATCTCAAAGACTCTTTGGAAGATCGATGATATCCCAATTTCCGCTATGAAATACCAAGAACCATCCTCAATCTTAGAGCCAAAGCGGCACGTACCGTACTTGGTCAAAGGAGGTTCTGGCTATGACGGCCTAAGTTTTGCCGCCCTCAAAGTTCTTTATCATCCGCTGGAAGTCACTGGTTTGGAGGGGAGACATTATCGCAACACTTCTCGTGGATTAATTCGCCGCAGTCGTTAACGGGATTGGTGAGTGCAGCCAGGAGAACGGCAGACAGGGTGATGCAGGATTTCATGTCAGTAGAGAGCTTCGTCTTAGCTTGGAAAGCGAGATATAAGGACGCCTTCTATCTCCAGGAGCGCAAAAGGTTGGTAACTTTAATGAGAGAGGGACGAGGGGTAGTTGTCTGGAAGTCGGTGTTCACGACATGTACCGGACTTTGTTGGCGTGTTAGTGCATTATTTCCGAAGAATGGGCAAGGTTCAAGGATTTATCCATTCATCACCGTTGTGAAAGAAAACTGGGGTGAATAATATAGACAACTCATCTACCAATCTAGATGGCTAGGAGGTAAGCTCGATTCGCTATCTCACAGAATGGAGCGTGTGAGGGAGAGCAGGCGTGCACCACTTCTCCAAGGATCCTGTAGGATGAACTGCTCTTAGTGTTGATAACAACCTTAAGGAAACCATGCGATCCTAGGACTCCTCGTTTATGGTAAGAGTATCCTTCCCTCGGAATTAAAATACTGTAAACTACGATATACAAGCTACTCAAGAGGAATCAGCTAGGCCAATTAGACACACAGAAAATTTAGAATTAATTAATAGATAAGGAGTCACTCTCAACTCCGCTATTACCTGTAAGATACTTAGGTAGCTGCGCTGCCCGCAACGCTGTTCAATTGATGGTGGAATCTTAGTTTCTTGCCCAAAGCATTTGCCTGTAACTCTACAAAGAAGAATATTCAACTTCCCAATTTGTATGCGATATAACCAGCAGTACCACACTGAGTTTCAACCGTTCCAGTTTTCATTAGTTTATCTTGTTCGACACCTAGATTACTCCATGTTAGCAATCGCAGTCCGCTGATTCTAAGCACAAAATTGATGGAAGCGACACACATTTATCATCCTCTACAAACACTGAAAATATATCCTTGCAGCCGAAAGGGCAGGAATCCTGCTTATTGGTCCATGTGTATTGCCATGTGAGACCAGCTTCGGACTCAGTCTCAATCCAGGCACCTGACGTCAGGCCATCTTGTAAATTTGCATGTTTGCTACATATTGATTCAATTTTCCTACGAAATGATTAGCTGATTGGGCATAGTGATCTGGAGAGAGCGACTTACTTCCCGAACTCAACTTTAGCACCAGTGAAGTCTTGCTTCGGTTGGCTGCATTTGGCTTCAATTGGCGGCTCATTGGCACGCTTAATCAGTTGTTCCATCCATTCATATTGCTGGTCCATCCATTGGCCAGGGACTTCATAATGCTCCGGGTATCCAACTTTCTTGCATCTGCAACCTTCATATCCTCCCTGTGTTTAATCGTCAGGAACATTGTCTTTAATAAATCAACTGGTGATGGAGGGATGTGTCACCTGTTTACAGATAGCACTCCGTTCTGTAATCTCCTTATGCTCTTCTTGACCCTTGCAATCGTCTGCAATGCAAACAAGATCTTTAGGGCAACGGAAGTCCTCATCTTTCAGATTTTTATTCAGTTCATGCTGCGGAACCCAGATTTGGTTGAGTGAGAATTCGCCAATAGTCATAAGGACATGCATCACAATTGATAATGCAATAGAACTTCTGGCCAATGCGCCAACGTCAAACACTTCTTGATTCGGTGGTTGAGGAGGCGGAACAGTTCCACCATTCACAACGTGGACCCTCACGACACGATAAACGGGAATAAGAATGGGAACTGCATCAAGCATGATGTTCGGCATTGGGAAGCCGACAACTTGTCCTGCACCTGGCGGTGCGGGGTTATTTAGCGGGTTGAGGTGTATCATATCCTGGGGTGCATTGCTGGCGAAGACTAGACCCACACGTCGAGCTCGTTGGGCGCATAGTCTAGGTAGAGCCCTATCGGCACGCTTTTGATTCCCATTAAGTGCTGCTTGACACTCTTTCCTTGCTTCATCGAGTCCCATTATGGAGAGGAAATCTCTCATTCGTTGGGCTAACGGGTCCGGAATGTGGTAGATAATGTCTCCTGCTTTTCTCTCGCCGTCATCAGCAGTTAATGTTTCCATGGTAATTTCGCCTCTGATGTATACGTTAACTCGAAGTGGTACCAGGAGAAAAAATACCAACAAAACCCTGTTATATTAGGGCAAGACTTACGTAGCAGTTGGTGTCTGTTTCGACGGCGCAGGGACAATGATAGTAGTAGGCTTAGCATCCGCACTCGTCACAATAGCGATCGTGCCTGCCAGCCCCATGGAATGAATCCGGTCCAAGTCTTCAAAACTGTAATGAAGTTCCTTTGGCGGCTTAGGCGGCTCGTCAAGGGCCCCAGAAGCTTTCTCCTCGAAAATTATGATAGTCTCAATTATAATAGCATCGATTAACCAGTCTAGTAAAATGGCGGCCACGGAAACCAATCGTTTGACGTGAGTGGAGATATCTGTGTTTTGGACGACTGGAATGAGCGCGTTGCGACATTGTTCCTGGAGCTTGTCTTTGCAGTTCGCTGCCATAGTATCTCCTATACGCTTACGGAGATCCGGGCCAAAGGCGACATTGATGCCTTCTTTGGGAAAATCATCGTAGATACCTGTTGGATAGATTTGCAGTTTGTCGCCAGATGGCTCGGGATTTGTTGCCTACGAAAGACTGTGAGTGGAGCTACTGAATATTAGGCGCAGGTATCTTACCTGCAAAGGAATATACTGGTCGCGTTTTCCGAACGTGAAGGTTGGGACGGGAGTTGCATGAATAGAAACGTCTTGCCGAGGCTGAAATTGAACTTCAGTAGGTGTCAGAGTATGTGGGGGAACGACGATAGCGGAAACCGTGCTTAGAAGTGATGCTACTAATAAAAGGCACAGTTGAAGCATTTCGAACAGGTGCGGGGGATTTTGAAAGTGGGAAACCATGAATATGTTTTGGAAATACTGAAGTGGAAGTTTTCTTAAGACTATTCTCTCCTACCGTGCATCGTCTTGTCTTCTGGTGTGGGCACGTCATCATGGAATTTGAGGGGGATTCGAAGCAGTGGCACAGTGACGAAGCCCGTCGAGAGGAATGGTGGTCTGAAAGGTATAGCAAAAGGCACAGTTGCGGAGTATCATACATCTGAAACATAAATGTTCTACAAATAGAAGGAAGTACCGGAAATTTTGGGGGCGGAAGACTGACCATCATCAGAATATTGATCCCCCTCCCTGCGAAGCGCTCATGGTGTTGAGTTTGGATGCTGCCCCCCATGATTTTGCCGCCGCTGCAACTCCCGCGCGGTTACGGAGATAAGTGTGTGGCAAGGCCATGAAACGTAGCATCATAACATGTCTCACAATTCTGCCAACGCCGCCCCCTAAACGGAGAGGGAGACGGATTGGGCCACGATATTAGCAACGAGCTAAAAAACCATGCCTTAGAACTACACTAACGCCGCAACCCCCAAGTGATGCGCAAGATAGACTATATTGCTAGATCAAAAACGTAGGATCCTAGCGCACCTCATTATTCTGCCAACCCCGCGACCCCCAAGTGGCTAGGGGAATGGAGTAGGATGTAAAATTAGCAAAGCCGACCCCATCCGCGGTCTTGAAGACAAACATAACGCACCTTAACTCACTCAAGAATTCCCTCTTCAGACCTGTCATTCTTGTGCTAGTTAACCGCCATCCTTTACAATAATGTTGCACCTAGATGTATTCCTCCCAACTTTTTTACTACTCCCTTCCTGTATCCCAGCCTACAAAATTGACCAAGGATGCAAAAGCGTTGGTATCGAAACCGAGATTCGCAACGGCATGACAGGCGCTATGGCAATGGTGGACTCAGCTCTAAACCATCTAAATCAGAATCCCTGGACACAAGACACAACTGATCTGATCCGAAATCTTTTCACGAAAGACGGAAAGGATCCGAGGAAGACAGATATGTCGAAAGTGAAAGCGGTACTGCATCAGATTGGTAGGATGTATCGGACCGAAGTTACGCAGGAAAATGTAGGGGACCTTGACGTGGTGAGCACCTAGTCTCCTTCATGGTGATTTAAGACATGCTGGATGAAGATTCTGACTCTTTGTAAGATAATTTTTTGTGACGATTCAAGGTTCGAATTAATAGACGAGGGTAAAAAGCTCTACAAAGATAAAAGTTGGTTGATTTTCTCCATCGTACGCCCACATTCTGCCGTTACAGGGTAGAATTGCGAACAGACAAGTCACCACTAACCTTTACCAGCAATTAACCAGCTCCTGTACTACAACGAACAGCAATGTAAAGGCAGACGTCGAGATATGGATGACAAAGTCGCCCTGGCGGTGACTGTCAACCCGGTGCTAACGGCCGAAGTATTTGAACAGACAGAATCACAGTGGGTGTACACTGAAACCGAGAAACCTACACAAATCCAGATCTGTCCCTGGTTCGTGGATTGGATTAAGAATCATGATTACAAGCTCCATAATGATGTCGCTAGATCGAATATTGGGCGCACTGTAGTCAAGGTCACTGAATCAACGAATCACATCCTTAGGCAGATAGGTAAGCCCAATGGCTTATGCTTAGTCTTGAATGGAGAAGCGAAATGCTTACGTGTGAAATTGCAGATGCATTCAATCTTCTCGACAAAGTCCTCTTGCACGAAATGACGCACGGAAGATCAGCTTGGCAAACTTCGGTTGGTGGGCAAAATATAGTTGGTCTTGCTGATGTAAGTTCCCAAACTCGGGTTTCCTGTATATCGTGAAACGATACTGATTTAGGTTGGGACGCCAGGTTCCTCATCCGAAGAATTGGTTTTTAAGGTTCCTTAAAGTGCCATGTTACGGATGGAAGTGGGCCAAAGACCTTGCTAGATTTGGAGAAGGTGTTAGAGGTGTTAAGAATTCACTGCAGGGCGCCGCGGATAACAATGCCGATTCGGTTGCACTGTTCGGTAGTGGTAGGCTTCTTTCTATTTGCCTAAGATCCTGAGCTGACATTTCTGTGACAGCTTGCAGGCTGTTGGATGATACCTGGCCGAGAAGAGTTGATGAGGATGGCAGGATTCACCCCATCGTTTAAGGCCTAGCGAGTCTCTGTGGGGTGCAGAGGTAGATAGGTTTTGGAGAAAGCAGAGGGTTCATGCCGTAGTTGCAAAATTATCATTCAACTGGAACCTCTTGTCAAACCCAGAATAACTCAGTGTTGTAAGGCCTCTTTTTAGTTGAAATAGTGAAGTTGATTTTGCTGAGCGCACGTCTAACCGTATCAGGGATCGGAAAATTTAATTCGACTTCTAACACCTGGGCCTTGATATCTTTGAGCGGTTGTAAAATCGAGACAAGTGAGGCATCATCAACAGCTCCAGGGTGTTCGCGATCGAAGGAGTCGTAGACGACAATGTCGATGCGGAGGGTTCGAAGGTCACGCAAGTCTTGGAGAGCATTACAACTCTCAGTCCAGTTTGCGAAATTCTCCGGGGGGTAGTTCTCATGCTTAGACCAGTAATCCTTTGGGGTTAAGAACATAGTTGAGACATGAACGTGTCGTATAGTGTGCCAATGGGACGTAGGGACAACGGCCCTCAGGGCTAGGACGCCTTTTGCGCCTTTGAAGCTGAACTCATTCGCGGTGTACAGTATCTTAATAGCTTCAGAGTAGCTTTTTAAGGTTTGTTAACACTGAGATGAGATGGAAGAAAGACCTAACGTACATCAAACGACAGGCCAGTAGAAGGACAAGCAATTTGTCATTTGAATACGGCGTCCTTAGGTGGGTCACCCCCGAGCGGTTTAGGCCCGTTTCTAGCCAGAAGCCAAAGCACTTGTGTTGCCACGTTGGATATTTAGATTTCATATCCTCACAACGCCGACGGCCCAGGCGTCCAGATCCATCGTCAAATGGCACAATGTGCATCGGTCGGACAGGGTGCCCGAGAAAAGCCGCATAGATCAGGATACGTAATTCCGTAGACAGTTTGTCAAAGAAAGAAGACTGGTTTTGGGGTTGCACTGGCCCATGTGGGATTGATTCAACGAAAGTTACGCGTGTCCGTGGATGATTTTTCCCCGGTCGCTTCACAGCTTTTCTATGAAGTTTTCGGGAAAAGAATTTACGCATATCGGGGATTGAAGAGATACAGGGAAACATGGAGCACGATCACTGTTATATACGTTCAGCAGATTGCGGCACAGCGAGATGGTGTTCCGATCCGACGCTAGCCTAATTCGGTTACGTATAAGAAACTACAGCATGCTATCCCACAACATAGAACCTAGCTGGGGGATAGTCTCTGTATTTTACCTCTTGCGAGAGCCAGGGAGGACGCCAAAAGAATAGCAAGTTTCCGTCCTAAAAGATTTCTGTCATGTTCTACATTCTATGACAAGTAGCAAAACTTCGAGTCTATGCTTCGCCTCTCGTGACAAGTTTCAAAGCTGAGGTCGTGGAGATAAGTCTAGTAAAGTCTAATTAAATGTAAGAAATAGCTTGAGGACTCATTGATAACGGTACGACACTTTATCCATGCCCACGGTGTGGATCATATAGCGGTGGCTGTAAATGGCTCGCTCCAGCGCGCTCATGGCTTAATGGCGAATACGTCGACGGCTCTGTTCCCAGATACGCCGTACTTCCATTTCTGCTGCTGAGCTCATATCCTATCATTCTCTCCTCATCATCCCCATAACCATTAACTGTATCCCGTTTTCCTTGTTTACGCGCTTTCTTCGCGACTTTTTTTTCGAGCCTCAACTGTTTCTTGCCCTGCCTGTAGTCGGATCCTGGACCAAAGAGCACACGTCCTGGGTGCATAATGTTCAAGATTGCAAGTGAAACGAACATTGGAACAGCGTCTAGTACGTACATGTAGACTTCATGGTTGGGTAAAGGGTTCGAATCGTCGAGGCCAAGGAGATATTCGGCTAGTCGGTAGATTATGCGAATCTTGTTCATTAGTAGGGGCGCTTTGTTCCCGGAATAACTTAGAACTTACCGTGATCAAGAGTAGGATGAGGTATAGGAGCCAAATCATCAACTTCCATTTCCTTCCAAGATTATCTCTCCATCCAGTTTTCTCCAGATCGTACATGGACTTGTGGAATCCAATCATGACCACAATGAACATCACCACAAAACCTTGTTGAGCTCCAATGCCGGCTTGGTAGATGTGTAAACCGTTCTGTTTGTTCGCCTCGCTAGCCCCTGGGCTGATCATTAGGCCTCCACTAAGCTGAATGATGAATGAAATAATGTCAAAGACTACAAAGAGCTTTCCAATCCATGTGGCCTTAATTCCGAAGACTTTTCTGGAGGGAACGAAACAGAAGATCAAACGGCCTGCGACCATGTAGACGAACGCATTTATCCCTGTTTGATTGTGAGACATAGTTCGGTGGGGAAGCAGCGAAAGACTCACATAATGGTGCTAGAGTGAAGAGGAGAAAGCTGTTCGAGGCATAGAACCTCTTTTGCTGGTCCTTCGTTCCGAGAACACGTAGGATAAAGGAAGCAACTTCCCACAGCGCTCCCATTATAATGACGGCGCAGAATCCTTTCTTGTAATAGAACGCCTGGAATATGTGTAGGACTGTCGTCAGGAGAAAGAGGCCGCAGAATATAACTGCTAGGGCAAAGGAAGGGTAATAATCATAGTTAGAATTGCAAGTGTGAGGCGGAACATAGCCATTCTTGTCCGGAACGGCGCTCACACAAGAGGCTGCCGCCCGAGCAAGGAGCTCATGAACGGAGGTCGGGGCGTTGATTGCGACCGACATACTCTGTATGTACCAGAATGTAGGACAAAAGAAGAAGGAAAATACAAGAGTGGGAAGTTTTAGGAACGAAGGACGTGGGCGAAAGAAGAAACCTAATGGTTTGAGAAGTGAATCCTGACAGGCTGGATGTGTTCTCCATATATCTGTCTGGAGACATTGACAAGCATATATACTTCAGGGTCTGGTGAGATCTCGGGCGGTTTGGGACTAACTCCAGTTGCCATCCAGGGGGTTCTTCCTTCGACGTACGCGGTGTAAACTAAGAGGCATGCACTTGAGAAAACACTTGACATAAGCGGCTGCCTGCTCGATCAGGACTAAGTTTGTAGGAAATACGCGCTCGATGGATTCTGCGATATAGGGATTCGCAAGACTAACCACAAAAGCAGACATCTACTCAGCCGAAGCATCCGGTTCTGTGGTTCACCCTCGGGCGCAGCTGGTTGCTTGGGAGATTCGAGGTGAACACCGCCACTTCCACGTACTCTTGGGCCTCGAAACAAAAGCAAAGACAGTCTGCAGGTACACAAACCTGAAAAGTCAGCCTCAGGCCAGGGTAGAAAATGAATTCAGGGGAAGTCACTGCCGGATGGTCGGATGGTTGCTGGCTGTGTAATGTGCACGGATCATATTGCGGCGGACGGAGGTCGAATTGGGGAATGTACGAAGTATATCTGACTGAGGAACGGTCGAATGATGGGGTCTATGGAATTCTGCGCATATCCATGTTAACGGCAAGAGCAAGGAACCCTGACTCTAATTGGACCCACGACTTGAGAGTTGAGGCTGTACACATTGACACGAGACCAGGGTCGACGTTTGCGAGATCGGCCGAGTGCATACTTGAGAACTGCCTTGGTTTATTGTGATCGAAGAGGGTCTAATAAATGGGTAGAAGGACCTTATATCAGTCTTCGAAAGAGTTTGGGCGCTTGCGGGACCCCTCACATTAAGAACACTCCTCTCGTCACCATCATCGACTCGTATTTCACCTGCGCAGTAGCCACCGCATCCACCCAATTCTCCTTGACATTCTGCCACCTTAGCTCCAACTTCAAGCAGACCCACAAACTGCGAGTTCTTGCAGTTCAATCTAATCTAATCACTTGGCATATAGTAATGACAATATGTCACGTGTGTTGGCGTCACGTCGGGTTCTGGGGATAATTGGAGTCGCCCCTCAGCTGTCGATATGTTAGAAACAACAACCTCAACGCTTCAGTCCGTGGACTATTATTGATTTCAGTTCATACTCTATCTAAACATACTTACCTCGCTTGCTAATTGAAATTCTCGGTGAGAGAGCCTTGAGGTCGTAAGATCCGTTACCTCATCCCTCGCTACTTGCCACCCGCCACCTCATCGCGACAACGGACACAAATGGGATAACCGACAGCCTGAACTTGAAATTAAGGCGGCATATTTCGTGTGTCGCCTAGCTATCGCTGTCAACCATGCCTAGAAAGCGTTCAAGAAACACAACACGCCAAACCAAACTGAATTTTTCACCCGTGCCAGCCTCCTCGCCCGGAGCAGCGCACCTGCCCATCCAAGACCGCGACCGGGTCACGGCTCAAACATATGATGGATTTCCATCCAAGAAACGGAAGGTTGCCTATGGGCGAACACAGTTTACGAGACCCATAATCGACAGTGAGGACGAACCAGAGCCTTCGTTCGGTAAGTTTGCCGGGACCAACAATCCTGTTACTTTGAAGACTATTGCCTGACTATTACTTGTAGGCCTCCCAACGCCAAAGAAGTCCTCCCAGGCCCTCGGCCGAGACAAGTCCTACAAGCGGGATGCAGAAAGAGGTATGAGACTCGGGATGCCAGTTGCCACCCAGCTCCATGGGATGTTCGGCACGAGCGATGATGAGCAATTAGTATCTTCTAGTAGCTCTTCAGAGACATCCGAAGACGAACCAGCGCCGATCAAACCCACACCAAAGAAGCGTACGAAAGACAGGCAATTGAAAGCAGCAAAGAGCACAAGCCTACAGAAATCAGGATACGAGGGTGACCGGAAGAGCTCTAGATTACGGCAATCGAGCCATAAGCAGAACCAAATACCACTGAGGGAACCCGAGTCAGATCTACAATCAGCTTCTAAGAGGGCCAGGTCAGTCAAGAACGACAAGACGGCAGCTAACCTTCAACGTTCGAATGAAACGGACTCGGTATTGGGCAGGCTATCCTCTCCGGAAGTCGTCAATATGAAGAATGAATCTAGTGATAGCGAGGTCATGCCTGATACGACGCCAGCGCGGCGCACCTGTCGACCTACAATTCGTCGACAACGGGGAAGTTTGTTTGAGGTTCCTGATGAGGCTGTGGAACAGGAAGAGTCCGAGGATGACGATGTGCCGCTCAGTATGCATACGAGACGGGGAGCAAGATACCGATTAACGCCGGAAGACGAAGAGAGTGAAGACGAGATCAGAACACCAGGCAGACGTCTAATCCGAAAGAAAATCCAGCATGACGTATCGGACGGCGACAGCGACGAAGAGGAGCCTACCCCCGCGAGAGGTCATTCTCATAGAAAGGATCAACAACGTGTCCGTAAAGAGCAGGAAGATTTAGAAGAAGATCTAGAGTTCTTAAGGTCTTCACCTCCGCCGGATAATGGTCGTCTTAGAAATAGATCTTCAAGGCCAATGAATGCACGGCAAAAAGCCCTTGAGGCCCTCAAGCGCCGTCGAGCTGGTCCACGCTCAGAGCTGTCGCCTTCCGTCCCTTCTGCTAGAAAGGGTGCATTCGTTCGCTCTGACTTGGAAGACGATCTTGAGGTTATAGGGGGGGACGAAGAGGAAGAGGAGAATGGGGATGGCGAGGTCGATGAGGATGAGGACTTTTCGACGGATGACGTGCATCCTTATAACTGCCGTGTTGATACATTGGACATGTTCCAAGAGAACGTTGATGATGCAGACTTCGTCGTTGATGAAGACGAAAACGGCGATGACTTCCTCGGTGCACCTGCTGAGCTCAGTGGCATCCCTCTTGCATTCACTTCCATGAACAGCAAGAAGCCCCGCGAACTCTTCAAGTATGCAATAGAGTGGATGGTTCAGAAGAAGATCAACCCAGGCTTCTCATCAGACGACGAAATCTACGAGCTTACGTTTCGTAAACTGAACGACGAAGTAAATGGGCTGGTAAACTCTAAGTTTTCATCATCAGTATGGACTCCGGATTTCACGAGAGCACTGAGATCAAGGCCGGATATCACAATTAACGAGATCTCCAAGCTAGAGAGGGATGTCACTTCACCCCATTGTCAGGCATGTAATCGAACGAAGCACCCCGCTAGTTACAACATCAGCTTCTCCGGGAAACCCTATAATAAAGATACACTAGAGCCTCTTTACGAAGACGACGACGACGACAAGGACTCAACCTCCGACTCTGACGAAGAAGACTCGGACTCGGACTCCATATCTCTGGATTCTGCTGGCAATAAGAAAGAATATAACGCCAATGGTGAAGTTCTCCCTCCAGCTAGCACCGTATTCACGCTCGGCTCTACCTGCAAAGCGAATGCCCAAGTAGCTCATACTCTGCGCCATTGGCGATATCACCTTTACACTTGGGTGATTGACTATCTCGTTACCCAAGGCCACCAAACACCAGAGAAGCTTCTAAAGCGCGATAAGTGGTCCCAGCGAAAACGCGAGAAGTACGCCAACAAAATCGTTGATAGGATGGAGAAGGACGGCCAAATCCGCAAGCTGCATAGCTTGTATCGGGATCAGATCGACTTCGCCCTCGAAACGAAGAATGACTACAATAGAGGCTGGGGTCGACGGGGTTGATAGGGGAATCAGAGCAGAGGATATAGCTGAAGGAAAGGAACTACTCTTCAATTTGATTTCTGACATGGCGCTTATCCAGGCGGACATTTTGGGATACCCTGGCTTGGGTAATGGGGAGTGGACATGGGCTTTTCTTTGGATAGCGTGGGCTGGGATCGAAGTATGGAGTTCCTCACTACCTAGCTAGGTATGGCTTACTCAAGGTTCATATTTAAATATACCTATTCTGTTTTGCGATGGGCAGATGGACAAAATCTAAATAGCTATTTTTCCTGCGTAAGTTATCTCACGAGTTTTTTGAGGATATGCGAAATGGGTTATTAAATTACTCTAATAAACTCTATGCAACTAGACCATGTCCAACTGCTTGAAGGCAGGAAAGCGGCGACATATCGAGCCCTTCCTATTGGAAAATCTTGCTCTTCAGAATGAGCAATATAATCGCGTGTACCTCCACCACATTACCTGCACCCCCAAGACAGAGATCAACTAGCCTTCCTCATCAGGACTCTGCCTTCGTCTCCTGTCCTTCCCCTTCCTTAACAGCCAAACCCTGCACAGCCTCTATAACCTCCTCGTCCATAGCCCCGACACTCTTCTCTCCACCACCCCACAAATAGATCTCGCTCTCTCCGATGCATTTTCCCGCACTTTCCCATCTTGCCTTCCTCGCCTTTCTTCGCTCATCCGCAAGCGCGTTTAGAGTTGGCCAGTAAACCTCATGGTTGTATTCGAAATCAACGTCACCACCAGCGTTCTTCATGAGTTGGGACGCAGGGATGTGGTCGGTGAGGGGCTCGTTGTAACGCATTTTGGTTTTGGTGACAGGGTCAATGAAGGGAGAAATAAGCTTGAGAAAGGTGGTTACGTACCAGGGCACTATAACAGGCTGTTAACGGGTCGTGTTCCTTATAGGGTGGAAGATCAGAAAATAATACTTACGATGCGTAATCAGCGCCCTCCCTAACCGCTCCGGATAGTGGTTCTGGAGAATATTCAAAACCTGTCGCCCCGTGCCAACCGAGGGATTCGACCCAGCGCTCGAGTTCCGGAAATCAACGAGTAAGGCAAGGGTCTCTTGTCCGGGCGGTGTAATCTCTAATGTCCTCTCTAGCATAAATACCAAATGCTCGACCTGCTTTGGGCTGTTTTTTGTGTTCTGCTTGTTTGGAAGCAGGTACAGACACGGCCTTCCTTCGTTATCGTATCCGAGTATGACTTGCTTGCCTGTAGCGTTTTCCTCCGATATATAGTCTGCGGTGAATGTGTCTGTGCCGTATTCACGGCGCCAGATGAGGGTTGAGTGGAGGCGGGTAGTCGCTTGCGCGAGATGCCATTTCGAAGCCCGCAGGTATCGGAGGAGACATTCGCGGGTCAGCCACATCCGCTCCTCATCTAGAATCGGCGTTTGTTCTGCATTCTTCGTAGAAGTCTTCGGGAGAGTTTCCCATGACTTTGCAGTCTTGAGAAGCTCGTCATATTTGGATTGTTGATCTGTAGTGAGGGTTACGGGAGCAGCGGGCTTGCAGGCTGGTTCTGGGTGCTCGAACGGCTTCGTGACGGGAACATTCTCTTCGGGACTGGGGGGGACGTTGCCTTCGCGTATGGACTTGGAGTCTACAGTGCTGATCTGAGCTTCAGACGAAGCATCATTAGCTGCTGAAGGTACTAGAAGAATCTTTTCGGTGGGTTCGGTGGTTGTGGGAGCGGGTTCGACAGCAGCAGTGGCCATGATGAAAGACACTCGACTGGAGGAGCTGTATCAATTGATTTGATTCAAAGTAAAGCTTGAGGGAAAAGAGGTTGCGGCGAGGATGGGACGGCTGATGGCGGAGAGATATAAGGATCAAGGAACTGAAAGGGAAATTAGGATTACGCCACAATGGCTTGGCAAAGAAACCTATCAGGATGCTCGAAACTTCAGCTAGGGAGTTGGTATAAAGCGAAAGACTCCAAAATGTAGTGGTTCTAAGTAGAAAGGGAATCTTGAAAAGTTCGGTTCACATTCACTGCCCTGCCCTGCATGCGATCAGCGATATCATCCCTGTCAAGACCTCGATGACTAAACTAACACCGCCTTCACATCACTTAACTGATATTCGCTGCTACTACCTCCATGTTTGCGGTACGGGGCCGTTACATTCCATAAGTGTATCTGGGGCACCCGTCTTGCTACTTACAGCCTGTCTTCTTCTCTTGGTTGCTGCTCCCTCGAGGTGCAGGAAGAAACAGCATTGTCATAACGCAATTCAGATATCAGTCGACTGAACAAAATGCACAATAACTACTCCTATCACGACTGCATCTTTTCGTATCTAGCTGAACTTGATGAGCAACTGATCTCAGATGTCACGAAACCTCTCCATTGAATTTAGATTCAATGCGCCACATATCTTCAACATTAGCACTTATCATCAGTCGTCTTATTCAGGCCATCCGTAGATCCCTCTCCGGGACGTTGGTTTTCAAGGTATTACCCTCATCATCGGAAACGTTGAATTTGTACAAGATGCCATCGTAATAGACTCGGAATATGAGGCCTGTAAACCATACACGCCTTCCTTCAACAACGTCTATTCAGTCTACTTTATCTCCAACATAGTAACGTGCCTGTCAAATGGTTAGCACCAGAGATCAATCTGATTCGGAAGCGATTCCTACTTTACATTTTGTTGAGATTCATCTAAAACAGTGACGACTTCCATGATAAAGGGGATTGTAGTAGACCTGATCGTTTTGAACGCTCTTCGTTTCGACGTTTAGTTAAACTATGGAATTGTTTATTGTGTCCCGTTGATATCTGCAGAGTATCCGGCCGGAAGGTGTGGAGGGTGTGTGATGTATCAATCATTCAGCCCCCACAGGAGCTGAAACATGGAGATCGGCAGACGTTGGAAGATCCTTGGTGTTTCCGAATGCTGACAATTTCCACCGGCGATTGTAGCCTAGAAGATACCTATCAACTCATGATCGCGAACGAGTGAAGCATCCGACTTGGAGATTTAGGCTACTTTAAATCCACAATTTTATGCGGACTTTCCGAGCTAGAAATCTATAGCGAAAACCGTAGTTTCCTTTTGAAAAAGATCGTCACGTCCATCCCGCCAAGCTATACAGAGCTCGAGAGGTAGATATGACTGAAAATAGTGCGAGTTCCAGTTGCGGTGATTATGGTGCAGAGCTGATGAGATCTAGTCGAAGGTGCACAGCCAGGAGTTGCATCACCGGGCCGGCGTTCTCTTCTCTGGACAATACTCGCAACCTGCAGACAAGCGGTCCGATCACTTTTGATAGGTTCAGAATGCGAAGACTGGAGGCAATGGTGGGGAGACCGAGAGAGTAAGATGGGAAACGAATATTCGCTGATATTAACTAAAGATGTAACTCTTAGTCAACACTCACCGGCCCGGGTATCCCCTGTATTCGTCATGGCTCGCCTCCCATTCTCAGTGCCAAAACTTTCGTCGGTTTAAGACAACTAGAATGAGACTACTCCTCGCAAAGCAAGATGAAGTCTCCAAGCTTGAGTCGGAGTTAAAAGCTATAGACTGGGATGAAACTGCCGAGCTTTTCCTAGGGAGCATGCGACTGGACAAGAATGCGAAGAGAAAGGATGTTATGTGCAAGCTTGATGTCGCAATCAAGGAATATGGTAGGATTCATTTTGACCTTCATCAAAAGGAAGCTACTAACCACAGTCGTCAAGATGAGCTTTTGCTAAGAAGTAGAGACATTTTGAACATGCCAGACTCTTCGATTCACAATCTCCATGTAATGGATACATGGCTAAGAACGACGGGTTGTATCGCAAGATCCGAATTCGAGTATGTGAAAGCTGAGGACTGGGATATCGTTAACATCTGTGGTATTGGGCATGCTGTGCGTAGAGATGATTCACTGCTCACGACGCGAATTACGAATGCTTTGGGTGAGCTTCGTAAGAATTGGAAAATGGTATGTATTTGCCCCACCCGATCGTTTGCAGGTTGTTGATATTGGCATCAGGATCCCTCTCACCAACACGGTTACGGAAATGTTGTGATGGTGCCAAAAAGACACGTTCGTGTTATACTCAAGGTCATAACGGCTGTTATGTCAATAGTACTGTTGCTAATGCCAATGGTTGCTTTGAACATGGTGCACTCTAGTGGCATGCGGTTTTTGGTCATCTTCTTCTCCACATCTACATTCGTTATTGCATTGATTTTCGGCACCCCGGCAGGCATGCTGGAGACTCTAGCGGCGGGAGCAGCTTATGCCGCTGTCCTTGCTGTCTTCATCAGTGGGACTACTGTTCCAGGGTAGAGATTTGGATGGATTCATGATCCCAGAACTGAGTGTGCTGTTCGAGGTCACAAGAAGTATTGTAAGCGATACAAAAAATGACAATGTTCTTTTCAATAATCGTATTGGTGCGGGGAGACGGGGTTGTGAAGGGCAGCTGGAGGAATAAAGTGGCGCTTGTACTCCGGCCGAGGAGGGATGACTAAGCCAAAACCACTTTAGCCCGAGAACGCGTCCCGACGCGTCTGATCGAACACCAAACTCTCAACTACCGCCTTTCATCAATTCCACCCCAACAATGGACGACGTCACCCCCGAACTTACGGAGCGCTTTGAGCGCTACTGCGATACCAAAGACAAGGAACTTCCTCCTGAAATCCTCGGCGAATTGCAGTCAATGCTGCGCCTGTATTCTGTCTCGCCAGAAGAACTGTACTTCAAATGGGAGGCATATGGCATGAAGATGGGTGGGGAGGAGACGAGGCTGGATTTGAAGACTGCGCGAGATTTCAAGAAGAATGTCCAGGATACGTTGGAGAGGGAGAGCAGAGCGAAGGCTGCTCATGCTAGGAATGAGGGGAAGAGAGTTGCGTCGACGCCTAGGGTGGGGATGAACAGTCCTGGGGATGTTTTCGGAATGTATGTTTATGGAGGTATAGAATTTGGGTGTAAGAGCTAACTGTGCGCAGGCTAGACGGATTAGTACCCTACACACCACGACCTGGTGCACGGAACGGTGTCAATGGCAGCACCACGAAGAGGAGGTCGAACTTTGAAACCCCAGCTAGTAAAGCAAATAAGAGTCACGAGACGAGTTCGCCCGGCAATGCTCTCACGCCAAAAGGAGAGATAAATGGGAGACCGTATGTATACCACCTAATATTCTCCTCTCCTTCTAATCTAAAGATGTAGTGTCTTCGACTTCGCCTCGCGTCAGAGTGCGGGCGACATCTCCGAACAACTGAACGGCGACATCTCCCTCCCCGACCCACCCGAAGAGCGCCCTGCAGAAGCGCGCATCAAGCTGAAAGCAAACACTGATATGTCCAAATTCGCGTACAAAACCATGGCAACGAAGCTTTCAGAAGCATCAGAAGTGCTGGATGACCGCATCGACGAGTTCCGCCAAATCATACAAGAGCACCTCAACCTCGAAGACAGCGAGTTTGGCAACCCGTCTCACCAATCGCCGAGTGAGATCATTGCCGTAGGTCGTATTGCGTCTGATGCTAGCGAGGGGAAGCTAACGGACTCATCACTCGTCCTCGAAGGCTCTCGTCGATGGGGCTCTGGTCGCCGTGTTCCCCTGAAGCTCGACGCGCTCACCTCATACAATTTCTTCCCTGGTCAGATTGTCGCTCTCAAAGGCACAAACGCATCTGGCGACTTCTTCACAGTCTCCTCCGTCATCGAACTCCCACTGCTAGCCCAGCCTGCCACTAAACCGGACGAGCTGGACACCTATAATAACCGCTACCTCGACACCCCAGACTCAGACCCCGAAAACGTCCGTCCGTTGACAATTCTCATAGCAGCAGGGCCCTACACTACCGACCAGAACCTAGACTTCTCCCCGCTACATACGCTTTTCGAAAATGCTGTAACATCCTATGCCGACGCCCTCATTCTGGTAGGCCCCTTCCTTGATGCCGAACACCCCCTCATTCGAACCGGAGACTTTGACATCCCAACACACCTCACAACCCCCGATCAAGCCACCATGAGCGACTTGTTCCGACACCACGTTTCCTCAGCTCTACAATCATTCACCCAGCGTCTCCCTACCTGCTCTGTGATTCTCGTCCCGAGCTTACGCGATGCACACCACAGACACGCCGTATTTCCACAGGACAGGTTCATCAAGAAGGAACTAGCACTACCCGGAAAAGGAATTCAGTGTGTAACGAATCCCATGATGTTGAGTATGAACGAATTCACAGTCGGAATAAGCTCCCTCGACATCCTAGATATGTTACGAAAGGAAGAAATTGTAGGCGGGGAGGCGCGATATATTAATCTGTATGAACGAGGTGCGAGAAACGTCATTGCGCAGAGGAGTTTCTTACCTGTTTTCCCACCCACGGCGAGGGACAGGCTGGCCCTTGTTGCAGGCGTTGAGGAGAAAGTCGTGGATGGGAAGGGTGGCGAGGGTGGCGAGGAAACAAATGGACCGACGCCTTTCTTACCCTTGGGGACAATGGTTGATACGAGTTATCTCAAGTTAGGTGAGATTCTGAACGTGAGGCCGGATGTGCTGATTACACCAAGTGTACTTAATCCTTGTGTTAAGGTAAGTCTGCATTGCACCCTACTGGTTAGTTTGATAGGGATGCTGATTGAAACTCTAGGTTGTCGAATCTGTTCTTGTGATCAACCCCGGTACATTAAGTAAGAAGAGAGCTGCAGGGACGTACGCGAGGATGATTGTGAAACCTGCGAAGATCGAGGATCAAGAGAGGGAAAGGGGATTTGCTATTGCGCATAAGATGTGGGAGAGAGCTAGGGTGGACATTGTGAAGATTTGAATGATGTATATGGTAGGGATAGTATGTGTTTTCGCAAGGTGTTCTGGTGTTCGGATATGCTTGGATCATGCCTTTAGAATGCAGTGGAGGCAGGTTTCCAAGGATAGTTGAATGAATGGGGCAACACTTTGTTCGCCAATATTAGATCCATTTAAACGCATTATTTCTAGTAAATTAGACGGGAATGGCAGTTGCCCTTATAACACCGATAAGGTCTCCAAACAAGATGTGGAGATCGGAGCGAGGCCGTTGAGGTTCATGAGCGATTATGAATTTGCTTTCCGAGGTTAGCCTTGTCAGCGGGGAATCCTGCTGCAACATAAATGTGAATCGTCCGTGCAACGTTAAGCGCCCCTCAAATGATCACGATGCTTTGAATCTGGAATGTCCGGTGTTGTCGTGAATTCAGTTGGATTTTCCTATTGAACCCGACACCGCCCATGAGTTGAAAAGAAGTTATTCTAGAAGAGAATAAGAGCCCAGCAATGCAGACCTACTCCACCGTTTAGACCTCTTCATTCCCTCATCGATATTCACTCCAGCCATCACGTGCTCATTGACTCAAACACCCGTTGCACATACGTCCATCTCGTCTTCTCGATTCGCATCCGATGATTCGTAGGGTGATTATCGGTGCTATTAGTCTGTAAGTATCGCGCGGTGCGCCGGAGATATTGGGATATGATGGGGCCCAAGGGTAGGGTTCTAGTGATGCGTTAAGATGGAAGATTAGAGGTTCCCATACCTTGACGAAACCAATATCGGCACTCTTCTCCCTGAAGCACTGACGGCAGATATTGAGGCCGTACTTACGGATCAGACCGGCCTTGTGGGTGCAAACGCGGCTGTTATCCTTGCATTAGCAAGTATCCTTTGAATCATTTGGTCCTCTTGTAAGCGATTTCCCTCCCAATCCTTCCGCCATCCTCGGCCTCCGATTCCAATGACTGTGGGAAACTGCGCTTGGAACAGACGTACCAGGAGCGAGCGCCTTTGCCGTAGGTGCGCGGGCGCGAATACCAGACCGATTCGTGAGACATATTGTGTAGGTGGAGGGTTGTTCGACCTTAGTGTCGTTGCTTCTAGAATTGTCAGCCTTGATGATGAGATCTCTATTTCTGCATCAATTATACATATACTAACAGTATCCGGTGCTCACAGACGTCGTGGTCGGTCGTGCGTTAGGCTGTCGTTCACAATGTGAGGCGTTGAGGTTCAAGATCACAATTTTGGTGTGGTCGGAGGAACTTCGGGGCGGGGCTAAGCGAGGGCGAGTTGCGCTTGTCGAAGGGCGAGTGAAAGTTACTGTGATCGATGGTTTTTAAAAATTACTCTTCTAGGTAGGTTGAGATGAACCAATAGCAAAGCCCAGAGAGCAGTAACAGCGTTCGATGGATCTTGAAAGTTGCCAAAAGAGTAAGTTTGGGCTCGAGCCAATCGAAGCGCAGATCAAAGGTCCCAAACGGCGGACATAAAAAATTTGAGTAAACACCGCGTTCGACGGCCTTTTGTTAGTTGCCTAATTAGGAAATCCTCCAATTACAGCATCCTCACCACTGCAGCCACACAATTAGGAACGTATATTGGGCTGCCGTGAAATATTAACAAGGTTGGTCTATTCATATCGCTGCCAGAAGAAAGGTTAGCATCAAGTAGATGTTGAATTCTGTCTTAAACCCGACTTTCATATGGAACAAGTATCCGGTATCAATCGTCGTCACAAGCCTCCAGTGTCATCAAAATCAAGAAAGTCAAACACGTTCCCACCCTCTGTACCAATGTTATCAAAGCCATTGAACGAGTCAAATGCGAAAGCAAATCCAGAAGAATTCGTCAACGCGTTTTGGAAGATCGCTGATTCGTCCTCAGTTAAACGGAAAAGCAAATTTGGGTTTGGAATAGTGCTCTCTAGTTTGCCGCTTTCAACATCCAGTGGTTCTGAAAAGGGATCAAAGGGTAAAGAATGTGATGTTGGTGAAGTAGTAATTCCTTGAACTAGAGCGGCTTCAAAGCGATCGACCAGCAAATCTGCCTTTGCGGAAAGATCGCGAGCTACATTCGCCGCGCTTGTTGCGCTAGCAAAATTGTTCGATACCAGCTCGAAAGTAGTTATAGCTACGCTCACGGCTTTGCGTGCTGCGGGTTTTGACGGTCCGGTTGGGTATGCTAAGATATAGCCGATGAGCGAGAGTGTGGCATTCCATTGCCATTGAAAGATCTTCGGCCAGCCGTTTAGAAAGCCCGTCTCCGTGATCATTTGGTTGATCATGCTAGTAATGGTGATGGCGTGATTGACACAGGAAATAGCATGGCCTTCTGTGAGCGGCGTACCAGAGCTGTAGACCTGGGAGAAGCAGATAAACGGACGATACAGACTCATGGAGTGGTTATGGTACAGAAGTTCGAGGAAGAGACATTGCCGCGAAAGCCAGTTGGGAGTGGAAGGGTGGATATCTAGCAAGGAACGATCCGTCGAGAATGGTTGTCCTCGGTTCTTCCTTTTAGTCTTGAGTTCGTGCGGTACCTGCTGTAACCATGTTTTCAAATACGGCATTTTGGAAAGAAGGAACTCAGCGCAGGATTCGAGGCCCTCTGGATCATGATAAAGACTCCTCTGCCCATTCACACCCAGTACGTCTGCACATTTGTGATAGAACATGATGTAAATCGCCCGAGTCGCAAGTATCAATTTCACAAACTGAGTGCTGAAGTTGGTGATGTGGAGAACATTATTGTTTACCGGGACTAGTTTAGGATGTAGTGGATTCTGAGGCTCGCACCTTTCCTCTGGTAGGCCACAGGTAACTTGAGAAATGTTAAGGGCCAGTGGTCGCCCAAGTTCCATGCCCATCGTCATCTCTAAGGCGTAAAGTGTCCACCACAACCTTTTCCTAAATTCTTTTTGTGCCTTTGGCATATCCTCGAGTGGTTCCAAGTGAAGGCCTAATATTATTCCCGTGCGGATCGCTATAGCTAAGATACTATGGGCATTGTTCTGGAAAGAAGCGTTGGATAGCCAAATCACCGAGAACAAGTGGCACTGGAGGGTCGTGATGGATGGTCCTTCCAGTTCATCGGCAAGGAGAGACTGGCATCTCCGATAGAACCACCGACCTGCGATTGATGCATCATTATCCCCCAATACGTCTTGATCCAGATACGCATGGCTTTGGGGTGTCAAAGCAGCCTCATGTTGCATGCAGATAGCAAGAAGAATATCGACAATCGCTGACGGCTGTCGAGACGATGCTGATGTCTCCCACAAAGACTTGTGATGGGCCTTGAATTCCGCCTCGTCGAGTACCGGATAGATGCAATGGTATGACTGCCAGAACAGGCTGAGGAAATATTCTTCTTGTGGAAGTGCTAGGTCATGCCCAGTATTTGGTTCATCAAAATGCAAATGACTCTGCGATGGCTTACTCATTCCCACACTGACAGGACTCGAAAGAAGTTGGCTTGGTGAAGTATGTTGGATGTCCGAATGGCGCTGTTGTAGTGCCGTATCAAGATAAGAAGTCATTTGGCCGATGAAGTAAAACGAAGACGAAGGCCCATAACACTGTTGGTTTGACCGTGCAGTTCGTGCGGAGACATAATCCCAGTTGTAGTATTTCTTATTGCCGCCATGCTCTTTCAAGGGATCCAAATTTACAGGAAGCGATAGAGTTGCCTTGGGGGTTGGCACAGGCACCTCCTTTTCTTGCATCTTGGTAGCTTGACCATTGTCGAGATCTTTAAGCCGTTCTTCTAATTCCTTGACACGGTCTTTCAATCGCTCTATTTCTCTACGAATATATTAGCTGCAAAATCCGAGGGAAGAGGGCCCACCGACTTTAGTGCGAGTGGATATGTTCGCACTTCATCTTTCCCTGTATTAGCGCCACATATCCGACCTTTGGTCCTGCAATTGTGACATGGGTAGCTAGCATCGCACTTGATGCGATAAGTGCGGCACCAGACGCAAGCCCGTGAGACTTGATGACGCTTTGGTCGTGATGTTACTGTTGTGGACGTACAAGTGCCTTCCTGCCTCTTCTGGTCACTTGGATCGGGGTACAACGTTGCAAAGGTTGTAAACATCACGAGAAATATTACATATAGGAGAAGGATAAGGGAAAGAAATATGAGTAGAAGCCGTTACGAGAGCTCTTTGGTGTCTTCCTGGAGGGACGTCCTGTAGGGTCCAAAAGTCTTCAATTAAGTCCGGGAGGAAAGGAATTAAGAAAGCCCTTTGCGACGGAGATAGGAAACTACTGCAGATACACCCTCTTTATACTCTTGACGTACCACAACATCCACCAAGCCTTTACTTAGACATGACCCTCAAAGTCTTGATAAAAAGCGTCAACTCGTAAATCTCGCCTCCAAGCAGTACCGTGATGTTGGCCGTCCTGCGCATAAGGGACGATCGGGGTGCCAAGACGATGAGTAACCCTCTTTGCTTTGTCGGTGGGGTCGCCTATTCTAGCGACCTAAAGAAGTTTAGCCTGTGATTGCGCCCTAATCATCCATCATCCTCAACCCTTCACATTACTCTGTTAAAATCCTCATGATACACCAACAACACGATGCGTTGCGTTAGAGCCTTAAAGTGCTACATCTCATTCTTGTTCCTCACTCACATTGATTTGATCAGGACTAATATGGTAACTTGACTGCTATCTCCGACTTCCTAGTCTTCGTCCCTAGGGAGAGTAGATGCATATGCACTTCACTCATTACTCAATCTTCATCTCCAATCGCCCTTTTAAATGAGTGTTCATGTATATATCTGGCAAATTAAGCACTTTCTCGAATGTAACCGTAGTGAGGTGGGAGCGGATTCCGAGTTTACCGACCGTATTCAACATCTCTTGAGCATTAGCTTGGGTCGCGACCACAGACCCTATGATTGTGTGCTGCTGGAAAATGAGTTCGAAAGCATCGAAGGGAACACCAGTGGTTGGAAGCCCGAGTGGAACGCAGAAGCCGTTCGGATGTAGAAGTTTTAAGCTCCACAAGGTAACGGGGACATGATCTGTAGTGACGATGATGGCATCGAGACCTCCCTTGCCAGTCCAGGATTTAACTTTCGAAACTGCTTCGCCATCCTCCGAGTCGACAATAAGGTCAGCTTTTAGTGGGAATTCAGTTGCTAGTTCTCTCCCCTCGATTCGATTATCAATAGCGACTACCTGATACCCAAGGGCCTTTCCAAATCGAACTCAAGAGAGCCTAAACCCCCAATGCCGATGATTCCAATGTGACCTCCAGGTGCCACCTTTGTTTTGGCAATGCCTTCGAAGACAGTTGCCTTGCGGCTTGGGCGTCAGTTCCTTGCGAAATGCGAAGGTGGGACTACTTACCCCAGCACACATCAAAGGTGCGGCCTGCTCGAATGGGACGGAATCTGGAAGCAGGCAAATGTTATCTGCATCGGCCATCAAGCCTGCTAAATCATGATTCTTACAGAACCGAATATCATTCGTGGTCTTGCAGCCTATGCACATCTTGCATGCATGTCGGAAGAGAAGGACGCCGACTCTCTGCCCAATCTCCCATTTGCCCTGCACAGCTGAACCAACAGAAACAACCGCGCCTACCGGCTCATGGGATGGAACAATTGGGCATGGAGATTTGTATAACCCCCTCCCAGACCTGGTAGTCGGTATGGTAGAAGCCTGCCGCACCCACCTTTACCAGGACATCATTCTCTCCTAGTTTAGGAACAGGGATATCGCGGATTTCGTAATTTTTTTTGTACTGTGGTGCTTTATCAGCATGGCCCTGGTAAGTCTAAGCTTGGCTTCCATACTCCAACGAGTTGAACAGCTTTCATGGTCTTGGGGATAGAAGGCACTATTGTAGTTATTGTAGAGTCGCCTTTCTAAGAGATGTGGTGAGCTAGTCACTTTTGAGTAAAGATATCTTCTGTGCTATGAGGAGTCGATGATTCAGTCTCTGTCCTGGGAGGTAGGTCGGTGTTCATTTATGCATTCAGTCAATACAGGAGATCCCTAGCAACTTCTTCATTTCCCACTTCCTGAAAGCTTCAGTCGGAGAGACGGAGTCTTCATTCGGCGTTGATCGACGCTCGGGCTGCCGAACGGCGTTGGAGTGCATCAAAATCATTGTAGAAGTTAGGACACCCCTAATTATGCATTAGATGACGGCAGGTGCGACATTAAATGAAACTTGATGATAATGAGTGGCATCGGAATTAGGCTGGAAAGTTGGGGCGCTCTCCGATACTCTTTTTGACATGAGAGCATATGGATATATGCAGAGATCACTCCTTCCACCACAAGTTACTAAGAGATTCCAAATGCGTAGTATATAGCGATAAATATTTGGTGCGAGTCTCAAGACTTATATTCGAAATGCACCTCAAGGAATGATTCAATTCTTCGAACATCTACCTGAACTTCAAATTAACTTCATCCACTCAACCACCGAAGATGACCACCAAACCCGGAGGAATTACTACAGTCCTATACCGGCGCTTCCCCGACCACATCTCCAACATGGACTACTACTTTCCCTTCACAACCAGTATCTGGGCTCCACATGGCATGACCAACAGCTATGTTTGCGAAGGGGCAGCCGAATCCGATTTCGCTTATTACACAGTCGTTGAGTGGAAGGGTGTAGAAGGGTGGGAAGCTGCGATGAAAGACGAGAAGGCGAAGGAGATTATGGAAGATGTGAAGAATTTTACCAATGAGGAGCCGATTTTCGTAGTGGATAAGGCTGTCAGTTAGGCGAAGTGCTGATCTGAGAAGTCTGGCCTGACTTTGGCTATGTTGGGGATTGATAGGTGCTTCGTTGACATAAATATCAGCGCATTTCCTATCCAGTTCCTCCATTACGCTGTTCCACATTCTACCATTAACTGTATCAGAGCACTTTAGCTACTAGCTAGAGCTCGGCTTACATCTCGTCTGTCTCGACTCGTCTTTGCTTCTACTCTCTGTTCAAATATTTCTTTCCTTATCCACACCTCACATCTTTCGACCCAACGCGTCAATCCTGCCCCAAACCCAGCCCCCGTCCTTTACCCACTCTCAGCCCCACCCAATTGTTAAAATTGCCTGTCACTCCAGCGAGAACACCAAGCTGAATCTCGCACATCCAGAATCCATTCCTCGCATCAATCTCATCCCACACCATCAGCAGCAACAAAGATCACTCCACCCGAATTTGGTCCAAGTAAACTCTCCGCTTGTCTCTCCCTCCTTTTATCGCCTATGTAGTCGCAGTCGTACCTCAGCGGTATGCGAAACCGCCAGTCTCGTCTTTAGTGCTAACAGTAAGAGAAATCTTCTAATCTAAGTACTGTGTGACGAAACCTGCATGCAAAAGATTGACCGCGCATACGAGGATGCAATTTTGGGGTTGGATTTTTGAAAGGAATCATCAAGTCTCCGCGTTGAGGGACCAAAGAGTTGAAGTATGGAAACCACCTGGAGCTACAGGGACGGATTTGTTATACCTGTACAACACATTGCGCGGCTACGATGGGGCTGTTTCATCTGTCTGCATATCCAAGACCGCAGACACTGCACTAGAGAGAGCCATCTCTCTATCTAGAAATCAGAAGCTAAAGATCTGGGATCTTGAGTCCGGGGTAACAAGTCAGAGCCATCGATCATATTGCACCCACTTGGAAGTTCTAGTTTGATCGAGGATGGAAGGATAATTCTTGCAACGCGCTCTAATAGCAGGATCAGGAATTACAATTTAGAGACTAGGAAGGATGCGGCTTGTCTAGAAGCGCATACAAATGTGGCTCGCTCGGTGCATCTTGCTGCGAGCGGGACGGAAATCATCTCAGCCTTTTACGATAGTACCGTGAGGGTTTGGCAGGCAAACAGCGAGGCGAAATGAGGCTGGGCACAGTACACGTTCTGATTTTTCGACTTACGACTGTGGAATCGAATTCCAATGTTAACTATCGGGAAGCTATGAAGCGGTCGGAATAGGTGGACACAGATCCGAGGATTATGGATATAGTAGTTGATAAACAAGAGGAATTTAAGTATGTCCGTGGAGAAGCAAAGGATATGAAATATGGAAAACTTAAGGGACGGAAGATTAGAGAGGAGGAATTGGGGAGGCAGTCTCCAGGCCTTGAGCAATCGATTCCATTCGCTGGATATGGTATTCTGGACCACCGAGAATCTGTCCTGGACGCCATGGGCGGCTTACTTTCGAAATCGCCCAACCATTCTGAACGTGCTATAATATCTCCTATTAAGCCCCCGTCTCTTTAATCTTTACTCCTTCCATCCAGTCCGGCTTCCTCTCCAGGAAGAATTCACTATTAGGCTCTGACATACTGTCGAACAACGAACCTTTTACAAAAACCTTTGTCATCCCAGGCACGAGCGACATCACTGGACTAAGTCACTGTCAGCAAACCTAACGTACTCATGAGCACGCAACAACGTACCTCCCACAGTTCCCACAAAACCGCCTAGTGATGGTGTTCCCGCTTTTGGTATTACTATCCTGGTAGGATTTGAGAGTATTTTGGGCGTCTTCGATTTCAATTTCGGAGAGTTCGATGACATAGTTTACGGAACAAGGGCCACCTGCTCGTCGACAGTTGAAGCTGGAGGAAGTGAGTTTGGTGGACAAGGGGACCTGATGGGAACAAACCAATAGCAAAGGATAGATCGGCTGGGGAGGGATGGCAGAGTGATGGTTATGCTTCCGCAATTACAAGCTCCTTTGGCTACCATGGTTTTTCTAGCTCTCCAAATTGAGTTCTTTAACGCAAAAGGAGGATGATTGTTCTTAGTGTAAAGAGGAGGGATGTTTACAAGATAGCTTTAACGGCAAAGATAGTGTTCGACGCGGAGAAACGCTACATGAAATGTATTGGCTTTTAACTACATAGGATTCGGTAAAAGCAACACAGCAAATACTAAAAAGACCTGAAAAGCGATTCAACTGCCGAACTCAGAGAAGATGTCGAGCTTGTGATTAATTAACGTGAAACTCCGACACTCCTTTGCAGGGCTTTTTATCTCCGGTTATCCTTCTAGGCATTCTGTCCCCACGAAATAAACGTCAGCCTTTACGTCACTGCATATCAGCAGCAGTCGGGAATGGCGGATTGTAGTCCAGCCCCCGCGAAATAAACGTTAGCAATTGCATCATTGCGCAACAGTAATGGTCAGGAATGGTGGATTGGGTCCAGTCTTGCGACATTCTCTGCAAATATAAGCGAATTCTTACAGTCCTGGAGGCATTCGGATCTCTGGCAACCAAAAGCACGAATGAGGATTGCATTCTTAAATTTGTGATGAGGAGGGCGCTGGATTAGGGTGGTTGTCACCTCATCCGGGTTAGCGCGCCAAGCCTGAGGGGTTGCTTACACATTTGCGTCGAGCTTCCCCACCAAAACAACAGTAGCATAATTCTTCCAAGGCTGCAGACCCGAAGAGTAGCAAGAGACACCACCCTGACGGGGCTACCACGGCGACCAACTCCTCGAAGCCGCAGCAAAACCTTCCTGATCTCCCCAGCCTCCCTCGAAATATCCCCCAAAAACCAGGCCACGCGGTCTTTCCGGGATACCTAAACCACTCACCACCTACCAAAAAACGCCCCACAATGTCCCGCGACTCCTCCTTTACGCACCTCCACCTCCACCATCCGCACCATGCCGACCTCCTCGAATCCTTCACCCACCCACACTCCTCCCAACTCTCCCCCGAAGAAATCTACATCCCGCCTCATCTACAACCTCTAAACCCGGAAGACGAAGACGACGTCGTGCCCGACCAACACGCCGCTTTCGGCATCCAACGAGCAATCCAGAAGAATAAGGAGGTTGCGTGGAGGGATTTGGGATTGGAGGAACTAGCGAGACGGGGTCCTGGTGGCGGGGAGGGAGCAGGGTCGGGTGGAAGAGGGGGAGCGGGGACGGGAGTGGGGACGGGAGCGGATGGTGCGGGAGGATTGAGGAGGGAAGAGCCAGTTAGGCTAGCTTTGAGGAGGAGGCCAGGGGCTGGGAGTGCAACGATGGGGATGGGAAATGCAATACCAGAGTCTGGAGGTGGTGGCGGGGGTGCGGGGAATGGCCTGCCAAGATGAAAAGACACGAGAATCCTTCTTCTGTAGCGCCCTAATGATGTACAACTAGCAGCTCGGCAGGCTGCCACTGCTCCACGTTGACAGACACATACGACGGATCATTCCATGCCCGACTTAGAGTAGGAGGTCATACTCCTAACTCTCCTGTATTCTCACAAGAGAACGGAAAGATCAAAACTACCCTGTCAAAGTTCTACAGTAACTCTAAATATACTGTAGTACGAGAAAGCTAGCAGAAGTTACCTTTGTGAGAGATTCTCTTGCAAATACCCTCCTAGACATTGTACATACAACAAGGACATGTTAGCGTCTTACTAATAGCAGAACTTGCAGCTTCCTACTTCCTTTCAATTTCTCGGTGAGCGGATTTTTTAAAAAAAAAGCTCATGTTGAGATTCTTAAGTACTTCTATTGCCCAATGAACATTATTCTCTTGCTTAGTCCTTGCCCGTTCAGGTCGGAGAGCTTGGACAGAGCCATATTAGTTCGGAAGGTGAAATTTGCGCCTTAGGCTGCTGTTCTCCTAGACTCGCCTAGATATTTTGGTCCGCGTGTAGGCCGCTTGGACAGGCAGAGCTGCCAAAAGCTACGTCTGCTCGCATTATATTTCCAGTATAGCAAATGATATGATATTGACTACTTGTTTTAAATCAGAGACCCCCAATAGACATATATATATATATGAACCATAGACAATGGTTACATCTGGCTGCTCTAGAGCCATTCGAGGAACATGAAGCAGCTATAAAAGCCCTTACTAAGATCTGCCATGGAAATACACCTCCTGCAATCAATGTCCGAAACCGTCCATTCTCATCCACTCCATCCAAGATCCCTTCCTGCCTTCCACATTCGACTCATCTACGCGCTTTTATCCTTCGCTTTCTTGACATCCAAGCCCGTGTCATCGCATGCTTTTCACCCAATTAGTTTCACTATCTAAAACGCAGGAGACAACATATAGAATAAGAGATGCAAGGGTTTCAGGTATTCGTACTCAGCCGATGGACCACAGGTACACTACTGGGCGGCAAGCTCCCATACTCCGTAATCACCATGTTGATATACTCGGCCGGTGTAACGTCGTAAAGCACCTGCAACATTTGCGTATCAGAGCCCGCGATCCATTTGAGCACATCATCGGGACCGGCCTTCGCCTCGTCGCTACCCTCGGGTTTCTTAAGCGATAGGAGGGCTTGCCGTTCGGACTCGGAGAGTAGTTCCTCGGCGGGAGCGACTTCGTTACCGACGATGGAATCGAGAGCGACACGTTCGGTGAACTTTACGGATTCGCAGAGTACGATTACTGGGAGAGAGTGGTCATTTGCGAGCATGGAGACTACGGCAGTGCCGACGCGGGAGTACAGGCGACCGTTAGACATCATAGCATGGGCACCGAGGAAGACTTTGCTGGCATCTCGGACTGCGTGGGAGGCGGCTCTTATGTTTCGGTACCTGACTTGAAGGCCGTGGTTGGCGAGATCGCGAGCGAGGCGTTCGCCCTCGAACAGGGGTCCGGAGTCGACGACCATGACGGAGAACTTTATGCCGGCGTTGTGGGCTCGGAGGAAAGTCTTTTCGACAATCGAGGATGAGGCGTAGGTCAGGATTACATCGCCTTCCTCGATCTTCTTAGCAGCAGTCTCCGAGATGAGTTCGTCGGCAGCCGTAATGCGCTGTAGGATGAAGTTGTCAATTTCGGAAAGAAGGTCGCGCTTAGCCTGTGCCTCCGGGGTTGAGGGGTCGATTTTGATAATCACGTCCTTGAGCCAACGGATAGCGTTCCCCATGCTAATGCTAAGCGGACGACAGCTTCTCAGATAATCTATCTGCGGGCTGAGATGGTGTGAGGTGAGATGGCGTGCTAGACTCGTTCCCACTGGCGTTGAATATGATTCGATGACCTTGGGGTGTTAGCACAATGGGCTCCGCAAAAATGTTCTGTAACCTACAGCCTTGAACGCTAAGAGCATGGACACCATCCGAGCAGTGCTCCCACAGACAACATAGCTACTGTACTGCAGACCGAGAGCCAGGACGGCTGGATGAACGTCCTTGGACGCCCCGACCATGGAATGCTGACGGGGCTGGTTGTACAGATGGCCGAAGAAGAGGCCCTGCTGTTTTGGCTCCTTCCTAATCTCCTTCTTCAATTTTTCCGGTACAGTCACCTCTGACTGAGAGGGCCGCCTCCGGGCCGACATTGGCCTCAACTTGTCGTCTTTCGCCGCTTGCTTTAATTCCTTCACCTGCTTAAATCCATCTTTCGGCGGGGCTCCCTTCTGCTGGCTGGGCGGTCCGCCAGATCCTTTTGTCTGAGCGCGACGCGCCTGTTTCTCTGCTTGCTTCTTTTTTTTCAGCTCTGCGGCAGACAGCTTTAGCACTCCTGCTGCTTCGGCAGGTCTGGTGGTCTTGGCACTGCCTTGAGGCTGGAGGGGTGGATTGCTGGGGATTTCTATTGGTAGGACGGCTGGGGGCGGCTGGGCTGCTCCACTGCCTGGGGTCTCGCTCATTTTGGCCGAGAATTCGAAGTCACTCAATATGGCCGGCAAAGGACAGACAGTCCTAGGATCGAACGTGAAGATTCTGGGATTGTGAAAATTACAATTCTTGCGAATGTGGGTTGGCTGAAAGCATGAAGGGTTAGGTCTAAGTGATGGGATTAACTAGAAAAGAGTTTTGGGATTGGGGTGTCGATGTCAAGAAGACAAACGTGACAATAATTGAAGACGTGAGCTTTCACACATCTAGTTTGAGTCACGTTAAGCGCACGAACCACCATCATAGCCGAAGGCGCTAAGAAAAGCTTAAATTGAGCGGCTGCAGGAGCGACTTCCGACCAGCGCCGCCTGCTTTGTTGCGTCATCAAATAGATGTAACGTTACCACATTTCGACGCTGCAGAGTCCTCATACAAATAATCAATACCTACACCATGACTGAATATATCTCTTCCATCACTGAGCTCCCTCTGGACATCCTTGTTCTTATCGTTCCCTACCTCGACGCCAACAGCTTCCTCGCCTTTTGCAGCACCTGCAAAGCCTTCCAGCAACCTTCTATCCGCCTAGACCCCAGCTATTGGAGCCATGCAACACAGAGTGCTTTCCGCGTCCCCAATCAGCCTGTCATTCAGCATGACGGCTTACGGTGGCAGAAGATGTACCGCCGCATGCTGACCCAGAGCAGAGTGTTTACCTGGGGAGCCAACACGTACAACCGCCTCGGCCACAGCTTCCAGCAAATGCATGTCCCCAGGGGTGCGAGAACCATGCGGCGGATAAGATGGACTCACAGCACTCACTGCTCGTTCCCTGCCGAAATGGAACGAACAAGAGAGCTGGGCATAATTGCTGATATGCAATGTGGTGGCTGGTCCACGACACTCCTCACCTCCAAAGGCTCGCTCCACACAGTTGGCGTGCTCGACGGAATGCAGCTGTTGCATAACCACAGTGCAGACATCGGGCTGCAGTCATTGAGGTTCCCTGCTGGGTATCCTTACTCTACTGCCCTTACCATGTATGAAGAGTCGTGCGTTGCCATTCGCCAATTTTCCTCCGGTCGATCACACATACTAGGTGTTTCTGATAGCGGGAGGATATGGTCGTGGTATGCGGTGCACAGGCCTGCACTTCATGTCAAGTTCCTCAATATAGATGTCAAGGAGGTATCGTCCAGTGAGCGGGTGCCTCGTGGATCCCTCTACGGCCGCGTCAAAAAGGTCGTTGCGGGATGGAGCACCAGTTCTGGATACATTTATGGCACGGGCATTGTCCTTTGGGAACCCGTCAAGCGAGCCCAAGGCGAGGACGAGGCAGACACCATGCTCGTAATGGACACGGTCGAAGTACCTAAGACTGGCTATCAACGTGTAAAAGGTGCATCCCGTGAATCCGACCAAGACAAGGCTCTGGGACAAGAAGTTGGCATGGTTCTAAATTATATTATTCTCGAACAATACGTTGTCTTTGTCACCGATATTGGCAGGGTCTTCTGTGGGCGGCTCGGCGAGAATAATAAGGTTGATGAAGTAATGGAAGTGCGTGCCCTGCGGAACGATTCAGGCACTCCATTGGACGTTCAGGGCTCGTTCCGGTCCTTCGCCATCTTCAAGAACGGCGAAGTCCTCACCTCCCATCAGAATTATTTAGAGGCTTGCTGGAATGACCGGCACAATAACCCTGAAGGAACTAGTATCGAAGGCTTTAAGAGGATTCCTGCTCTACAGCATAATGGTGTCATTTCCATCGCATTCGGCGACTACCACTTCCTCGCCTTGCACTCCTCTGGTAAGATCACTTCTTATGGCACTGAGCTCCAATCGTGCGGTGCTCTCGGGCTTGGTGGTGATGGTGACCCTGAAGGCCGCACTCGAGGTATACGATACACCGGCTTTGGTCACGACGGGAAACTGCTTCCGCACGCTTACACAAACGGCCGCCAAGTCTGGTTCCAACCGGAGATGAAGAAGTGGATCACCTTTATGACAAGTGGGGGCAAAGACCCCGACGAAGCTAAGGAGCGAATGCGGATGTTCGTGACAGATGCAAACGTGCAAGGCGAAGTCAGCGAATGGTTCGAGCAGGAGGGGCGAGATTGGGATAAAGACCCAGCTCTCCAGGATGTCGACGATGATGGGCTTGGCGCGTACTTTGCTCTCAGCGTCAGCGCAGCTGGATGGCATTCAGGCGCCCTGGTTCTCGTCAACGAAAAGCTTGCCGATCGCGTCCGCGAAAAATGCATCATCAAGGACCCGGACGTAGAGCCCGATCCTGAGCCTGAGCTAAGCACCAACATAACGGAAGGGCTAGAAAATGACGATGATAGCCCAATCGATGTAGTCAGTGCAGACGAAGGTTCGTCGGGCCTCGTTGCATCAACATTCTCTTGGCTTTATAACACAGGTCGCTCTTTCCTAGGCTTACCACCAACAGATCAGCAACCACCACAGCCACCGCCTCACCTCCACGACCCACACGCCAATTTCCTGGATCCCATTTCACATGGCGCCAGCCCTAAGAAGGGGTATAAGTATACCTGGGCGGAGAAGCCGTTTCCGAGGCTGATACTGAGTGATGGGACGGAGATGCCTGGGGTGGTGAAGTTTGATGAGTGGAGGTATGGGAGACCGGAGTGGCAGCTTGATGTTGATGTTTGAAGTACTGGGTAACACAACATGGTTCCTGGAGCTAGAAGGTGGTGGAAATCGTCCCCGAGATGGAATTTCGGATATCTTTGAGACACATACCTAAGCAATAGCATCACTCCTGTTGTCGAGGTTCTGAACAACACCATGCTCTTCTTAAGGTCGTGAATCCTTCTTCGCATTCTATATTCTACAACTCTAATTCCGGACCTTGAAAACTTCTCGGCAGCCCAGTAAATCGATCAAAAGCCTCCCTTCCGCAGATCCACACTCTTCATGAACCTCTCAATCGAAGATCCGCCAACTCTACTAATGATAATCCTTCGTACCCGGATAAGAGCGCGGCGTAGATAGGCTCTGTGTGTTGCGAGACTGGTATGACGAGTTCGCGACCTGCTGTCGTGCTCATTTCGGTATCGTAGAGTTCGGCTACAGCTGGTTAGTGGGGCGGTGAGAGGGTTCAGATATTGAGGGAATAAGGGTGAGAATGGAGGATGAGGAAAGAACTCACTCGGAACAGGCGACAGAGAGATATTCGTAACCTTGACATTCGTATCTTTCAACGGCTCTTTTATATGCAAGATAAACACATCCAGCGCAGCCCGGGAAGATGATTATGCAGCTATGGTAAATGCTGGTGCGATGAAAAATCGGCCAACGGAAACCCACTCGGAAGGAATGGAAAACAGTTGATTAACTTTAAAGTTCCTGAGCTTGTTTTGTTGATACTAAGAAACCCTTCTCAGGTGGGTAGCTTTGCTGGACTCGACTTAGTGCCTATTGAAATATTCCAGTGGTTGGAGGGAGGGAGGAGAATGCCACTAGAATATCGCCTGATGGCGACTGGCCCGAATCCTATTATTGCAAGGTGTTGTCTTGAAAGTTGTATAGCTGTCTCTAGGGCGGGGGTGTTATGGCGGTGAAGGATACGACCAGGTTTTTGCCGACTGATTTCTTGTTCTGGCTTACGGGTTGAAGTGAGATAGGCCGAATCTCAAGGATTCTATGTAGATCAAATGCGACGTAATGGCTGGAAATCTCCCTTCTAGAAATAGCCGCACTATTAAGATTGCGTTGAGTTTATGAACATACCCTGGTAAGTAACCATCTAATAGTACGCTAGAAGAAGTTTAAATTAGGAGTAAGATTGTGGCTTAAAAGAAGGTTGGACTTGGGATTTTCTCTGGAGATACTATTGATATCAGATTTCTGCTCTTCGGTGTACGAAGTGCTTACCCTAACATGCCTAGCGCGGCACTAGCATGGATCTTCTATCAACGTCTTGCCTTTCTCAATACTCATATATACACATTCTAACCTAGAGATAGCAAGCCTTTCCACAACAAAAATACCAGAGGCACATACCTAGTCTATTCAGGCCATATAAGCGAGAACTAAGCTTCTCACAATGGTATTTCGCGGCAAACCATCAAAAGCCTGCCAACGCTGCCGTGACCGGAAGCTCCGCGTACGCGCCCTTCACATAATATACATAAAAGATATGCACTAACAGGCAGTAGTGCGATCTCCGAAGATCAGGCTGTAGCCCATGTCTGCGAGTAGGCGCTCAATGCGCCGGATACCGCGACACCTCGACTCTCCGAATAACCGACCAAACTCAGACAGTACAAGCAAAAGCGCTCTCAAAAGCGGCCAACCCAAAACATTCGCATTTGCCGCCATCTACGCCAAGATCATATGCTCTATCCCTTGAAGTCCAAGCCCGGAACTTATTCTTCGCATACTACATCGCCGACTTTAGTAGAACCTGGGATTTCTTATATCCCTTCTTTTCCTCAGCCTCCACGCCCGAACACCTGAGTCTCAGCATCGACGCAGTCAGCCTAGCATTTCTCTCACACCAGGTATACTCGTCATCCGCACTCGCCCTTTCAAGACAAAAGTACGTCTCCGCGCTACGGAAAACAAACACCGCGCTTCAATGTCCGAACACCGCTCGCAAAGCCACCACACTTGATGCATCCCTGCTCCTCGATTTGTTTGAAAACATGACGAATTCTGGGATAGGATTCCATGATACGAATCGTGCGCATGTGAACGGCGCGCTGGCACTGGTGAAGTTAAGAGGTTTGGGAGATTTTACGGATACGGCGGATGTCAGGGCGTTGATTCGGTTAATTTTGAATCATATCATTAGTTGTGTGAGTAAATCTGATCCGGTTCCGAAGGAAATTCCAAAGATTTTGGAGTATGCGGCGCGGTTGATGGACCCGATGGGTCCGAAATGGAGGCTGAGTGGGTTGATGATTGAGTATACGAATTTAGTGTCAGAGATGAATAAAGAGGGGCTAGGTGATGCGGAATCTGTGGAGAGGTGTGTAAATTTGGATGCGAGGTACGAGGAGTTGGCCAGGAATATGCCACCGAATTGGATGTTTGAGAAGATGAAGGCGGAGCCGAAGAGTGAACGATATTTTGGGGAGTGGTGGAATCGGTATCCGAATCGGACATTGACGCAGACGTGGAATGTCCTGAGACTAGCGAGGATTTTGCTTTGCGAGGAGATCGTGGAAAGACTTGGGGGAGAAAGCGACGATGCGTCTGTCCTCGAGACTCAGCGGGCGAAGACGGTTATCGAAACCATGACTAACGAGATTTGTGCCTCCGTTCCGCAAATGACGGATTGCAACTTCGCAGCCAAGCACAAACTTCCTCCACCAGGATATCCCCCCTCCGAAAGCACTATCGCTTCCACCCAGCACTTACATACTCCATCCCACTACTTGGATGCCTACATTATGATATACGCCTTGTATGTCGCGGCATGGTCTCGCCATTGCCCTCCAATTACTCGAATCTGGATCGTTAGAGAACTCGACCACATCGCCTCACACTTCAGAATCAAAGAAGCAGCTCTTGTTCGGGATATCCTGGTAGAGGAGAAGGAGGCAAGGGTCGGTCCTTGGGAGGTGTATCGTTTATTGGGTAGTTATGCGTTTGCCGCTTGATTAGGGCGCTCTCGAGCTCGAGCCGTAAATCATCCTAAGTTACAGTCTTGAGATGAAGAGGGAAGCTCTGTCCTTAATTGCCTAAGCTACTAACGCGCTTTTCCTAATAGGGTATATTAACAAAAGTCGACCGAGATCAAGATCTACAGTCTTGTGGCAGTCGCTCACCTCAAATCTGTTAGGTGCCCTCAAATCAGAAACTCAAGTGGGTTCCAGAGTTCTAAACGGCTAGCACTAATGTGGGATACATGATCTGATTGTTAATACTGGAAAATAGACCCGAAGGTAACCACAATCTGGTATGCGAAGAGAGTGGAAGCCAGAACTGGCAAAGTAGAGAACAAGCCGGGTTTCGGCACCTTACCAGGCAGTCTTAGATACCGTACATTGATCTAAAGGAGTGTTGTCATTGATCGAAAGCGACTAAGACAAAACTACGGCTTCGCCACACCCAGGAGAGACGTGTGTTCATTAGTGAGTTTGTGGCATGGGGTACTTCGATAGAGAAACTGGATGGGAGGATCAGCCAGCTTATATTTCACTATCAGAAGAAGTAGAGGTGAAGTAAAGGTAAATAAAATATTAATAATCCCGTTACTGATTTCTAGTTTTCTCTTGTGCGAGGAAATGAAAGCGTGAGATTAGCTAAACTAAGTTGACTGGTTACGTGGGTTTGTTTGGGTGAGGGGAACAAAGGCGAGATACGGAAATGATAACAAAGAATAGGAGCTAGAGGACGGTGGTTTAAAGGGAGGGAGTGGGCGGTTGATGTGCATTCTTAAGGAAAGCTGAGGCTGTAGAGAGGGGCCAAAAAAAACAAGAGACAAAATTTTCAGTCTGACTGGCTTTTGAGAGCCTTTAGTCGTTTTATCGAGACTATCGTTGAATGTGATCTAGCCAGTACTTGTTGGAAGATGATTAGTCAGAATAATTGAGTGGAGAGGCAGAAAAATAGGACTCTAGGTAACAATTCAGAATATTCGATCATTTATATACTGAAAGATCTTACCATAGATAACGATCTTTCTATGCATGTACAGTAGGCATGATGGAGTCGAATAATGGATACGTACTGAACTCACGTCACAGGCCCATTTCGATGACAAGGTGTGAAAGGAGGACTTCATAGTGTTGGCATAATTTAAGCCCGTCGTTGCTCGTAGAGATGTTGCTTGTGATCCACTGATTAGATGTGGGAACCTAGTCTTCGTTCTGCAAGATCTGTAGAACCTAGAGACAGGAGCACAACTTCCATTCAAATCACTTGTTGTCGTGAGCTCAGTTGATTTCCACCACTGGTGCAAAAGGTGTGGTAGACTTTCATTGAAATGAGTCGATGCAGCATGAGACTAGAAATCCTCGACCTTTAAATGTTTTTTGTTGTAGACTAGACATACGGTATACGTAGTGATTGGGTTGTAGCCCGCATTCTGGATCTCCTCTTGGGTTTCTCTGCGTTCTATTGTCATATGGGCCTAGAGATGCCATTGCAACTTCACGAACTGAACTGACTTCTTACATTTCTTAACAGTGCGGCGATGCTCGTGCTAAGGAAATCTCGTGATCGATTGAGTGCTGTGGTTTCGGACATGAACTTTCATGAGACATCAAGGCATAGAACTGGCATCGCAGGGTTTTATTGAACAAGAAGTATTCCTTATCGGTATGGACTATTCTGATATGGTGTCCAGCCGTGTCCTCTCTATAAAATGGTCCATCACAGCTGTGAATAGGATGTGGGTATTTCCCCTTGTTAGGTGTGCAATTTCATATGCCTCCGAACTTCCGCGCTCCGTTTGAAGCTGCGTCGATACTTGCATCCAGGATGGCTGCACTTCTGCTACACAAAATTACGAAGAATCTGCAATGGGTCGAGTAGATTAGGGTGATGGACTGGTACTGATGGTGTAACCTTGCAGGGGGCATGGGTTATGAGAGAAGTGATATCTTGTGGACTGAAGGTCTGGTATTGCTCTAATTGTAATTGTAAGCCCGAAAGCTCTACGATGGGCTGCCCAATCAACCATGGGGTTGGCGTCCTAACATATTCAATAAACCACACAGCTTCTCGGCGTAATACATGACTTTTCTAATATCTCATGCGCCCCTACAAGGCTACAGCGAAAATCTTGGACAGTGCAGGGAAATTCGGAGACTTCTAGAGGTTCTCTCTTGAATTTCGAGAAATGTAGGGGATAATAAGTGAAGGAAGAAGGATTGTACTCATATCTACTTTCTACCCAATCAGTCGCCTTCCAAGTCTTCCTCTAACTCCGTCCAAGCGTCCCGAAAGTCGGCGCAATGCTGGTGTACGTGCGAAGAAAGAGAGTATTTATCGTCTTTGCTGGGGTGGCTGCTTCCTAGCCCTCTCAGAGTTGAGAGTCTCGAATATGTAGCAGGATGCATCCAGTGTACATATTACTCGTCGTCGTCGAACCCGTTTTCGACGGCTGCCCACCCACACATCCACCTGCGACCTTCACCCTCACCGCTCAACCGCAACGCGCGGGCCTCGCCTCCCTCTCTCCAGCACCGAACACTAAAATCGTCTGCGACACTGACCAGTGCCCCGTCCTTTGTCCACGTAACAGATGTTACTTCCGCATCGTGTCCACGAATGAGTGGAGTGCCCTGCTCGTAGATCGGGATCGTATCTGTCAAGAGACTTGAGAATCCGCTCCTACTCGATTTGCGAGATAGCGAACGCTGACTGGCGAGGAACGGAGACTTCAAAGGCCTTGCTTCAGGCAGGTCATCTGCTTCATCGTCGCCTCGACGTTTCTCGCGCTTGAGAAGATTCTCATCAGTGGGAAACAGCACTGGACAGCCATCTGTGCTTCCGACAGCTAGAAGCTCAGGCCGATCCCCAGAGGCTTTGCGCAAGGATGTTTTGACGTAGAAAGAGCCGGCGTGGAAATTACGATGTCGGAAGCCGTAGATGGGGCCGACTCCTTCCTTTCCATTCGCAACATGTTTTGCTCGAGATGAGTCTGTGACAGCGAGCTCTGGGGCGTGGCCAAGCACTAGGTGGCTTGCTGCATAAGCGTAGATAGTGTTATCTTTGCTGAGAGCGTATAGGCGGGACCCATCACCACTCAGAGTCAGAGAGTTGATGGCAAAGTGCCTATGTCGGTTATGAGACTCTGGTTGTCTCGTTGTGGAAATCGGTAGTGCAGGGCCTCTGCGGGAATAGCGACCGCGGATATCCCACAGCTTGACGCATGTCGATGCATCCGACGCTGTTAGTAGTAGATGTTCTCGTCCGGGTGGAAGGAATGAGAGTGCAGTAACTGATATGTCCCCCCGACGGCTGAACGCCTCGCTCTTCCCCATTGGTTCCCTATGCTTGTTAGAATGGCGCGAGTGCCGGTGAGCTATTCGATGACTTACTTCACGCTCTTAGAGGCCATTATGGAGGGCCCATTGCTCCCAATGAAAGCACTATCCGCGTGAGCAGCGGCCAGAGTACGGATAGTGCTTGCATAAGGTGCATTCTCGCCCCACACTGAATGAACAGGGTGGGCTCCACTACTACATCGCAAGTCCCAGATTTGAACTGTTCCGTCCCGGCTTGAAGTTGCAACAATCTTGTCGTCACCGGGCTGGAAACGTACTTGTTTCACTGAGGATGCATGCCTGGCGAGGACATGGACGCACTGTTGTGTGCGGGCATCGATTATTTGAGCGGTCTGGTCTCCAGATGCTGTTGCGAGGAGCGTGTCATCGGAGGAGAATTGCACATCCATGACTGCATTCTTATGAGCTTGGAAGGAGATGTGAGCTTTCGTAAAGTCCGAAGAAGTACTTTCGTCAGTGTCGAGTAAGTGGACCCATCCATCTTCATCACCTACGGCAACTAGGCCATTTGCTGCAGGTCAAGTCAGCAATGGGTCCCATACCTCACTTCCAATGCATGACTTACTGTTGCAGCTAGCAGTGCAGAAGGGAGGTGCACCTTGAGAAAGCTGATGGAAGTCATCCGAGCCGCTGTAGAAGTCGGCCGTCTGCTCCTGCCAGGATGTGCAATGATCTCGGTGAAAGCCTCGCCCAATCGCCGCAAGCCCTCCAAATGACCGCTGTAAGATGCGGGCGCTACTTCCCAGACTTCTTATGCATTTGATTGGTGCTGGGTGAACGACTGGATCTTCGAGGATATTGATTGGTGGAGGTGCGGCCAGTCGTGAACGTTTGGATGGAGACGGCAATGCTGGAGAGCTATCAGGAGAAAGATATGGCGTTTTGCGCTTCCTGCTGTTGACTTTGGGCGTCTCCGGCTGCGGATTTGGCATGATATCGGCGAAGTTCACCGTCTTGGGAGGGGTCTTGCGGAAGGCATTCGGGCGACGGTTGATGGCTGCTTGGGTGATATCCTGCAGCTGGCGGCCAGATCTTCGAAGGGAATTGGGGTGCGATGAACCGTGCACGGATGACCGCGGAGTAAAAAAGCGCGTGAATCGCTTCGGAGTGATGGGAGGAGGTTTCTTCGGCTTTCGAGTCCCCAGGGTCGAGCTAGGATGCGGCGGTGAAGAGGACAGCATACTTGATAGTGGCTGCTGGAACTCGATTTGAGAGAGAGGCTGTGGCGAGGAGTATATGTGATGCTCCATATATATCGGTACAAAAAATTGGGACTCGAGAACAGAGGAGAGGGTACGGGATGGAAGAGCCCTGGACGAGCCCGAGAGGTGAGATGGAGAGGTTGGAGTAGTGCACAGACACCAATCGCGAAACGCGATGCGCGGGTCTACGAGTCCCAACGCGTAAAGTGATCTTGGCAGAGCTCGGCCATCGGCGAAAGGAAAAACTCGAAATGCCGACCCCGCCATATTTTTTCTGAAGATCGCTGGAGCTCGAAAATTGCACCACGTCCAAACACACTTCAATCGCCCCGCAATGGCACCCTTCAAACGGAAAGCAGACCACGAGATTGCGTCTGTGAAGAAAGAGAAAGCTCCCTCCAGCGACCGATCTGCAAAACGCCAACGGAAATCCATTCCCTCGGTGGAGGAAGCTAAGCAGGCCGCCAAATCCTCAATTGCGCCCACTCAGAATCATGCGCAGGCTTCCGTATTGAAGAACGAGGAGAGGTCTTTTCCTAGAGGAGGGGCTAGTGTTCTGACACCCCTCGAACACAAGCAAATTCAGATCAAAGCTAACCAAGATGTTTTGTTTGAGCAGTCTGGACTCAAGAGAGGCGGGGCCGACGGACTTAGCGACGAAGGCTCAGAAGCTGGAGTGGAGGAGTCCCCGCCTGCTAGTAAAAAGAGGCGATCGAAGAAAAGCAAGAAGTCACACCTTGTGGAACCGGAAGAACAGAAGGTCAGGGTCGAAAGCTTGAGTTACAAGGCGAGTTTGCTTCTATAGATCGCCGATTCATCTCTAACTATGGGCAGAGGATCGTACGCGGAACCATGGTTCTAGGTCAAGTATCCGAAATCACATCTCGCGACATTGTTCTTTCCCTCCCGAATAATCTGAGCGGATTCGTCTCTCTCACTGCCATCTCCAACAAGCTCACAGCGAGAATTGAAAAACTAGTTCAAGAAGAGGAATCAAGTAGTGCAGAATTCAACGGCTCGGAAGATTTTGAGGATATCAATCTGAAAGACATGTTTTACGTGGGACAATACTTGAGAGCATGCGTAACCTCCACGGAAGATGCGCCAACAAGTGGGGCAGCGAAAGGGAAGAAGAGGATTGAACTATCCATTGACCCGAAAATGGTTAACTCAGGTATCACCAAATCAAACATCGCTGTCCATGGCATGGTCCAAGCTTCAGTGGTCAGCAACGAGGATCACGGGTTAGTGATGGATATGGGTCTAGAGGGGTCCGAACTGAAAGGATTCCTGCCGAAAAGCGAACTTGGAAAGAGAATAAAGCATTCCAATGTACAAGAAGGCGCCGTTTTCTTGTGCTTAGTCTCTGGGCTGAACTCCGACAGGAGAATTGTGAAGCTGTCGGCGGATCAAGAGAAGGCCGGGAATCTCAAAAAGTCTAAGTATGTAACTGAAGCCTCGACGATAGATGTATTCCTTCCTGGGACTGCTGTGGACATGCTAGTCGCCGACTCGACGTCAACCACCGTTACCGGCAAGATTATAGGCTTATTGGATGCTACAGCCGACATCATCCATACGGGCGCCGCGGAAAAGGGGGAGAGCTTGAGCGATAAATACGTTCCTGGAGCTAAGGTCAAAGTGCGAGTCATTTATACATTTCCGGACGCCGACCCTAAGAAAGTTGGGGTCTCGCTATTGGACCATGTGGTATCGCTTTCTTCGCGCACGTCTGGGAAGGCAAAAGATAAGGGGAACCCTTTGGATATAGTCCCGCTATCTTCAACTGCCGAAGAAGCAAAAGTCATCCGAGTAGAGCCCCTGGGAGGGCTGTATCTCGACCTTGGGTTTAAGGGTGTGATTGGATTTGCGCACATTTCTAGGCTTACGGATGGAAGAATCGAGCGTCTCTCAGAAGCCTCTGGCCCATATAAGCTTGGATCTACGCACCGGGCTCGTGTTCTCAGCTACAATCCTATCGATGGCTTATTCCAAGTCTCCTTAGAGCAACGTGTGCTAGAGCAACCATTTCTCCGCATCGAAGACGTACCGGTTGGACGAATTGTCAAGGGCAAAGTCCAGAAGCTCCTCGCCGATAGGAATGGATCAACAGCGGCCCTCGTGGATCTTGCTGAAGGCATAACGGGTTTAGTCACGGAAATGCATCTCGCAGACGTCCACCTACAGCACCCGGAAAGGAAGTTCAGAGAAGGAGCCTCAGTCACCGCGAGAGTGCTCTCCACAGATGTGGAAAAGCGGCATATCCGATTAACTCTGAAAAAATCACTCATCAACACTGAAGCGGAGCCGTGGACCGACTATTCGAGCGTCACTGAAGGTGATATGAGGCCGGGAACTATCGTTGATATAAAACCCTCAGGAGCTTTGGTGCGGTTCTTCGGAAATGTATGCGCCTGGCTTCCGGTGGCCGAAATGAGTGAGGCATTTATTGAGGACGCTACACGACATTTTCAGAGAGGCCAGGTTGTCAACGTACGTGTCATATCTCTTGACCGCGAAGAGGGCAGGATGCTGGTCTCTTGCAAAGATCCAGAATCAGTCGGGGCGGAAAGAGAATGTGCTTTCAAGTCTCTGAATCCTGGAGATATTGTCCAAGGGACCATAATTGAGAAGTCTACAGAATCCGTGATTGTTGACCTCGGCCATGGAGTCAAGGGCATTCTGAGGCTTGGTCATCTCACAGACGGCTCGGAGAAGAAAGATAAGCATACAATGGCACGTATCCGCGTTGGTGGTCCACTTGAGGATGTGGTGGTTATCGAAAAGCATTTCAAGTCTCGCACAGTTACACTCTCCAACAAACCGAGTCTTCGAAAGGACGCGCAAGCAGGTAAACTTGTGACACGGTTTGAAGACATCAGGGAAGGCGAGACCATACATGGCTTCGTTCGAGGAATCACACCAGACAAAGTGTTCATTGAATTTGGGGCTAGGGTCGTTGGTTTGCTCTACAAATCGCAACTGTCGAACGACATGGTTGAGTCACCTAACTTTGGACTCCGAAAAGACCAGTCAGTTGTGGCCCGAGTGACACATATCGATCCGAGTCAAAACCGCTTCTGGTTATCCATGAAATCGGAGGCAGATGCGTTAGGAAATACAGGAGGCAAATCGAAAATCATGGGCGGTCCTGGAGAAGCTACTGTGAATGCAATTGACAAGGACCTCAAGTCAACTGCGGACCTTTCTTTTGGAGTCTTGACCACTGCCCGCATCCGTTCAATCAAGAGCACCCAACTAAATGTTCAACTCGCTGAAAATGTTCTGGGAAGAATATCTGCGTCCGAAATATTCGACAAATGGGCCGATATCAAAGACAAAAAGCATCCTCTACAGCAATTCAAGATGAACGACATCGTTTCAGTCAAGGTACTTGGCATGCACGATGCGAGAAATCATCGCTTCCTTCCTATCAGTCACCGACAGGGAAGGGTCCCTACTTTTGAGCTTACGGCAAAGACCAAAGAAGACCTGACAAGCGAGGCTGATGTTCTAACCCTGGACAAGATCATACCTGGATCTTCCTTTATCGCATTCATCAACAATATTGATAAGCACTGCGTTTGGGTAAACATCTCGGCGAATGTCCGTGGGCGCATTGAGCTCTTGGATCTCTCCGACGATTTGTCTTTGCTGTCTGATGTAGAAGAGAATTTTCCAGTTGGATCTGCCCTTAAGGTCCGTGTGAAAGCAGTTGACATAGCCGCTGGCCGATTGGACTTGACTGCAGCAACTAACCCTTCCGCAAAATCTTTGACTCTGGAGAATCTGAAGGAGGGGATAGTGTTACCTGCTCGCGTCACGAAAGTGAATGATTCCTCGATCGTCGTCCATATCAACGAAAATATCGCAGGACCTGTGTATCTTCCACAACTAGCCGATAATTACGACAACGCCAACCCTTCTGACTACAAACTTGGCGATCTGGTCCGAGTTTGTGTCATCGAGGTTGATGTTCCCAACAAGAAGGTCGGACTATCAGTTCGACCGTCCAAGGTCCTCAGCTCGTCATTTCCGGTCAAGGACCCTGATTTCACCCATAGGTCACAACTTCACATCAACCAAGTAGTACGAGGGTTCATCAAGCGTGTCGCTGACAATGGCTTGTTCGTTCGCCTTGGCCCACACATTGATGCGTACGTCCGGATCGGTGAACTTTCGGACTCATTCATCAAGGACTGGAAAGCTGGATTCCGGGTCGATCAACTCGTAACCGGGAAAGTCATATCAAACAATCCGAACGCGAAGAGTGTGCAGCTGAGCTTGAAGAAGTCAATCCTTGAGAAGGACTACGTACCTCCTCTCACCTTTGAGGACATGAAGGTTGGTCAGATTGTTACTGGTAAAGTGCGCAAGGTTGAAGACTTTGGTGTTTTCATTGTGGTGGACAATTCGAACAATGTTAGTGGACTGTGTCACGCTTCTGAGATGGCGAATGGAAGGGTCGACAATGTGAAGGAGCTGTACAAAGAAGGAGATGCTGTCAAAGCTCGAGTTTTGTCAGTTAGCCTGGAGAAGAGGAGGGTTAACTTTGGATTGAAGTACTCTTATGTCGAGGATAAGGAGGAAGATGACGCAAAGTTGGACGATGCGCCAAGCGTAGCCAATAAAGGCGACAACGATGAGGATGTCGATACCAGAAGTATCCAAAGTGCCGAAAGCGACGGGGATTTTGAAATACAGGACAACATTGACATCGATGAAGCTGTCCTTCCTTCTGAAAGCTCTCTTAGCCTTGGTCTGAAAACCTCCGGATTCGACTGGACTGGTGCAATTCTCGACTTCGATGATCAAAAGCGAGCACCCGATTCTTCAGACGAAGAACCCACCAAGAAAAAGAAGAGGCACAAGAAAGCGACCGTTAAAGAGGATCTTACCGGCGATCTCGACGCCCGAGGGCCCCAATCCGTCGCAGACTACGAACGACTTCTCCTCGGTCAACCCAATAGCGCTGAGCTATGGGTCCGCTACATGGTTTTCCAGCGTGAATTGAACGAGATTGAGAAGGCGCGGCAAATTGCTCGTCGAGCTCTCGCAACTATGAATCCGAGAGAAGAAAAAGAGAGATGCGACGTCTGGACCGCGCTGCTGCATCTAGAGAACGATTTCAGCAATGATGATGTCGTAGGGGAGGTTTTCAATGAGGCGCGTCAGTTCAATGATGCAAGAGAGATTCATGAGAGGATGATTAAAATTTATATCTCATCAGGCAAGCTAGATGTAAGCCCCCCCCTCGGCCCCTATTCCTGACATTTGAGCCTAACTATTGGAACAGAAAGCAGACTCCATATACCAAACCATGATGAAAAACAAATCCCTCACCCAGAATCCACAGCTCTGGCTCTCCTACGCCGCCTTCCTGATGTCCACCCTCCAACCCTCCTCTCCAGCACGTGCCCGTGCCCTTCTTCCTCGAGCTACACAGTCCGTTCCAGAACACCAGCACCGCTATCTCACCTCCAAATTCGCAGCTCTCGAATTCAAGTCTCCGAATGGTGATCCTGAGCGTGGCCGAACGATATTTGAGGGCTTGGTTAGCGCTTGGCCCAAGAAGGGTGATATTTGGGATATGTATCTGTCTTTGGAGATTGCGCATGGTGGCCAGGAGAATGTGAGGGGTTTGTTTGAGAGGATGACCAAAAGCAAGCTTAAGAAGAGAAGGGGTGAGGGATTGTTTAGGAAATGGAGGGATTGGGAGGTGAGTGTAGGGAACATGAAGGGTGTGGAAAAGGTGGCGGTGCTTGAGAGAACATGGGTTGAGGGGAGAGAGGGAGAGGGAGAGGAGTAAGTTGAGCGCGTGCAAAAGATACTTGGAAATGAGCTCTAGTTTACGTTCTGCGAATAAAATTAAACTGCCAATTGCTTATTCTCATATCCTGATGAATCAACCACTTGTTTAACCTAGCATATGAACGTGGCGTTGGAGGCGTCTCTAATTCTACGACACCTCTTCAACTCTTTTCAAAATGCATAGAAGCGCTCATGAAAGAACCAATCTAGATATAGGATCATGCGAAGCCATATTCCAGACGATCTTCGGACTAATCTTCTGTGTCTTCCTTGCACTTTGCTTCGGGTGTCGCTAGAATTTAGAGTGGGGGATTCGCCCCTTCTCCATCTAGCTGAAAAATCATTAGAAAGACCTAAAGCGCAAGAGGGCAAAAAAGAAGAGAAATAGGGCCAGCAATCCTACATACCTGGTATTCCATCGTTCTATCCTTAACTCCTTACAGAGGAATCGTTCTCGTGCTCTTTGCATAACATGGGAAAGTCCAACCTACCCGCAATGCAAACTTCCTAACCTGCTTCCTGAACTTCGCTTACACATATTGGAGTGCACTCTTAGCGGACAGGATATTACGCTTTCTCGCGATAAAGGCCAACTTACCTATGGACCTCTGGATCATACAAATACTAGAATACCTGAGGAGATGATCCCGTCCACCTGTATTTCCAATTCCGGGAGCGAAATCAATGTGCGCGGCAAAGACAAAACTTGTCCCGCCCGTTACACACTCCACAACAACATGCCTCAGCTTGATCGTCTGTCAGTGTTCATCGAAGGGCCTCTCATGAAGTCGCCCACCTATCCAAAAGTCCTTCATAATTTGAACCTGGAGCAGCTCATAAGTTCTGCGTGCTCAAGCATCCAAAAAATGCGGTCTTCAGTACACGGATTAGTCTGGCTGGATTTTGAGCTTGTTTTGCTTAATGACTTTCCAGAATTTTCGCTGTAGAGCTTCTCCGCGGGGATTGGCAATGAATTTTATTTATATCTTTTTGGCATCTGCCGCGTGCAAATACGCTTCAATTTTCTCAACTTTCCAAAGACGTGAACGTCGACTCCAACTTGCCAGAACGGTACTTATTCTAGAATGGGCTCACCTTTTGAGTCTCTTCTATTGTCCTCTTGCTGCCCATCTTTGTTTTTCTGGAGTGGTTTCTTGGTAAGGGCCACATGTCAGTTAATTATAATAATTCGATGCGGATCTGTAAAGAGACAATCCTGCGGTCTACATTATCGGACTGAGGGTAGATACCAAAAGATACCATGAGACTAGAGAAATTGGGCATACAAGACAAAGAAGGGTCAAAGTTTGGAGGCGACTGAAAGAAAGCCGAACTTCCACAAACAAAAGTCTGGTGTTTAATTGAACAAAGTATTACATAATTCTGCGAAATAATGGTCTGGTTGAATGTTTGTCGATTTTATGTAGCGGTATGAAGGAGAGTTTGGAGGCTGCGCTCGATGTTGGAACTGGATGTCGAACTATATATGAAGCGCAGAAGGATGTGACATAATTTGATGTGAATAAAGAGGGTTTGGAAGCCAAAACATAGTGCAAACTCAATGACAAGATCTAACCCCCATTTTAGACATAATTGCAGGCGAGGCTAGGCCGTATGGTGTAGTGATGCGTTTGTAACATTGGTTTGGAATGAAAATTGTATGGAAGGACCGAAAAGGCAGAAAACGGGACATTGCAAGGCTTCATTAAACACTACACTATGTCAAGTGTGGTAATTGCTTGCCTAACAGAACTTGCCCGAGCCAGGTCTGTTTGGGTTGATAAATAATAGGGAAAGGCCGTGGCGTGGTGGATGTTGGAGTTAGGATCTTGATGGGGCTCATCGTGGCACGTGACCTAATCAAGCAATTCTTGCCTATCTTCTAATAATACAGGACGAAATGGCTCAAATGACTGAGCTTCGGAAGTACACTATCTCCCCATTATTGAAACATTGACTAAATATGACGTAGCTTTGGAGCTTTGGGGCTTCTAGTATAGAGGGAGGAGTACCTTTTCGGGGCTGACTGCGGAAATTCTGAGAGCTTTATGGAATAAAAGACGCATCACAAGGCCATCGAAACGCATATTCGCTCTGATAGACCAAATTCCTGCGTAGCGTTTGCTTTTCCTTTCTCCCACGGTCCTAAGAAAAAGCAATTCCGAAGCTCGCCGAAACCTCACAGCCCGAGATCATCAAAGAGCCCCTCCCCCGCCAAACTTTTTGTGGGAGCTCAACAACGCATCGCACCACATCGACTTCCACCTCCTTCAACACCACATCAAATTTCACACTTTTAATCAAACACTACTTTCAATTGACATTAATTGACAATTCTTCAAGATGGGTCGCCAATTCTTCGTCGGAGGAAATTTCAAGATGTATGTGCAGAGTCGAGCTGTGAGTTGCAGGCGTGTGCCACGCTCTTGACTGACATAACTGAAGGAATGGCAATATCAAGACCATTCGCGATATTGTCCACAACATCAACCAAGCCAAGCTTGACCCTAACGTCGGTAAGGCTTCTCAATATTAATACATAATTTTAGGGAGCTGTTGTTCTAATTGTGGGCAACAGAGGTTGTCATCGCCCCACCATCCCTCTACCTCCTCCTTACCCGCGAACACCTCCGCAAAGGCCTTGAGGTCGCTGCCCAGAACGTCTTCGATAAGCCGAATGGCGCTTTCACTGGTGAGATCTCAGTTGATCAGCTGAAGGAGAGTGGAATCACTTGGACGATCTTGGGACATTCGGAGAGGAGAGTCATCCTTCAGGAAGATGATCAGGTGGGTTACACATTTGGACAAAAGTGGACAAAAGCAATTGCTGACAGGATCCCGGGGGTAGTTCGTCGCGAGCAAGACCAAGGCGGCCATCGACGGCGGATTGGGTGTCATTCTGTGCTGTGGTGAGAGCTTGGAGGTAAGAATAGACGCCACATCTGATAGAGTGATTGGGAGCTGACGGTTGTCCAGCAACGCGAGGCTGGCAAGACCATCGAGGTTGTAACTACACAGCTCAAGGCCGTCGCCGAAAAGGTCAAGGACTGGTCCAAGATCGTCGTCGCCTATGAACCCATCTGGTATTCTTCTACGATTCCGTCTCACGCCACCTTTCTAATCTAGCTCCAGGGCCATTGGCACCGGCAAGGTCGCTACCACCGAGCAAGCACAAGAAGTCCACGCTGCCATCCGTGAATGGATGAAGAAAGAAGTCTCTTCCGAGGCGGCCGAGAACACCCGAATCCTATACGGAGGCAGTGTTACCGAGAAGAACTGCGGTGAGCTGGCGAAGCAGGCCGACATCGACGGATTCTTGGTCGGTGGTGCTAGCTTGAAGCCCGCATTCGTCGACATCATCAACGCAAAGTCTGCATGAATCCATGGCAGCGACGCTCGACTCTAAGGGGTTGACATTGGGGAAATGTGGATGAGAAGCTGCAGGGCAAGCGATATCAAGACTAACATTACCTGGCTCAAAAACCCACTTGATAGACGAAAGAAGAAACAAATGAATATCATCCATGTGCTTGGAGAACTGCCACTGAATCATACAATAATTGTACATTTGCTGTACATACCCGTCCCAATGCGCCTTCAATGCCAGTGTAATCCACCAAGCCGTGGCCGAGAGGCCTAACATCGTAGCAGAGCATAGTACTCTCTCTATTCTTTATTTCACACCTCTCATCCTCACCCAATCCATCTTTGTCAATCCCTGCTATATCTGTATCTTCGTTCCGTGGAATGGACTCCAAATGCCTCTCACACTCTCATTCAAACTCATTACTGGCTTATTCAATCGCTGCAGCTTCTCTCCACTCGCATGTCTTAGCAAATCCGCCTTCTGCTTCACCTCATTATTTGTCATATTTCTCACGCAAATGGCCTTCTGGCGACCGTTGATATAGTGGCCTATTATGACGGGGTGCTTATTCGGACGCGGTGAAACGGTAATTTCGATTTGCGGATTGCGTTTAGCGAAGATGGCGAGGTTGGTTTTGATGAATTTCTTCATGCCCCGTGAGGAGCCGGCCCAGTCGCAGTAGTGGAAGTCGAGGCGTTTACATTGCAGAATGAAAGCACCGACGCCGTTCTGGAGGAAGTCAAATCTAGTACAAGGCTAGGAGATCAATTAAGGTTTACCTGGGGCTTTGCCACCGTTCTGATTGCAGACAGAGGCATATTGGCGTCGTTTGCTGTGGAGGAGTACTCAGTGCAGCATGCTCACTCCCGAACTTTTCGCGATTTCACCTACATCACGTGACTTATTCGTGACATAAGCGAACGCAAGGCAAACGCGCCAAGCCTACCCCCAATCCCGACTCCTTCTCATCTTCCCTCGACGTCAATCTCAATACCTTTACTTTCTTCATCACAACTCCCCCATCCATTTCGACAGACATTTTTCTGTCGTCTTCTTCACCCTCCTTTATCCTGGTTTTCATTTCTGCCCCTTAATCTACGATGACGGACAAGCTACCACCAGCGCTCCTTGCGCTCTTCGCGCCGCGCCCACCGCTGCGATGGGTGGCGCCCATGGACCATGCTCCTGCAGATCGACACACGCCTAAGATATCGGGGCTTGGACAGTACATGCAAGCGCTTAAGGAGTACAAAGATCAGGACCATTATATCCCGACGGATAGCTGGCTCCAGATTCGCGATCGCAAGAAGCAAGAGAAGAAGGAGAAGCAGGAGAAACTTGTCACTGAGGCATCTAAGCATTGTATGTGCACACTATAAACCCCCCCACCCCCTGTCTTTATCCGTCTTGTGAAGCTGACTGGTGAGTAGATAATCCGAAGGAAGACCCAAAGGCACAAGGCGATGCGTACAAGACATTGTTCGTCGCGCGATTGGCATATGGCACAACCCAAAACGATCTCGAGAAGGAGTTTGGGCGCTTTGGTCCCATTGAACGGGTACAGAATCACAATCCCTTACGACCAGGATAGAAAAGCTGACAACTTACAGATACGAATTGTTGAAGACGTCACCGCTCCGCAAAGCGCGCCGCCCAAGAAGCGCAAACGTGGATATGCCTTCATCGTTTATGAACGCGACCAAGACATGAAAGGTAACTTCCCCCACCCTCTTCTTTCCTGTATATGAATCTGCAGTGAGACTGACATGAGCGCCTTTCGCTCTAATTGTGTAGCGGCCTACAAAGATACAGATGGTATTAAAATTAGGGATCGACGCCTCGTCGTAGACGTGGAACGCGGTCGCACTGTCTCAGGGTGGCGACCACGTCGCTTTGGCGGTGGACTCGGTGGACGTGGCCTCACAAGGGGTCCGCCAGCCCGTCCCGCCGGTCCTGGAAACTTCGGACCCCCGGCTGGTCCAGGCGGCTTCGGTGGTCGCGGTGGATTCGGGGGCGGCTTCCGAGGTGGCCGTGGTGGTTTTGGAGGAGATCGAGGCTTTGGCGGGGATCGAGGGTTCCGCGGCGGGTACGGCGGCCCTCGAGGTGGAAGTGGGTATGGCGGAGGCAGAAGCGGCATCGGATACCAGTCCAACGGATTCGGTGCACCCGAAGGAGCTCCAGCCGGCCCGCGTGGAGGTCGAGGAGGATTTGGCGGTGGTTTCGGTGAAGGTGGCGGTGGTCGCCGTGGATATGGAGACGACAGACGCGGATACGGCGACCGTGGATCCAGCGGCGCGAACCTGGAGCCACTTGGTAAGGATCGCGGAAGCTACCGAGACCGAGACCGTGAAGGTGGGTATGGCGGACGCGACGACAGCCATGGCTCACGCAAGCGCGGATACGAAGGGGAAGGCTACGACGACTCACGACAACGGCGCAGGCAGTATTGAGCTTCCCCGACTTGCACTCGTACATTCTCGCATTGGTTTGTCAAACGGTACTTCCTTTCTGCCCTCACAGCTCTTTCCCTTTCGTCTACAAGGGTAAGCGGTCGAACGACAACGCTTCATTCTAAAACGACAAAATGTTTCCGGAGGTTTGTTTCCTGTCTCCCATTCGACATGGTAAGCAGGGTAAGCATGCGATTTACGGCTTCACCATGCAGACACAGCTCTTCCAGATCGGCATTTCCCATCTCGATTACTTTGGCTCGACATTCCATGGCTCGGTTTGACTACGCTTTAATCCAGACAAGCCCTCAACACCCTCTCGGACTCTTTACGTGGCAAAAATGGGGGAGAATGGTAACAGAGAGGATGGGTAGGGCAAAGGTGAATTTCTTTGCATGTTTTACTACCTTGGCTTCCTTAATCGGGCTTTTGTTTCGGAACCATTTTTCTCTGGCGGTAGGTATGTAAGTATGGATGCTTGCAATCGTGAGCGCCAGACAATTAAGTGCATCTCTTTTGTACGGTATAGGTAAGATCACAGGTAAGGAGTGTTTGCTTCCCAACTTGGTCTTACCGTGATGCCAATTCGGGATTCTTGGGTTAGACTGCAGGTATTTGATATTTTCTCAAATCTTGGGGTGGGTGCGTAAGCGTGAAATGTGACGCGTTTGGTAAGATGAGAAACGCAGTTACATAGACAGCGTATGTATGTGTATATATGTCGTAGCGCTTACGTAGAGTGACATAGCCATTTAATCTGGTGTAGATAATGTTGAGCTTCTTTCCGCAGCAATGCTGGAGGGATGAAGTTGTCAAACCATCCCGATTTCGTCCTAGCTTCATTTCCCTCACCATCTCTAAACTTCAAAACCACTTCAGCATCGACCTTCCTATCCAAAAAACAATGGCTCCATCTCCATCCCCATTCCCAATCCCAGATAAGACCCTAATATACGGCCACTCCATAACCCCGCTGACGCAATGTAAACACTACAACACTTCCCTCGATATTATCGCCATCAAACACGCCTGCTGCAATAAATTCTACGCGTGCATCTCCTGCCATAACGAATTGGAAAGCCATGATCCTAAAGTTTGGGGTAAGGAGCAAAGAGATGTGAAGGCTGTTCTGTGTGGTGGATGTAGGTATGTAATGGAGGTGGGGGAATATATGGGATGTGGGAGTAGGTGTACTAGGTGTGGGAGGGGATTTAATCCACAGTGTAAGGGGCATTGGGGGGTGTATTTTGAAGTTCTTGATTGAGAGGGGGGACCGTAGGTTTGGGATAGTGTTGGTTGGGAGCACATGGGTTTCCAGATGGGAGATGTCGGATTGTGCATGGATGAGGCTGCAAAGAAGAAGCGGTAGAAGCAAATTACGGTATTGGATCCGGGTTGGGGATACATACGGCCAATCCGAAACCTGCAGCCCAATCTACGGCATGTTAACGGCCACTGTGGGATATTGCTGAGGACGAAGGATTCTCTACATACATTGCTAGATTTGAGGTAATGAAAAGGATGTCTTCTAGTCCTGATTCCCTACCCAGTTGGTTTCTATCATACCCCCAGAATCATTGGGATGAAGCAGTACGGTCTCGGATACCTTTATTAACGGGATCTGAGATGATCTCTGTTCGAGCTATCGGAAGCATTACCTAGAGCACCAATACACCAACTACGCCCCTAAAGACTGGGTTATGATAGGTAAAAGTTGGACACTACCTTGGGTTCAGTACCTGTACGAGAGAGAGCACTTACTTTTTGCTCTAGAATTGATACTAAACGAAAGGAAAAGACACACTGGGGGAAAGCAACGACCCGATCGATAGCCTCCCATTCAAAGGACCTTCTGGGATATGACGGACTTCATGAATCAAAGCAGGTATGTGATACGAAATAGTAAGTCAAGTAAGCTTCGGGTTTTAGTGAATTGGTATAGGAATACTGTCGGGAAAAAAAGACCGCCGTCGAAGGACTAAGAGGGTGTTTTCTTTGACGACTCTCATTCAGTGGTGTTGTTGAGCCTAGATACTCCTATTATCATTATTCTTCTCCTCTTTTCCGTGTCGATCTATCTCAGCACCTTCGGTATACTTCGCTGCGCTACGGTTGAGTGATGTCTACTATCGCTTCTTTCCTGACTTGGCTACTCGGATGATGCAGATATTCCAACACACCCCCCGGATATTAGGCCTCATTAGAGACTACCAAGGTATGGTTCTCAGATGGCCGCTATTGGAAGGGGTATGGTGGGTATTATGCCCCGCCCGGCCCGAATGTGAAGGGGAATATCTGGTGAATGATGAAGTGTTGGCTATGGCATATTTTTGCTACGGTGACGTTGCGCAGGGAGAGGTTGGGATGACGATAACGTAGAAAGAAAGGAACAGTCCGAAATGTGTATAGAGAAGAGCAGGCGTACTCCATGATTTTGTAATGGTCTTGGAGCCTACTGAATAGTACTGAATCCCACTCAACGGATCGGATTGTGCGATCTTAGAGGCCTAGGGAGACGAGATGATATAATCAGTCCCTTTTCTCATATCAAGTTAACCAACCCAAACTTGGTCTGTTACTGCGCACTAATTCTCACGCATTCCCTTCCTCACTTCTCCCCTCCTTCGTCTCCTTCTCGTTAACCGTATCCGAATTCCCAAACAGCCTCTCCCTCCTCATTCCCATCCCCGCACCTAATCCCACCACCCCCGCAATCAACACAAGCAAAAAGCTCCATCTAATCGCCTCCACAATAGCCCTCTCTACATCCACTCTAACTGCGGGACTCAACGCGGCATCTTCAAAAACCTTGCTTTTTGCTCCCCCCAACGCCGCCCTAATATCCTGATCCCGAAATTCAGTTCCTTGCAGTGCTTGCTTGACGTTCCTGAACCCGACGTTCTGGAAGACAAGGGAAGTAAGTGTAAGAGCGACAACTACGGAACCGATTTGCGCGTTGTTAATAAATCCGATAGCGTCAGCGACACAATCCCCCGCTTTGGCTGAAGCGACTGTGTATGCTGCTTGTTGCGCAAATCCCGTTCCGAGAGCTAGTAAAATACTATATCCGTAGATTCTGGCCGTCGAGGTTGATAGGGAAAGAGTAGCGAAGAACAATGCTCCGCCGATGGAGTTGAAACCCCCTGACACGAGATACCAGGGCATATAATAATCAAACTTCGGCAACAGCGCTCCGTTCAAAAAAACCGTCACAATATTTACGATGACGAGTGGCAGGAGCCGTAGGGATGAAGTGATCGTGGATTCCGAGCGTGAGAATTGGAAGATGAGGGGAATATAGTATATCGGGATTGCGAGCGCAGTCTGTACGCATGATTGTGCGATATACAGTAGGATAAACGTCCGACTCCTCAGGAACCGCATTGGGAAGATCCGGTTTTGAGGGGTTGTGAGGATGGTGAAGGATTGTTGGAGGGTGAAGAAGAGAAGTAAGATACCGAATAGGACGATGGTGGAGATGGTGCGGGGGTCGTTCCATGGCCAGGCGGTTCCGCCGATGGTGAAGCCGATTACGAAGGTGGTGTACGTGCCAGCGTTTAGGAGAATGCCGAGGAAATCGAGTTCTTGGAGGCGTTGGGATAGAGACGAGTTCGGGCGGGGGTTGTGCGGGTGAAGGACGAAGAAGTAGACTGGGGAGAAGAAGCCAAAGAGTAGGAGGTTGATGTAGAAGGCCTGGTTTCCTTAGCGATTTTGAGTTCCCGGTTAGGTAGGGGTTAAGATTCCATACCCATCTCCAGGTCGCAGAACTATCGGCGAACGCGCCGCCGACGATGGGGCCGAGGATGCAGCCAACGCCCCATACAATCCCTCCACCGCTGATATAGAGGGAGCGTCTTTTGAGAGTCGTGTTCTGCGTCCAGATGTTGAGTTGGCTTGTCAGGTCACGTTAGTCTCGGCGTTGGGCTAAAATGAGGATGAGTGAGCGGAGGAGTTACCCAAGATACATCCCGGCGCCTCCCGCCCCTGCCCAGACCCGACCTACTATGAGACCATTCATGTTCTGTGACAAGATCAGCCCTTTCGAACAAATTGATGATGTGAAGCTATGGGCAGTGTACCGAAGCACCGCCACAAAGAGCACTGCCAGCGGCAAAATTGACCAGACTTCCAATATACATCCTACATACTACTCAGTCCTTTTCTAAGACGTTAAGATCGCTTACTCTTACCATTTCGTATCAAAAATCCCGTACCCCTTGCTCCTATCCCCGATTGACTATCAGCTAAACCTTCCCCTAAATTCGCACCTTTCCCCTCCCCTCCCTCCTCTGAAGGACTCATGAGCACGCACTTACCAAGCTGCAATTGTAGCAATGCTACCCAACGGAAACCCAATCCCCAACCACCCCAGCTTCTCTACATCACCAAAGCGCTCTACAACCGGACCTTGTACTACCGCAACAATGGTGGTATCAAGACCGTAGAACAGGGCAGAAGAGTAGACGGCGAGGGTAATGAGGATCCATTGAATTGTGGAGTATTGAGATCCTGGGGCGGGTGGATCAGGGCCAGAAGGGACAGACTCCACGTGATCGATGGGTGTCTTTGGTCCTGGATACGACAGAGTTGATTCCTGTTCTGGTGTTGGGTTGGTTGGGAGGGGAGGGGAGGGGCCGGCCTCTGGCATTGTCGTGAACGAACACTAAGTTGGGGTTTTGACGTCAACGAATTCTAGAGCTGCTTTCTTGGGGCCCTGAGCAGTTACCGTTTCCTATTTTAATTGTGAGTAGTACATCGGGGAGACCAATGTGAATCAATCTATTTAGCTAACCTTTCGCTGACTGACGAAGTTGGGAGCAACGAATCTCTTTCACTTACTCAAAGTGAGGATTTGTAGTGGTGTGAACACAACGTAGGATCCGACATTCTCATGCAGTTAAGGTCAGTTCATGGTTTGACGTTTACACGTCCAGGGTTTGTTACCAGAAGCCGTGATGTGGATGCATGCCAAGAATGACTCATTTCTGCTCATGTGCGGGGTTTCCAAACTCACATTCTTAAACGGACGAAGAAGGAAAGTATCGCCAGGCCAGCCGAGGCGATGGGAGGAAGCGAAGAAGCAAAGAACAAATATTTTCGTCATCAAGAATCTAGACTAATATCTGTATTCGTGACAGATCTGTCTGATTTTTCCAAATTGTGCTCCCCGCGCTTGTTCTACAGGGTATATTTATATCTCATTAGTGTTGCTATCTATCCCATGACATGAGACCCCATGGGCCACTTTATCAAGTCGATACAATAGCTCCTTTCTTCATGGTCTGTATAAATACTTGTAGGGACAATTCGGGCTCTGCCATTAAAAAACATTAGTAAGAACATTCAGCTTCCATTGAATACTGGCCAACTTACGGTAGTACGGAACTTCATGGCCGGCGCCGTAAACCCTTAAAAATGACAAGTTACCCTGTGTTTTGAAAGACCCTCCTTCCTTTCCCTTCACTTTGTACGGCGCTAGTGCTTTTGAAGCGAAAGCGGATTGGCCGGTGTATTTAATGGCATTCGCGACATCGTAGACGCCGAACCAGTTGCATATCCAGCTATATAGAAGTTAGTACAGATGAAAGACAGTATGCAGGTGTTATAGATGCTTACTCAGCATCACCTGCCCAAATGAGCGTTGTAACGCCAGATGAGACGACGTCACTCAGTTGCGTCATGAAGGAGCGCGGGCCTATTACCATTCAGCACTCATTAATATTAAGGGTAATAGGAGAAGTACATACCATCACCAGTGGATGCAAACTTGTTGTACGGTGCATTCGGACACTCTTGGTACTTACTCTGTGCACCGATTACTTTGGTGACAGTTGTGTTTGTCAAATACGTCGCATAGTTTGCAGGCGGCTCAGGGTCGTTGGTAGGCGCTCGGATGTCATATACATCGAAATCAGCTGCCGAAATGAGGGGAACCTCAATTGTGCGGTAACAAGCATTGTCTGCTTGCTGGCAAGCAGCATTCGTTCCCGTAGTTGCGCACTGCTGGAGCTCGGGAAGGCAGTTGTCTGTATACCGGCCCATGTACGTATCGTATTGGGCCTTGGAGATTAGAGGCTTGTATGTGTTGTTATACGAGAATTGGACATAAGCCTTTTCTTGAATTAAGGAATCGAACCAGCCGTTGTTGATACCCAAGGCTACGATATTGATGTTTTCCCCAGCCTTCGCCTTGTTTTGGTCTTGGATATATTTAGCGAACTCTGGGCCATAATGGCCGCCGTAGGATTCTGTGAATATCCCAAAGTCTCGGCTCTTGTAGTCCGGAAAAGCCGCGTAAAATGCTTGGATCAACTTCCACACGTAGGGAGCTGCAGTCAATGTGGAAGTGACCGTGTTGGTTCCGTAGGAAAAGCCGACTCCGATAGGCTGGTCGATGTAGAGCATGTTGGCATAGTTGTTGAAGCTGTAGGTGTTGTTGATCGGCACGTTACTTGTCCCAACTTTGAATTTGCATGGGCCGTTTTCTTGGAAGAGTCCAATCATCGAGCTGCAGCCAGGACCTCCGTTAAACCATGCAGCAAGTGGTGCAGTGGATGGACTCTGGCGCGCTTCAAAGAACCTGAAATTATGAGTAAAAGGCCCACGTGGATGAGTTGAACGCAAAAGTACCAGAACCACATGTTCATGTTGTCGCCAACAGACAGATATCCGGAATACTGTTTGACCCCCGGTGTAGTCTCGCAAATTCCAGAGTTCGAAACGAACTCTATCTTCGCACCGGTTGCAGCATGCTCGAAGACATTGTACGTCGTCTGGCCGCGTGTAACAAGCGAACGCTTGTCATGGGTGACCCTTGGTGCTGCCAAAGAAGTGCCCGCTAGGGCAGAGGTGGCCGCAACAAGAGAGGTAAAGAACTGCATAATGTTGAGCGAGAGACAATCAATCACTGCAACAACAAGACACTGGCTAGCCTGGGCGACATAGAAACTTTATAGAAGGGAAAAACATGGCGCATTCTCAGCACATCAAGGCGCGATCTGCCCGATTTGTGAGACGACTCGATAGTGTGTAAACTAGCCAAGTCATTTTGAGTAGGTGTTTGGCAAGACATCCGAATCTAGACAAATCAAATCCGAGTGTCACAGTAATGAGCGCGTTTGCCAAAAACATCCCTGAATGCAGACTCGCCTCCACCACAGGGACAGTGTCAAGCAAGGAAAGTGGGGGCATGGCAGCAGTATGCAATATAAAGGTGAACGAATAAGGAAGCTCAAGGCCAAGAAGAAATTCCTCCCGGAGCTTCGACTAGACAACGTGTGCCGGGTAGAGATGAAACGAGGAATGGGTCTCGTGGGTATTGCCGCATGAGGACCAAAGCCGAGGGCGAATCAACGCAGGGCTGATAACTTTCGCAGACTGTGAAGTTGGGGAGAAGCTATTCGAAAGAGGACAGAGCACAAATAACAAGGGTCAGGCCAGGGACAAGATTCGAGAATGGGGAGAGGTTGTTGCAGGGTGTCACAGGATAAGATGCGGGAGAAGCGGAGAAGATAAGCGTTCAGCCACCGTGGCCGGCGCCGATTCCTGAAGCTTGACCTGGATATGTGCATGTGATTGGTCGAGGCTTAAGATTCACCCAAATGATCTTCTTCCGTGCGGGAGCTTTCGAGGCACCATTAACCTTATCATTTTGAATTTCAGCCTCGCGAATTCGACCTACCGAAAGCAGTATGGCTCGAGATTTTGTCCTAGATTTTGCCCAGAGACTATCCCTCTTGAACCTGTTGTGTTGTGCTCTGATAAAGCTGTGGCATTGCAACTAGCTCTAACACCAGCACACTTAGCACACCTTGAAAGAGTAACGGAGATGCCTTGCCCGTTCGGCGCTTTTCACTCTCTTCGTGTTTGTCTGCAGGTAGGGCATTTGGATTGCCGACATAAGCGAGTATAGTATTGTCGTCTCGGAACACAAGGTGAGCAAGTACGTAAGACGAGTCACGCTGTGCTTGGAAAGATGGTTCTAGTATATCAATACAACTTTTGAGTGCTGTCGGCCGCTCGTGCGGCTCCTCGATTCACCCGGACAGATTGATTTGCTGCATGAGGATCCTCAGGGATGCCTGCAGTCAATCCAGACTCCCCGCAATCCAAGAGCCAAGGTCTCCGCATTTTGGGATCGGCAATTGAGCGGCGAGGCGGTTGGAGCTTGATTGATTGCGCAGTGAGATTCGAAATGCAAAAAAGAGCTACGTCGTAGGACGTTCGTCTCTATCGTTTCCCGGAAAGAGTGTGGGACATAACAGGCGGCGTCATTTGCGACGGAAGCATGCATCCTCTTACGTCCTTAATTTCAGCGTAGGTTTTAACATTCAGACTCTACTCTAGTTCATGGATTCGTGCTGTTTTATAATAGGCTGTACGTAGTTGTGCCTCTTTCTGAGGTCGAGTGCGTCGTCCCTACAGGCAGAGTGTAGAGAAGTTTTCAGAGGGCTTGGCAGGAAAGTACTGCTCATCTGACTGAGGCTCTACGAGAGTTCATTTCCCGACGCGATGTTCGTTTCGATGACTCGGGAAGTGAAAAAAGAAGCAACTAGCGAACGATACTGGAGAGAACAGTAGCTACAGGAACTGTTCACATGAAAGTCGAATGTGCGGGCCGCAAAAATCTCCTTCCCAGGTAGAAGTGTGCAACTGCTCCGCGATGATGAGCTGGTCACGCTTAGGGGTCACAGGAGAGTTGCTCAGGTGTAGTTCTTTGAGACGCAGCTTGGGGCTGAGGGTCAGGTGCGATTGGCCAAAGCTCGATCCAGAGATGTTGCTAAGGCTATCTTGGCGATAGCTATCAACGTCGTTGACAGCTCCAACACCTCACCCTCTCGCACCACCTGAACTTGTACTGTAAACCAAACGACGCGGCTCATATCTCCAGCAGATACGCTGACCTACTACCCAGTCTCTCCTATCTCACGCATATTCCTGCCGCCTATCGCTTCGCTGTAGCCTTCAAGTCCACGAGAGCAGCCGACCTCTGACACACTATCGCCCGCGCCGTACCCCCTCCCGTACGTCGTAGAACGCACATTCTTTTTCGCAACCATGTCTTCAAGGAAGAAGGTCCTGCTCAAGGTATTTTGCCTCGGGTTGCTTCAATGCTCAGCGCTAACCTGCAATCTAGGTCATTATCCTTGGAGACAGTGGGGTAGGAAAGACGAGTCTGATGAACCAATACGTACGCTTACCTTTTCAACGTCCCTCCTGGTGCGCTTCGAATCGTTTCTTGGGGACTGTCTTCTGTCTTCTTTGCTTACACGAGTTGCTGCAGGTCAACAAGAAGTTCAGCGCAAGTTACAAGGCCACGATTGGCGCCGACTTCCTCACAAAAGAAGTGCTCGTCGACGACCGACTGGTGACTATGCAGGTGCGTCGCATATCTGGAAGCGGTGGATTGTATACTGATGCGGCGTAGCTCTGGGATACCGCTGGCCAAGAACGATTCCAGTCATTAGGTGTCGCGTTCTATCGCGGCGCCGACTGCTGCGTGCTGGTGTACGACGTCAACAACTCAAAGAGCTTCGACACTTTAGATAGCTGGAGAGACGAATTCCTGGTCCAGGCAAGCCCAATGGACCCGGAGAGCTTCCCCTTCGTACGCCGACCGTCATGACCTCATGGGATGCCAAGACTTACAGAATCCAGGTCGTTATCGGCAACAAGATCGATGTTGAGGAGAGCAAGAGAATGGTGAGTTGATATCGTTACGGCCTAAATTAGTAGGAGCTAACATTGTCCTCAGATCTCGTCCAAGCGAGCCATGACCTTCTGCCAGTCCAAAGGCGGTATCCCGTACTTTGAGACCAGCGCGAAAGAGGCAATCAATGTGGAACAGGCCTTTGAGGGTAAAAGCAATCACATCCGTGTTTTCCATTATCCATCACTAACCCCCCCAGTGATTGCACGACAAGCACTTGCCCAGGAGGACATGGGCGACTACAACCCCGACTTTCCCGAGACTATTCCGATTGATGTGAAGGGCAACGAAGGGGGTTGCGCATGTTAGCCTTTTGCGTGCCCCGACAGATCTGTGAATTGTGTTCTAGCGTTTCCCTCAGACCACGTGCATCTGTTCCAATACATAGTCCTCTGCGTATTTTTCCTCTATTGGAGTTCAGGGGTTGGGTGCCGTGCACAACTGTACATCAAGCGCCATTTCTTGGACATTGCAAACCCAGGTAATTTCAGTCCCTTGAGCGAGAGCGAGGGCGCCTTCCATAGCTATCCTGAATTGTACAGATACTTCAAATATGCGTGACCACTATTGTGTTGCCTTGGCGTCAAGGATGACGTGAATGTGGCTGAGATGAGGTCGCGGCACTGATCCGAAACGCAGACCGTGGCCCTTGCAGGCGGGAGAAGAACGGCGCCGCATCTGACATGGATGGAACAACGGCCAGTATTCTTTGGTCGCAACCAACCGCGACACCACACCACTACCCCCACCGCGACGGCACCCTCAAATTCACGACTCTCCGCTGGTCACCGGATCGTCATGTCCATGAGGGCACCATACCTATTTCACCGCCCGCGCAGTCCTTGAACTCTTGTAAATCAGATTCCTCCACGACACCCCTTAGCATTCGTTTGTTCATTCCAAAATGTCTCGGCCTTCGCCTCTTCTGGATCCGACCATACGGCGGGTGAGCGAAGACTCTGTGGGGGAGCGGTATCCGAGGGAAATAGACAGCCCGGTCATGTCTCCGGCGAGCGTGGTTAGTGTATGGAACGAAGGCGGGAAACGTACTGTTCATTCGAAATGGAGACATACCCTTGGTATAGTACTGCTGCTGGCGACCGTTTTTCTATGGACTGCCAGTAATTTCCTTGCAAGCGTATGTATATCGCTTCATTATCCCCGCTTTCAGTTTCATCACTCGCGCGTTGGGAATGGTTTCATGGTGGGAACGAGAAACTAACTGATATGCATATGGATAGACGATTTTCGCGGACGACTCCTACTCTAAACCCTACCTTGTAACCTATATCAACACGGCTTTCTTCATCATTCCCCTCATTCCTATGTTGCTCAAGCATGCATGGGACGACCGGTCGAACCTCGCCCAACGCCAACCCCTCATCTCCAATATCCGCGACTTGCTGCAACGCCGCGTAGGTCGGTATAAGCTGCTCCGGGACCACGAATCATCCTCCTCCTCGCTATCTTCAAAGTCCTCAGGAAGGGAGCGAAGCCAGTCCCCAGCCGCTGCGCAATTATTGCTTGGCGATGAACCGGGAAGCGGCCAGGACTTGACCGCCAGCATGCTCATCCCACAAGAAGGCCTCACACTCGCCGAGACTGTGAAACTCAGCCTGGAATTCTGCCTCCTCTGGTTCTGTGCAAACTACTTTGCAGCCGCGTGTCTCGAATACACCACCGTGGCCTCGTCCACCATCCTTGCTTCCACGTCCTCTATTTGGACCCTCATGTGCGGCTCCCTCCTCCGCGTCGAACGCTTCACCCTCCGCAAATTCCTAGGCGTCATGGCCTCCCTCGCTGGTATCGCGCTCATCTCCTCCATCGACGTCTCCGGGGACACCGACGAAAATAGAGGCTCCTTCCCCCATAAGACGCCCCGCGAACTCGCCATCGGCGACTCCATGGCCTTCCTTTCCGCCGTACTCTACGGATTCTACGCAGTGTTTATGAAAAAACGAATCGGCGACGAAAGCAAAGTCAACATGCCACTCTTCTTCGGTCTCGTGGGCCTTTTCAACGTCTTCCTCCTCTGGCCCGGTCTCATAATCCTCCACTTAACGTCCATCGAGCCTTTTTCCCTTCCCCCTACCTCACGCATCCTGACCATCGTGCTCGTAAACTCTGCATCCAGCCTCATCAGCGATTTCTGCTGGGCCTACGCGATGTTGCTGACGAGCCCACTGATCGTGACTGTCGGGTTGAGTTTGACAATTCCGTTGAGTTTAATTGGTCAGATGGTTCTAGATGCACAGTATTCGAGTTGGTTGTATTGGATTGGTGCCGCGATTACGGTGCTGAGTTTTATTTTTATTAATCGCGAGGATACGAAGGACGAGGAGGAGGGACTGCAGGATGCGGAGCCAGTATTCAGCGTTAGGAGTTCGATGCAGGGACGCAGGGATTCGGTGAGGAGTTTAGGGAGTGCCACCGGGAGAGCGTAGGGATCAGGGGGTTTGATAGATTTTATTTCTCATACATCGTCGGCTTAGACGGATCGGGTTTGGAATTGATGGACACGGCGTTAGGTGGTGGATATCCTAGGAGCAAAGGTACGACCAATGAGAGGAAACCGTCGAATGTATGAGTATAGATTTCTTACTCAGTATGAACCATATCCCTATTTTCAATGCTGGGTATCACAAAATTCTGCTGTTAGACCCTTTCCTGGGCTTCGCAGCTCATCTTCGAAAAGCCACTCACTAGTTAAATGCACCCCCACGGAAATTCTTTCCATGCTTCCCTTTCCATCCACTTCCGCCTCCACCACCACCTCCACCACCATTCATATCCTTTGAGTAATAGTTCCTCCCCTTTCCCTTCTTATTCCCATTTCCATTCCAATTCTTCCTCCCACCTTGGAACGACCGATCCCTGTCACCTTCCTTCCTATCTTTCATTAACTCCTTAAGCTTCTCCCGCCACTCTTCATCTTCAATGACAGCCTCCTGCTCCCACCCCTCCTTCTCCATAAACGCCTCTAAGTGTTGCTGGACCTTGGGTTCCCAGACCTCAGGTCCTGCTTCGAGGTCACTATATTCGAGGACGTTTTCCTTGAGGGAGTAGTCGCCTTGTCGGGTGCGGATTAGAGAGGACATGAGCCCGAAGGTGTTTAGGGCGAGACCGAGGTCGTGACACAGGCTGCGGACGTAGAAACCGGAGGTTACAGTCATGCGGAGGCGGGCTGCCGGAGGTTTGGGTTCGAGTGATAAGTTGGTTATGGATTGGTTTTGGGGTGCTTCGTTAGGTGCTTCTACAGAGGCTTCTGGTTGAGCGTCAGGGATTGGGAGTGCACCGGACATGGCAGGCTCGTCGTCGGTTTTGGGTTTCTTAGGATGCGATCCCGAGTTCGTGATGTGGTCTTCGTCCTCGTCTGCTTCTTCTAATCTCGTTCTTTTTATTCCGCGCGTCTCGAGGCTGTCTTCGCCCACATCGCCTGGGTCCCGAACACCCATCAACTTCTCCGCCCCTACTTTCTCCACACCGTCAACCTCCTCTTTTGGCCAAGTGAAACTATGACTCCCCGGATGCAGCCACTCCACCATCTCCAATTCACGCACCTCAACCTCTCTCGCTTGCACCTCAGGGATCTCTCCCCCAGCTCGCGCATACTCATACATCTTCTTGCCGTTCACTTTCAGCGCCGAAAACACACTCGGCCTCTGCATAATCTTCCCCCGAAACCCCTCCAGTGCCCCCTCCACCATATCTCTCGTAACATGCCCATATGGCTTCTTCCCCACCACCTTCCCCACCGCATCATAGCTGTCCGTCGCCGCCCCAAACAAAACCACGCATTCGTATGTTTTCGTGCATTCGAGGAAGCGCTGGAGGGTTTTAGTTCCGCGGCCGACACCGACAATGAGGACGCCGGTCGCGAGCGGGTCTAAGGTGCCCCCGTGCCCGAGCTTGACTTGCAGGTTGCGGATGTTTTTCGGTCTAGCGTTGGAGAGGACGAGGTTTCGGCGTTGGGAGTCGAGCCAGGGAGTGAAGAGAGCGGAGGTATTAAAGTGGGTTTGCAGATCGCGGAGTACGCCGGCGGAGGATTGCCATTGTGGCTTGTTGATTGCTGGGTGAGGGTTAGAAGGTGAAATTTGATATTGACGATGTATGAGCTCTGGCATGCGAAAATAGGAAGAGTTTGGGAGCAATTGACGTACCAAAAATACCCTCAATGACCTTCTTTGACTCCTTCGGAGAGGAAGCCATGACGGTGCGGGGAAGAGAGGAGAGAGTTGACATTGGAAGGAGTGACGGTGAGGGGAACTTTTCTGACAGTGACGATGGTCCGGGTGAATGTCGGTGAAGCTGTGATTGCCAAGGTTGAGGCGCGCTAAGATAAGTGCGCCTGCAGGCTGCCCTGCCTCCAAAACATTTGTGCCACTCACATCGCGAACTTTCGTGACCAGGCTAACGCATATCTCTCGCGACTACACTACTACCTTCACCCCGTCGCAGTGCCTCCCCCATGGCGGACCCTAACAAAGATCTCCTCGAGGTCGCGCAAAAGACCACAGATGACTTCTACGAGCTCCTCGGTGTCGGTTTCGACGCCGTTGATACCGAAATCAGGAAGGCTTACCGAAGAACTTCTCTCAAATACCATCCCGACAAGAACCCCGACGATAAGACGCTTGCCGATAAATTCATCCTCATTGGTGTCGCGAGAGATATCCTCAGTGACCCGAAACTCAAAGCAGAGTATGATAGAGCGAGACTCAGAAAGAAGGAAAAGGCGCTTCAGGATGAGCTACTGGATGGCAGGAGGAGGAAGATGAAGGAGGACTTGGAAAGGAGGGAACGTGAAGGCGTGTCGATGAAGAGGAAGAGAACGGAGGATCTTACTGCTGCGGAGATGCGGGAGCAGGAGATCCAGAGGCTGGCTGAGGATGGGAAGAGGAGGAGGAAGGAACAACAGGAGAAATTAGAACGGCAGAGGCAGGAGGAGGAAGCCTCGTTCATGGAACCAAGCCCTGAACCTGTGCCGAAATCTCAGCCACCGGGACAAACCGCCGAAATTGATAGAACGATCAGAGTGCGCTTCTCCAGGGATGGCGATGCCGCGACATGGGATAGGGAGAAATTGTCTCAGATGTTCTCGAGGTTTGGGAAGGTCGACAGCGTTGTCATGGGCAAGGACAAGAAGATCAGACTCTCTGGAGAGAAGCACCGGAAGACTTGCGCCGTGGTCTTCATTGTCTACACACGGATGGATCATGCGAACGAAGCCGTTATGGATGGTAAGAGTGAATATCCCTTACTGGAATCTGTGGCTTGGGCTAGCAAAGAACCTGAGATCAAATCCCCTATGAATGGCGAATTTTCTGCGCCCTCGACACCAAATACCACCCCAAACAAATCCTTCCGCGCGTCATTCACCGGGGGCTTAGGGAAAGGATTTGGAAGCACGCCCGGCACTCCTTCATTCTCCTTCTCCCCGTCAACCCCCAGTCTGGAGGAAGTGACTATGATACGATTGAAGCAAGCTGAAAAGAGACGGTTGGAGGAGCAGATTCGGCAGAAGGAAGCTGCAGAGGAAGCCGCCGCATAGACTTGTCATGACTTATGGCTTTACGACTTGCACGAGTCTTTGAAGATACCCCTGGTTAGAATAATTGTGGCAATTCCCCTATTCGCAAGCGAAAGGCCAAATATTCATACGATTTGTACATTCACATGCAGCCCTCTTACCCTTTCTCGTGACAACGCTTCATTCAGAACTCGGTCCCCGCTACACAGGGCCGGTCGCTGACAAGGCTTACCCTGGTTTGCATAAAGGGAGCCATTTTGTCTCAGAAGATGACCCCACCATCGTCACCACCATTATCGACTGGCAATCGTCTAGCATTGAGCTGGCATTTTAGTATGCAGATGAAGTACTAGACTTTGCTCAACCTATTCCTGATCCTTCATGCGAAGATCAAATCGAGCCCAAAAGCGAGGCATGTGTAAAAGCATATAACATCTGCGCTCAATTTCTCGTCCCGAAGCTGTCAGAACCTAGATTAACGGAGGAAGCTTTCTTCCGGCCCTTTCGCTATTGCTACCGGTCCTGGGTAGACGGCACTATCGCCTTTCGCGATAAGCTGATCCAGACTTCGCGGCGCTGGAAGGCACTTGGTCTTGCGGAATCGTGTCTATTTCCTTCACTTAACCCCGAAGAATATGCCGTCTATCGAAAAGATTACAAGCTTTTTGAAGCAGCACACCAGCTGAGACATAGTTTGTCCAGTCTGCTCTACACTGCATCTGATGGTTGGGGATCCTCCAGACGACAGGGAAGCAACTGGCTCGGCCCATAAGGAAATTTTCGGCGGGATGCTGCAGGAGGTGCTGGGGAATGACCATTCAGATGATGATGAGCTGATCAGAGACGAAGCAGATCTTGGAGAGATTTGGCCATTCGACCTAAAGGAATGAGTGTCTATCTAGACACAACTAGAAAGGACTTGCAAGCTACATATTAATCTACACGTTGGTAATTTTTAAATGCGTGTATCTCGACCCTAAGAATTCCCTAGGTTTATCAATCTCCTGCGGCACTTCAAAATGTCTAGCTAGAGAGTGATTCGCAATCTTTCGATTTGATCAGAGAGATCCCTTTCGACGCATACGTGAACTTTAACAGGCATCTATATATCCAACCCATTCTTGAACTATACATTCATACCTCTTACCCTTGCACTGTCCACAGCTTTCACCTTGATACTAGCATAGAAAGCGTTCCTGGGCATCCAAAGGGTTTCTATTGCTGTCGCTGATGTCCTGTTTTCTGCCCAAGTCGACATTTGTTTCTGTTAAAAAAGCTTCTTAGCGAATTTCTAGCGGTATATAGCCATGAGCAAGTGTTTTCCTTCTAGCTAAGAATACCAATTTGTACCACTAAAGAATCGGTTGCAGGCGATAGGAGGCTAAAAATGGCCTCTAACCCAGTGCTTATATTTAAGAATGTAAAGTCCAAAAAAGACATGGGCTAGCAACCGCTATTGAATATGTTAACCTTAATAGAAACTCTAATGGGGGTCGTGTTTTGGTAGCTAGAAGTGCGCGTAAACATTGCCTTAGATGAATTAAATCGACGAACTGAAAGTAGTGGCTATATGATGCTCAATAAGAAAATCGGCAGTGATGACAGTATAACGATGCCATAGTGGCGTTGGTGTCTTGGGTTGTTGCCTTCCTTCGGTGCAAAGGTACCAAAGGTTGCCTATCTTGGTTTTGCTAACAAGCTCTTACATTGTTGGTGAATATGAACTGTACGCTGCCCTGCGTCGCAGAATTTGCAGAGGTAGTCGCTAGGCGTGTACCTAGACCGGAGGCAAAATTCATTCCCTGTGTGCCAGGTCTTGTGCCCTCTTAACCTACTCTTCCACACCATAGCTCTTCAACGCGGTTTACCCTTTTCCTTTATTATCAACTGTTACCATTTTACATGCTGTCTCTATAAACATCAAGATGACCTAATAGCAGTATACACCAAATAGCCAACCTTGCCCGTTGTTCTTGTTTAACAGCGTGCCTAGGCAGCTTAACACTTGGGAGGTTATCAATCCTCAGGCTGTTAGGTCTTCGGTCTTCTGTTATCAAGTTTTTTTTTTTTTTGCAAAGCACCCCAGCATCTTATTTTATTGTCGGTGTATAGCTTAGTGACCATGCTCCTTCCCACATCAGCCCCATAGCTACTCTCCCAACCACCAAGATTCTTCCGCCGCTAACTTGCCTACTCCTCTTCTATGTCAAATCCAAATGGCATAGCAAAGAGTGGCATAGGCTTAGAGCTATATTTGTGTATCATCATGATAAAATGAAAAGTGCTTAATGTGCAGCTTAATGGTTAATTCCAAACTGTTAGTTGGCGCTAAGTACTCAAACTTCTCTACCTCTCGCCTTATTACACTTAAATAAAGCTCTACCCACTGAATATAAGAGATTCTTTCTTAGTACGGGTGCTGAGAATAAGACTCCGAGAGATGGGCAGAGTGTTAGCATCTCTTGAAGCACAAGCAAAGAGGAAGATTAGTTAAGAAATAGGCTTGTACAGGCCATGGCCTCTAGAGAATGTAGGCTAAATGAGTAGCTTTCTCTAGAATGGAGAAGACGGTGTTGTTGCAGTGGGATCGCATGCGAGGTATGTAAAGGAATTGCATGCGAAGGGAAAGTTCGTAGCTGAGTCAGGGCCTAATCTGGCATTGTGTCCTTTGGAAGATGTTTGGTAGAATCGCACGTATGAGGCAGGTGGTAGAGTCTCATGGGAGGATGATGCATGTGACCAAGCGAGAGCTTAATTCAACATTAGGGCCTCGGGGAAGATCACACTCTTACTTAACTTTTCTCATCTCATGATTCTTCTCGTGCGTGAATTGGTAGTCCGAATTCAGTTCAAGCGCACGTTTGAAGGTTGCCAGCCGGTTCGAGAGAGTGACCATCAGTATTGATATCGTCAATCAGCCCTTTGCCCTTTACTATTTTTACGCAACATCATCATTTGAAGCTCTGAATGAATGGCAGTTGGAGTGCTCAGAGATTGAGCGTTGGAAAACAGGCAGTGGGCAAAGCAACATAATAGATTGCATGAGCAAGTAAGATGCTCAGAAGGTTGTAAGGACTGAAGATATATCTCCCAAGCAGGCAGCTATACCAAGGAGCCATCAAAAACCGAATAAGTGTCATCCTAAGACGCCCGAGCGGTATTAGCCTTGCAATACGCCAAGATTGAACTTCGAACCGACTTTATTTGGTGGGTGACATACACGCGGTGTTGTAGACATAATCTGGAAGAGGATAATTACAAATAGAGCTGGAAAAAGCGCCAGAAAAAATATTTTCCCTAGTTTAAAGCAGTGGACTAAAGCCAATGCAAATGGTGAATTGGTTGAACTCCGTCGGCATAGTTATGAGTGATATCTAACTGTAATGAGTACGGTTTGACACTAGATCTCGCCGCCACAAGCAGAGAAGGCGGCAAGCTCGCACTAGGCTCAGTTTCGTTACAGGAATATATGCTTCCCCAAAATATGCCTCGAAGATAAGGATCTTCCCCGATGCGCAATCGGCGCTTCAGTTGACACAAAGCAGGAAGGCAAGGGCCTGATAAGTCTAACGACTTTCGCCTTAGTTAAAACCTGTAGGGAGGCTCTATCGCCCCCAATACTTTAATCTCTAACGGACATGGCGGAGAAGAGCTACTCTTGGAAGATGTTGGGTCAACCCAACCGTCTTGTTGCAATATGATTTAGGCATTTCCAAATCCTGCTGGACCACAACTGGATCCCGACCTCGGGAGGCCGACACGTGGAATCGTAGTAAGCCCGTGGAATGCCATTCCCAGAAACCTAGGAACGTGTGATACAGTGAGACTCCAACCGCAGTTTAACATCGCCCAACAATATCGACCAACCATACTCCATAGTGTGCTTACAGCATTCAATTATGATCGGAGGGTCCCTTCCCCAGTCTCTTTCGCAGTCTAAACTGAACAGCCTACCCCTACTCAACATTTGTGGCAATCAAATGTATCTAAATAATTAAGGTGACTAACTAGCATCACCACAGTGTATCGATAGGGCCCTGTTTTGTAAAACTTTGAGAGAATAAATGAACTTGCCTCATCGCCCACGATCGTTGGTTCCATTATTCTAGACAGCCGGCTCCATCACGCATACGGAAGTGGCCATTGTCTCATGACCCTTCGCACAACCAATGTTAAACTACATCCTTTCGATTAGCAGCCGATTTTACATGGATAGTAACGACTAAATAGCCATTAGGACGTCTTATGCACGATGGCACACGAATAGGAGTGGACGTGGAGACCCGTTCAATCTATATGAGAATATCCAAAGGAAGTTACGAACATCCTGTTTGCTTTTCTGAAAATATTTGCTGCATACACAATTCACCATATAGCTGCGGGGTCTTTTAATCTACCTAGAATTCTATATAATTTCGGGTTTCACTTTACAGACCGGGTTTTTTTTCAGTGAGGGCTCGGCCCTGGGGGAAAGGAAACACATTCGGGGTTCTATCCAGGGTTCCTACTTTCCAAGTTTTAGTTTGTAGTATGTGTGGAGGATGCCTGGCAAAACGGATTCTGGGATGCAGTTTCCTTCTAACGGAGATGCTTACCATTCTAGATGTTCCCTTCCATGCATACTCCAGCCTTCGTTGTGTCTTTCGCGTTGTCGTTTGCATCGCCTCTCAACAGTTGCACACTTACACCCCGTCAACCATCCCTCTCGTGTGTACTCTGGTCTTCGCTGTCTCTTGCCCTGTCAAACCATGGATCCCATGATGAATAAATCCCTTCGACCTCAAGGGTAATAACGGCTCGCTACACAAAACAATGCACACAATGTAATTCGAGGAGCTAAATCACTTAGTTCCCTCTATAAAATCGCGCCTCGGCCACGCCACCATCGACAATATTCTCGTGGTATGACTCCCTCCTATGCAGAAGACACACCCCCTCGAACACATCCCGAACGAACAGGTATGGAGCCGCTACAAAGAAACACTCACATCGAAGTCGACATACGCTACTCTCCCCTGCGTTTTGGATACCCGAAGCTTCCGTCCCTCCCTGTGCAGACCACTGTTGTTAATGCGTCCAACTACATTCGCGAACGGATAGAACTGTTCCAGCACTGCGCAGAAATTCTCGAACGAGGACAAATCGAAGTGGTAGACAGGTTTCTCGCCATTCGCCACCACGAGGGGGAACGGGAACCCGATAAATTCATCACGTTAGTGTTCTTAACTAAGTTACCAAGCATTGACACAGATGTCTCTTCGCGGTGTGTGCTAGACATTGCGAATTACTGCAATACAAAAGGAGTCCACTATCTAATCGAACTCATCACTAACGCCGCACTCTATGGTGGATTCACTTTTGCTATCCACCCAAGCGAGCGCGATTTGATAACACTATGGGAGGACATATCGACCACAATAGTAGACCGCCTCTCCTATTTTCAAGACCAGAAGAAGTGCACCTGGCAGACGCTTGACTTTCTTCGCCGAGGGGGAAGTGAGTGTAGAGAGGACTGCCCTGCCACCATGGTTATTGGATCACCAGATGCCGATGAAGATTTTTGGTGGACTATTGGTCTTGCTGAATTGAGATCACTTACACATGGGCGATTTTGTATCGAACTCCTCTACTCCAAAGCCTACGAGGTCATGGACGACCACATGGTGACTACAACCGCATACGAGGATCCCGTTCTCCCAGGAGCATCCATCTCCTCCGGATTAGGGAGTGGAACCCTTGGGGGACAAATTAAAATTGAGACTCAGGCCGGCGTCAGAGCCTTTGCCCTCACAAACCACCACGTAGTAGTGGGTAAGGACCTTGAGCAAAGTAAACTCCCCATATATTGTTTACACATGCACACTCTAAGCCTGAATCTAGTCAACGGCGAACACAATCCAATTTATCCCAACAACCAACTCTTACTCTCCAATCCCACTGTCATCTCGAGTCCAGCCGACGAAGATCACCGATTGTGGATTTCCACCATCACGAAAGAAAAAAAATTCTGGAAAGACCGTATCGACGGTCCGAAAGGGCTAAAAGAAAAATTCGACCTCCTCCAGGCAGGCGAAAAGCCAACCTGGCTTCAAGAAGACTCTAATAGCCTATTAAATAAGCTCAATGCGGCAGAGGAGGCACTGAAAACCCTCCATTCAGACATGGATACAGTCTATGACTGTAACAGGGTCCTTGGCCAGTTAGCGGCAGCGTCTGGAAGACGCACAAGGGACGGGCACGAAAACCCTCAGCCACCCCGGCCAGTAGAACGAAGGGGCAGGGTTCTGCCTTGGCTTATGGATTGGGCGGTTATAACCCTAGACTCAGGTCGAACTGTCCAGAACACTTTGGGTGGACCCCACCTGAAGGAGGGCAAAACTCGGCTCACCGTGGGGCAAGATGCCAATGCGTATGAGGTTCTTGATCGCAATGAAGCACATCTAGTTGCGTATCGTGGGCGTACAAGTGGATGGATCTTCGGGGAACTTAATGGTACATACTCGATCTTGAACAAATTCACAACCTGCAAGGTCGCCGAGGAATACGACCTCTCTGGGTCCTCACCGGCCTATAGCTGGGCCATCGTGAACAAGGACAAAAAATCAGACTTAACAGCAAAAGCCGGTGACTCCGGTAGCGTGGTCTTCCTTGACCGCTCTTACGGAGTGAATGAGGATGCTCGCTGGGTAGGGCTTGTATTTGGTCAAAGCCCAAGTAAAGTGGGATATATGATCCCGATTCACCACCTTTTCAAGGACATCGAAGAGGTCTTTGGAGGAACGATCATCGAACCACAACGCACCACTACGACATAGCGGAATATGCCATAGCCTTATAGCCTAAAGGAAATATTCGCTTCATCTCAAATGGAAGCAGGCTTATGGAAAGGGCAAATTTAAGGCACTGTGAGGACGCGGCGAAGGAGGAAATAGAGATCAAAAGCAAAAATGAGAAAAAGCGTACGCATCTGTTTCTGTGATCAAAGCCTGGATCCTCATATGCCCTTGCAGTATGTAGAATCGGCCTTCTTTTGCACACAGTGCGGGTAAGTAGTGTGATGTGGAAAGCTCCCTAGGGGCGCCGCCGACCCCCATTCAGTGTCGTTTCGAGACCGTCTCTGAAAGCGTATTCAAATCCTTTTCGACCCGTAGGAAACCCACTAGGAACCGCTCGAAAGGCGCTGGAAACCCTTTCAATCACTAACATCAGAAATTGCCAAAACTACGCAAGAAAAGGAATACCCAAAGAAGTGTGTTAGGGTGAGTATTATGAGAGGACGGGGAAGAAAGCGGCGTTCGTGGAGTCGGGGTCGGTATCAATATTCTTTGTCGAAGCCAAGGTCGTCGGCTAGGTCACCCACATCGCCATCTCGAATGTATGATCCCGCACTGGAGTCTCTGGGGATTGGGGAGATTTTCGGCGGGCAGTGAAATCCATCTCGGTCCTCAAGCCTCTACTATGACCGGAAAGCTTTCCTGTCTGCCTCATCATTAGTCACCCGCCCCCTGTTAGCTTCGAGATTCCCAAGTCACTATGATTTACAGCCTCAGCTACTATAGCTAGTAGAAGAGTTATATATTCTACTTGTTCTAGCTACCTTCCGAATTATATTTCAATACTTCTCTACTGTAATCTTTGATACTTGATACTATGCTTTTAAGTGCTGTGAAAGGTATCGAGCATGGAGTACGAAGCACAGAGAGGGAATACAGGATAGGATGCAAAGAGAGAGACTAACCCTTAGGGTCGGAGGCAACCAAGCCCTCGGGAAAGAGACAGAGACTCGCTTTGATCTCGGGACCCATACCGTCATCCTCTATATCACAGGCTGAGGCATCCTTTTCTGATTAGGTCTGTTTTTGAATTAGGTTTATAAATATTAAGATTTAATTGTTAGATTGTTACGGTAACTGCGTATAAGGTCTTCTGGGGAAGCTTTACTTATAAACCCCCTAAACTGAACACGTGCTTGCGCGTGACCCTCGCGCTGTCGCTCGAGCCAAGCCACTAAATATTGCCAGAACCTGTCTAGCTCCCCCTTTTCTTCTCCACGAAACGTCTTGATTGCCCACCTGATACTGTACATAACAATTTATCAACGCTCTTCTCTGAGTCCTTGTTTGTAGCATCTCCGTAACAGAGGTACAGAAACAACTTTTTGATTTAGCAAGAATGAAGCTATTTATAGTAAAGAAGAGTAGCTACGAGGAGGCAGAAACGCTAGGAAACTGTTCCTGTTATATGTTTGTTCGTCCTCTCTATCCTACACTTCTAAGTGGGTCGCATAGGCAAAGGTTTCTATGTTAGTCACGTGGTTTCTATTGCCTTAGCTGCTGCACCTTCTTTGCTTATTAATTCAGAACAACATGTTTACACTACAAAGTAGTATCTAAAACAGCTTAGTCCTACTTGTTCGTTTCTTACGCCTAATTTTCAGCTTCCTTTTGTACGTAAAATACATGCTTCAGAGTGGTAATGTGATAGAGCGTATCACATCAATTCCTGTGGCTCGAACTCCCCTACCAGCTCCCTAATCTAGCGCCTTGGCAGGGGATAGGTCTTCAAACTAGCCATGCAGCACCCTTTGCTCCTTAGTTAATCTATTCAGGTTACACCACTTCCTGTTTGTTCCTTGAGCATGCCGATCGCAACAGTTACTGTAGACTCCGAACACACTCTTCTCTACAATGCAATCGAATCGTGTAGTATCGAACGCCTCCGCTTGACTCTTCGCGAAATATGCCAAAACTCCGAGGATGCTTTCAGACTCGCCTGCAACGCGCTTCTTCTCGGAAAAGGAGAGTTAAAGAAAGCTACAGAACCGAAGAAGGAAGAAAGAAAGAAGACGACGGACTTCGCAGAGAACACCGACAATGGATATGAAGAGGGAGAGGAGTATAAAGCGGGGATTGAAGAGTCCGAATACTCAGACGCGTCTGCATCCGAGCCTCTAGATGCCCCCCAGGGACAGAAGCGTAAGAGAGCATGCACGCGTCAACGATACGAGATGTGTGGCCAATGCGAGACGGAATATGATGTTTTAGACAACAATACGGAATCGTGTGTTTGGCACGAAGGTACAAAACTTCCCTAACGACCCGTAAGTTCTTCCAGTCTAACAATTATCTCAGGAGAACTAGAACTGAAGGATGATTCATCGATATGGGATGAGTGGGATGAGAATATCTGGGGTGAGCTAGATACAGACGATAATCGAGTAGAATATCCGAAGGGCTTTGCTTGGACATGTTGCGAATGGAGTGGGGACAAGAAGGGATGCAAGCAAAGTATACACAGGCCGGACAGGACTAAAAGAGCTAGAGTTTGGGGACCAAAGACGCCGAAGATTTCTGCTTCCACTCGGAATCCCCATGGGATAGGTTCCAAGGCTATGACGTTGAATTTCTGACCCAATAACTCTAGTCTAGTGTTCCGAAGTTGTGCTAGCGTATCACATGTTCTTGAGAGAAACATAATGAGGTACCCGTTGGCTTCTAGTATATCCCCAACATCCTGGAAACAAAGTTACTCTTCAGAATGCGCGACGAATCCCTAAACACCAGGTAAGGAACGCCATAGAGTCAGGCGGTGTCAGACCCCTCGGGGCGACTATCTTAGCCCTATTTGCGGACAATCCAGAGGTCGTTCCTGCGTAGACGAGCAAGCTCTTGATCCAGACAACGCCCGAAGAGGGCTCTAGTCACTAGATGGGCAACGAGGACAATCTGACGGGTACAGGAGACGGTGGCGAGTGCTGTTTTCATTTCATGCGAGCGCTGCTAAAGATTAAATTCCTAAGAACGGTCTAGGTGCTCTGTTATAAAGGCGATTGATGATTGATGTGTTGCTACTTCTCAATTGGGGTTAGTAGAGAATGGAGGAGTATTTGGAAAATGCTGAGGAGTAAGCACAGTTATTTTCAGCGAGTTTTAGGGCTAGGAAGAGGGGGTTTTTGACTTAGGTTTGTGCTTGCCTGACAGGAGGCGGTAATTAAGGACTCAAATTCCCACCCCTCCTGACAATCTCGGATTCTAGCAAGAGATTTAACAGGTTGGTTCGGTCCTAATCATGTTCCACATTATGAGAGTACATGCCGTACGCTCCTTGCTATTTCTGGTGTTTCCTGAGGTGCATTACCATTATCATTGTTAGCTGATCCTGACCCATCATTCACCTACCTGTCTTAGTTAGCAAACATCTCTAAAGTTCTCAGTAATATCATGCAGCCCCCAAGGTACGTCCTACCAGTCTAGATACTAGCTACACCATGCAGCACATACCATGGAACATATCTAGGATAGAGTTTGTGAGCTTAACCGGAGTAAGAGATGTAAGATCGATATGCATAGTCCAGATTGTAAGAGAATGAAGATATGGGAGCCGGATAGACGGGTTTAGAGAGAGCCATGATGTTGGAGAAAGACCGGGATTTTGTGGAGATGCGGTGACATCGAAAGGCGCGATTATACGGACAGACAATTATGCTGTGCACCCATGGATCCTAGCATGCAAACCCATACCCCCCTTTCCTAATAACATAGCTTAAGATCATCCCCAAATTCCGCTGCCTGCATCACCGAAGTGCGGTTAAGGTTTTGGGTGAAGATGTCGCAAGCGAGGCATGTACCACATCCCTGACCATAGTATTGGGAATCGGAGAAATCACAGAAGAGAATCTATCACGAAGGTTTTGACAATAAAGGAACATAACGTGCGTGATGCGTATATCGTAGTCGTACAAACGCCAATCCCAATGCCATCAACACACGGAATAACATAAACAGGGTATCTTAAAGAGTGTACTACCATCCTTCCTCTCCCATCCTCTCATCTCTGAGGCGAATATACCATCATCTCCGGTGCTCTATACACGTCGTTACTAGCCGGCCCAGCCCACTGCCTCTTACTCTCCTCTCTGCCTCTTACCTCCCTCTCATTCTGAATAGCCACACAACAGCAACAACAACAAGATCTCGCGAAGTCCCCTGCACAACTCCCAGAAAGCTTGTACAGGTGTCGTATTTTGGTACGATGGATCATCGGAAACAGCCATTGTAATCCGCAGGCCACACCCATGAGTATGCAATGTCCGTTTGTGGATTTATACCCCAGCATGTCCGTGGGGTCCTTTTTGTCAGATTTTTGGGAGAGGCGGTAGGATGTGCGGCCGTAGAGGATGCAGGGGCAGAAGATGCCGGTGAGGCAGGTGGAAATGTCACCGCTGCACTCACAGAGCGAGTGTTTCCATTCATGTGATGAGCCTTTGGTGGAAAGATCCATGTTCGGATGGGCAATCTGACCAGGTTGATGGAGCGCGAAGTCAAGGCCGTTCGGACCCGTCGCAGCATCGGGCGAGAAGATGGTATGGTTTGCACCAGTGTTAGAAGAGAAGCCATGGGGTGAGTAGGGCTCCGCTGCGTATGATTTCTTGGAGTTCGGAGACATTGGGAGTGGGTAAGCTGCGGGGTCTTTTCGGAGTGAATTGGGTGAGATGGGTGTTATTGGAGTCTTTTGCGGCAGAGCAGATGCTTGCGATTTGTGCGAATGCGGTGTCGCTGGCACTGGAGGTAGAGTGTATTGCGTAATGTTGGTATTGATGGGGGAGAGATTGCTGCGCTGTCGTGCGTGGTGGTTTGGTTGCTGACGGTGTATTTGCTGCGGCTCCGCGATAGGAGAGATGGGAGAGACAAGCGCAGGATGCTGTGGTGTAGAGTTGTACGGCGATACTGGCGAGCGAGCTGTATTTTCGTATGGGTATGAAGGGTATGTCGCTTGTGGCTGAGGCGGAGCGGGAGGAGAGGGAGCCGACTTGCAGATCGATTGTGGGCGGGTGTCGATCGGGGTGGGAGGAGACTGCGGGAGAGGTGGGTCATCTGCCGACGAGGTGTAGCGTGCTCGGTGCTCAATGGGAGTCTGCGCATAAGAGAATGCCCGACCGTTGGCATTTACATTCGTGTTGATCTGTGCCGGCTGCTGCTGTGTCTGTTGTTGCTGAGGTTGGGAGGCTGAGGTGTCCTCCGGTGGGCCAGTCAGCGGAATCTGCCACGAAAATCGCTGATGTTGTCGTTCTACATTCTGAGGTTGCAGATGTTGTCGTTGGCCATAATGTCCATTGTCCATCTTTCGCGAGATCGATTTCGTGTCTCAGATCTTCGTATGTTTCGTTTCAACCTACGAATGCTGAGGTAAAGGATGCCTTGCAGCAATGCTTGGGAGATCTGCTATTGATGTATCTACCGTTTGTAGAACTTACGGTCGGTCAGCAGGGGTTTCAAGGAGAGCCACAAGATTATGTAGAGCAATATGTATGAAGCGGAGGCGTCGTTCAAAAGCTGTTGTGGAGAGGGGTTCAGCTTTAGATGGGGGCCGGAGTGTTGAAATCTGCTCAAGGTCTCGAAGAGTGACAAGACTCAAGACTTGCATTGAGCAAGGGGAGAAGAAGTGGAAAAGGCGTCTTTTGCATCCGAGCTGCCGCCTCTTCAGAGCTTCCATCGTGGTTGGCTCTTGGCTGTGATCGGCTTCACAGAAGAGTGCCATAGTCACACAAAATGAAGCAGGCGGGTCCAGCGCTCTGCCATCGTTGGTGACTTTCTGGGAGGCGCAGCCGTTGAGGAGCAGTTGCGGCCAATGAAAGGCTGGGAGGCGACCTCGCAGACGATGTGGAGTTGAAGCCGGGCGCTTGCGCAGGACGAACTGGGTCTGGGGTGGGCCGTGCATACGGCTGCGCCCACCAATGGAAAGTCGGCGAGGGGATAGATATTCTTGTCCGTCTCGAAGGATTACCCGTTCAAGACTCTCTTTGATCGGAACTTTGGAGTATCTGCTGATATGCAGACGAAGATGGCATGTCGAAGTGCGGAGCGTTATCGAGTTACCCCGTTGGTGGCGTAATTGCGTGAAGATTTGGCGCTTGTTTAGACGCTTCAAATTCAAAGCTCACGCGTTAGTGGCCTGCTTGACGAGAGCATTGGGCAGGGTAATTTGACAATTGCAAGATCAGTTATCGATAGTGGCTGTTCCACTGCGGTCCTCAAAGATGACGTAATAATACACGGTTGCAAGAAGAGCTGGGAATGCTTCAAGCAGGGGATGAATAAGTATATGCCAATACTGTACAGACTCTAGCGACAGTCTCACTCAGATCGAATTCCTCAGAGCAATGCGGATTAATGCGAGATGACGAAGTTCGCTCGGGAGGCGATTTACTTGCTCTTATCCTACTGGCCCTTGCCTCTCTCTTCCTTGTTTTCAGCCTAGCAGACGTTAGCGGGCATAGAGCTTGAGCTAGAAACAATGAGATGCTAACCGGAGGTCGGTCGGTAGAGATGGTTCCCTTGGCCTTGGCTGTCTCCGCAACACCCTCGCCCTTCTTGCTTTTGTCTGGGTTCTCAGATACAGGTGTGGAGTGTTTAGTATCTGTATTCGAGAGGCCCTCTTGCTTTCCAGAAGTTTCATTGGAGCTCTTGGGCTCTTTGCGAGGGTCGGGCTGTCTTCGATTAGCTCCGCCAGTGCCAGGCCGGATGCGGGAACACTGACCTTGTCGGACTTATCGGGGGACTCCTCCTTCGTCGGTTTCTCAGCCTTAGACCCATCCTCAGAAGAGTCCTTGGAGTCTTCACTGGACTCCTCCTCCTCCTCCTTCTCTTCGGATGCTTCTTCGTGTCCCTCGTGCTTCTCGCCATGATGCTCACCATGTTCTTCGCCGTGACCGAGGTCCTGAGTGGTAACGAAGTAGAGGCCGGCAGCGGTGGCGACTACTGCTGTTGCTGCCCTACAGTGAGGCTTATGTTAACTTCGACTAGAGATGGATGGGTGGGTGCTGCGGCTTCCTTGGTGCTGCTAACAGCAGTGCCGCGTAGTAAACAACGGCAAGTGCTTTGAAAGGCACATACCATGGAATATCACTCTTCGTGGTCCCACCGTGACCGTGAGCGGACGCGTAACTTCTGCAGCCGGTGCGTTGGAGCATCCGCTGCCATGGCTGAAGCTCGGCAGTGCGGGTGTGTCTAGCGATGCGGGCGAATCGAGCGATTGAGGATGCTCGCAGCGTCGTCGGTCGTGGGAGAACCATGATGAAGCTGTCGGAATATCAATTGGCTCACCGAGGATCAATTGAGGGGATGAGGCCTGGCAGAGAGATCAGGTCAGTGGCTGCGGCAATCATGGTAACGTCAAGTTTATTAGCTAAGCTCTCCGCAACCTGGGATCCTGAAAGCTCCGATGATCACGTGATGTTGGCGGGCGCTCATGGCACGTGCGATAGCCTGCATCTCTCGCAGAGTAGCTTTAGATACTCCCAGGCAACAGGTCGATTTACTTCCACCACAGTCCTTTCCCACCCTTCCTCCACGGCGGCCTTGCTCGCGGCTTGCCTACTCCTCCATATATCTAGAGCTCCCTCAGACGCGCACCTTCCGTCTGTAGGTACTGTCCTCTGCTCACAACCCCACCACACCCCACTACACCCCACTACCCAGTACGCCTCTCAGAGTCTACAACCCCCCAACCTCACTCGCACCGTTGTTCTGAGGACGACCGCGGTATAATATGGCGCCCTCGGCTGTGTCCAATCCTACATCCCACAATGTCGCCACCCTTCTCCCTAAGCTGGAGGATGAGGATCCCGACTTCCGCTTCATGGCCCTCAGCGACCTTCAGGAAATCCTCATCGCCGGGCACCCCGGCTTCCTCACCCACGACAACACCACATGCGCAAAGACAGTAGATGGGCTGCTCAGAACTCTCATCGACACAAATGGAGAGGTGCAGAACATGGCCATCAAGTGCCTCGGTCCGTTCGTCAATAAATGCCCTGAGAATATTCTGAAACCCATGATCGACAAGCTCTCCAATTTGCAGACGAACAACACTATTGATCAGTCAATTCCTTCTTTGGCACTGCGTGAGGTGGTTGTGTCCCTGCCGAGGCCTATATCTGGCGTTCCTCGCACGAAAGCAGTCCAGGATGCCTACTCTGCCATGAGCATCGTCTTGATTCCACGTCTAGTGGGCTATAATGTCGTTCCTCCTGCTCAAAAGAATCTCCCCCCTGTTCCCGAGGGCATGTTGCAGGTCGACCTCGCGAAGGGCACTGATAGCAATGCTATTGATGTCTTGACCGAGGTTGCTAGATGCTTTGGCCCGATGCTGCAAGATGCAGAAATACAAGCTCTTCAAAAGATCACATTTGAAATCCTCGAGAGTGACCGCGCAAGCTCCATGATGAAGAAGAAATCAGTTGCTGCCATCTCGACCCTTTCTGTCTACTTCACCGATTCATTGCTTAGCGCGTTTCTCTCGCGAATCATCGAGCACTTGCGAGATGCGCACCTGACCCGCGGCAAGCGAAAGCTATATATCACCATTCTTGGATCAATGGCTAGGTACTGCAATACTAAGGTGATTTACTGCCCGATTGCTAACTACAAGGCAAGGTCTATTCCTCGAAAATTCGGCCCATACCTGAAAACTTTGGCCCCATTTGTGCTCAGCGCCTTGAGTGCGGAAGAACTCGATGAGGAAATGGACGTTTCTGATGACGAAGGAGAGCGTGATCCGGAAATCGACGAGGTCCGCGAGGCTGCCTTGATTGCTCTTGAAGGATTCCTTGCGTCCTGTGCTCAAGACATGCGGATATATACAGATGAGTGCATCGACGCCGCTACCCGGTTCCTGAAGCATGATCCAAATCTCGCTCAAGACGATGATGATGATGCGATGGATGATGATGAGGATGAAGACGACGCGCTTGAAGATGAAGATTTCGAGGAAGAGACGGGTTTCGATGATGATGAAGACGCGAGCTGGAAGGTTCGGCGCTGCGCTGCCAAAGTCTTCCATACGCTAATCTCAACCCGGAGCAACGGCGACCTTCTAGAGGATGGTACCCTCTACGATCGAGTGGCACCAGCTCTCATTACACGATTCAAGGAACGGGAAGAAAATGTGCGTCTTGAAGTGCTCGGAACACTATCGTGCCTGGTGAGGAAATCGGGAGATGGCTCTCTGCCTTCAATGAAAATGGTTGAAGAACAGAGTCAAGGTACCATGGGTCCTCCCCCGAGCCGCAAGCGACGACGTGGGGGAAGCGATGCGAGCATGTTCGATATCCATGCCAGCTCTTCTCTCTCTCTCGGCTATGCTTCCCCAGCCGTTGCTGTAACGCCGCCAGTCGGACCACGTGCTAGCCTTGCGAAACTCAGTCCCAACATTGTTCATGGAGTATCACAGCTTCTTAAGACAGGCCCACCGGCGACCAAGCAGGCCTCCATCATTCTACTCAAGGATATCGTAGTCACACAACGCGGAGGCTTGCAAGATTACCTGACCCAAATTGCTGATCCAGTTATCGAGGCCGCGAAGGCATCAGGTTCATCTAGTGCAATGAGCGGCGCATCGTCTGCCACCGCTAACAGCCTGCGTATCCAAGCGTTGCAACTGCTCGGCGCAATCGCAGATACGCACCCTTCTGCTGCGATCCAGCCATACCTACCAAAAGTCGTTCCTGCACTAACTGCTGGAGCTCGCGAAAAGTACAGCAAATTGTCCATTGAAGCTCTGGCGGCAACGGAACAAGTCATCAAGGCCCTTACACCGCCTCGATCAGCTACTTCTGGTTCTCAGAATCAGCAGCACCTAGACTCACTTTATGACGTTCTTGTTAATCGCATAGCTGCTAATGATGCCGACCTGGAAGTGCGACAAATCGCTATCCACGTGCTTGGGCTCTTACTAGGCCGGAGCTCGGGAACGCAAGGCCTCATTTCCTCGCCAAAGCGAACCTCTGGTCTCGACCTTCTAGGTGACCGTCTCAAGAACGAGCTCACGCGTCTTGCTTCTGTTCGTGCGATCGACACTATTGCCGCACATACGAAGGCCCAAAATGAACTTACAGCGAAGTGGGTACGCACCGTTGCTTTGGAGCTTGGAGCACAGCTACGCAAAGCTAGCCGCACTCTTCGTGGTGCCAGTCTCAGTGCTCTTCGAACACTCGCGTTAAACCCAATTTCGCGGCAGCAACTGGACAGCCAATCCAAGTCACAGATTGTTGGGTTACTGATTCCCTTGCTTACCACCGCGGATCTCCACCTCCTTGGCCCAGCTTTGATCATTCTGGCTACGTTTGTCAAAGATGACGCACGGTCCGTAATGACAAACGACTTGAATAAAGCGCTCTGTGAAGTCGTCGGCGGGACGATCAGCGGGAGCTCCTTGGAAGCGCTGCTCGCTCTCGTCAGGACTATTGGTGAACAAGGTGCCGGCAAGCCATTAATGAACGCACTGCTGAAGGAAGTCGGCATTGCAGGGCGTCCTGAAGTAGTAGGAAAGGTCATCGGAAATTTGCTAGTCTACGGTGGAACGAGTGTTGGGGTCAAACTTGATGACTTCGTCAAGGAGTTGAACACCCAAACCGACGACAATCGAAAGTGTCTTGCCCTTGTTGTTCTTGGAGAAGCTGCACTTCGCATGGGATCTCAGTCAACACTCCAACCGGAGCTCTTCATCAAATTCTTCTCGGTGAAATCTGAACAAGTTCCACTTGCAGCTGCCGTGGCCCTCGGACGAGCTGGAGCTGGTAGTGTTGGGAAATACCTCCCAGCGATTCTGAAAACTATGGGCCAGCCTTCCAGTCCACAATATCTCCTCCTTCACTCGGTGAAGGAGATTCTCCAACACGACGGTACGGAGTCAGAGATAATACCATTTGCCGGCACACTCTGGTCCAATCTCGTTGCGGCTTCTCAGGCTGAGGATAATAAGGCTATTGGTGCGGAGTGTATCGGCAGACTTGCCATCATTGATCCAAAGACGTACCTCCCGCAACTTCAAGTGAGTCACCTCATTCTAGTTTGTGTTTACTTTTGATCTAACATAGACAGGCCTTCCTTGGCGACCGCAAACCCAGCGTCCGCGGCATGGTTATTTCTGCCCTCCGCTACACCCTTGCTGACACTGATGAATCCTATGACGAGTATTTGAGGCCTATCGTTATTCCGATGCTAGCCCAGATGCTTTCCGAATCTGATCTCGAGAACCGGCGGCTGGCCTTGACAACGTTCAACTCGGCTATGCACAATAAGCCTGACATCATCCTCCCAGCAATCGACCAGCTCCTCCCCATGGCCATGAAAGAGACCGAGATTAAGCCCGAGCTCATCCGGGAGGTTCAGATGGGCCCCTTTAAGCATAAGGTCGACGACGGTCTCGAACTCCGCAAGAGCGCCTACGAGACTCTCTACGCGTTGCTCGAGACAGCCTTTTCCCGTCTCTCACTCAGTGACCGTTCTGACTGTTTCGACCGCGTAGTCGCCGGCATCAGCGACGAGAATGACATTCGCATTCTCTGCAACCTCATGCTAACTAAACTAATGGTCCTTGCGCCCGAAGAAACGCACAACCGTCTCGAAGCCATCGCAGCAAATTTCCGCCAAGTCTTGTCTATTAAACCGAAGGAGAACGCTGTGAAGCAGGAGATCGAGAAACTGCAAGAGGCTAGCAAGGGTGTGCTCAAGGCTTCCGTTGTCCTGAATAAGAATTTGGGCACGGATAGCGGCGCGCATGATGATCAGCCGTTGAGGACTTGGGCGCAGTATTGGGATTGGATCAACAAGGAGTTTGCAACTGTGCTTAAGGCGGTGCAGGATGAGCTTAAGGATCGGGATCGTTAGGTGTCTGATCAAAAGCCCACCCCTGTGGTTGGTAAATTGGAGTGTGAGGAAGGCGCAGGATGGCGGGTGTGCATGATGGAATGAACGATGAAGGGGTGAGTAGTGCTTCCCGCCTGGCTCAAACCCTGTTTAGCGATTTTAGACTATAGCGAATATGAGACTGGGTGTAGAGCGGTGACGGATTTTGAGACTCAAAATAAATGAAAAGTGCATAGGAAATGGAAATACTGCTCGTCTATGTGCTTGAACTAATTCGTGATCTTTCTGTGGTTGTGAGTGAAACGGCAGCTTCTTGTTGGAGTTAAGGATTGGGTGGATTGAAGGTTTCCCAGGGCCAAATTCTTTGGAAACGAGGCTGGGAAAGATGATTCTTGGTTTGTATGGGAGAGCAATGGAATTGTGGAGTCTGTGCGAGGATAGGACTTATAGGCTCATTCCAAAGGTGCTTCTTGATTGACTTAGGTAAAACTTTCTTTCAGTGTCTCGAACTGGAACCACCTTGTTCTTGCGTTCAGACAAAAAGGCATTAAAGCTAGTCAAGTGCAAAATTATTTTAGAATAAGCTAAGCGTAACAAGTCTGGGTTTGCAGGGGAGAGAAAAGAGGTGGTAGGATCTATGTAAATTTAGAATTACAAGGTCGTCTTCTTGGTCTTGATAGAGGTAGCTCCGTTAGAAATGTGGTGAACGCATTGTTCCTGGATTTGGGTGGATGGAAAAGGGTTTGCAGGACTTGCGTGAATGTGTGAAGTTTTAAGGCATATACTACTTTTTAGCTTGAAAAGGGATCAAGTGAATTCTGGGGATCGAGTGCGACCTATCTCCTAAAAAGTTGAAACCCACCATCATCTGCATCAGCCTCGTCCTCACTATCTTGATATCTGGCCTGCGCTGTTTCTCCATGTTCCCCTCGTTCATCCGAATTGGCTTCAAGAATTTCGCTTCCCCTGTCCTCGTCGTCCTCGTCGCCATTCCCTTTATCTTCCGAGTTGTTTCCCTCCCTCTCTCTTAATTGCGTTCTCAAGCCCTCCAGAATAACACCCATCCTAGTCTTTAAATCCGCATTCCAAACTTCCTCGATCTGCACTTCCATTTCCCTTATCTTATCTCTCAACTCCTTGGCTACCTTATCCTCTTCTTCCGCCTCGCCATCATCCACATCTCCTCCAGGGCCAAGCTCGACAGCGATTTTACACCCAAATGCAGTAGCAAATTCTCCCGCCATCTTCGCATTAGAAATTGCAAATACCACCTCCTCAATATGCTCCCACCTCTCTGGCTCCTCACCTATCGTCTCCCTTTTCAACTCCGTGTCGGGGAGTAAAACTTTCCTCCACGCTTGCGCGATGTCGGCGACAGGGTTCCCATAAGCACCGCATCCCCAAGGCCCCAGTACCATCTTCTTTACACCTTTTGAATATGCAATCCTCATCACAGCCCTCATCTTACGTTCCACGACCTCCCTATCCTTCTTCCCCAACCTCTTTCCCCCCTCGAGTTCCGGAAACCGCAACATTCCCGCCGAAACCACATCAACCCAATACCTCTCCTCCTCCAACTCCCCACTCGCTTCCCCTAGCACTCTTGCATTCCTGAAAACAAGCACATCTTTCGTGAAAATTCCGCCGATATCGGGGAGCCGGTAGAAGGATTCGTGGAGAGATGGCAGCAGTGTTGTTCGCGAACAGAGGAATTCTTCTTGCGATGTAGCTCCAGAGAGAGTTCCACCGCCGGGGCGCAGCGGGGAGGCCATGTTTAGTATGCAGGTATTTGGTTTGTTTTTGCGAGAGGTGGGTGGATATACGTTTGATGATGAGGATGAGGATAGGGTGAAGGAGGGGTGTTTTGATGGGAATGTCAGAATGTGTGATGCGGTTAGAGTATCCGTTACGATTATTTTGATCCGCATTGGGTTGGAAGATGTGGGAGATGCTTGGGTTGGATCCAAGGCCAATGAGAGCTTCGCTATTCGCTCATCCAAAGAATCTCTTCTCCTATCCTTGCCCTTCCCCTGCCTCCCACCTATCCTCTCTTCTCCTCCAGGTCTTTTATAACCCTCCCTAACTACAACCTCATCCTCAACATTTTTAATCCTACGTCTCCCCTGCCCTTTCCGCTTAACATAAACCACCTCTGTACTTCCACTCCCTTCCTTTTTAGAGCCAGTGACACCAAACTCTCGCGCAACTGGTGGATCAACAATTAATTCACTACCTTCAACGCCATTCCTTGCTCTTACGTTTGAAGCTAGGATAGCTGGGACGATTTGGTTTACAATTTGACGAGCTTGTTTCGCACGGACATATTTGCGGATGGCAGGGGGTGCTAGGCCTTGGGATTGTGTTGTCCGTCCCATTGTATAGTATGTCTTCAAAAGCGAGGTGAGAGGCGTTGAATATTTGGTATTGGGGTATTAGGGAACGTTAGAGGGGGAAAGGGGGAGAAAGAGGGAGAGATGAGGTGGGCTCGGCGACGAGAAATCTGCGATCATTGGAGCTAGGAAGTGGAAAGTATAGCCGAGGCCAATTCCATCTGATGTAGCATCAGCACCCGGCCTTGATGTTAAAAGTCTAAGAACTTGAATTGAGATGGATCTTTGATCACAAGAGAGAGATTATGCCAGGATTTTGCAGATGTTTTCTCCCAATTGGACTATCTAGAAACGCGCGCTATACAAGCAAAGCCTCCGTCTAGGACCACTCCTTAAAGCTCTTCTGCCTCTGTCGGCTATTCCACTGCAATGTTCTGGAAATACTATCAATCCAATCCTTGCTCCTCCGGTCCAACGGCAGCACACTAGGAAACGGGAATCGTGAGGCGCTAATGGTTACATAATCTCCGGGTCTCAATTCGACTCTTTCTCTGCCATCGAAACTTGCCCATGAGCTTGTCCGAGCATCATAAGGCACACCTGCTCGGAGAACGATTGTGTCAGGGAGAATGATAGGCCGGAAGGAGAGCGTGTGCGCACAGATGGCTGTCACAAGGATGACGGGGTTATCTGGATGGCACAACGCGCCGCCAGCTGCGAGATTGTAGGCAGTGGAACCAGTGGGTGTGGAGACACATATACCGTCTGCTTGGACTGTGGTGAAGTGTTCGTCGTCGCCGAAAAGTTCTATGCTAGACATTGTGGGATTAGGCCCTCTGTCCACGACGACTTCATTTAGAATATTGTGCGTTCCTTCGGGCTTGTGTGTGTGGTTATCTTCACTCTCCTCACCAATTAGCTCTTCTACGAGGTCTAGGGTGGTGTTTCGGTTGTTTTGAGAGCGCATGATGGTAGCTTCGAACCGGAGACGTAAGCTGACCGTTATGCCTTCATCAAAGGCTCTTGATAGCGTTGTTGGATACAGATCGTAGTCGAATTTAGTGAGGAAACCTAGGGAGCCAAGGGAAAAGGCCAGGACTGGTGGTACGACTCGCTGGAAGAGCCACGAGGCATAGAGAACGGTGCCGTCTCCGCCGAGCTGCTGACCATCAGATGGAGTTATTACTGGCGCAGTATGATGCTTACTGCGAGTACGATGTCAAAGGTCTGAGGCTTCTCAGCGCACAACTTATTCGTCCAGAACTTCAGCCGCCCCCGAAATGATGGGTTCATTGTCAAGAGGCCCTCAGCATTGAATATCTTGTTGTTCTCCAGCGTGCTCTCAACGTAGCTATTCCTGGTAAGCTGGTGTGCACAATGTTAAGAGGAAGTGGAATTGTACACTCTGTAATTGCTATTCTTGGTTAACAGCCATTCCGTCGTCTCTCTCGTATGCGAAATAAGCGTTTCGTCATGCGCTTTCGCCAAGATGAAGACATTGTGCACGTTCAGCCTTATCCTGATCTGGGCAAGCTTCTTCGCCAGTTCTCTTATCCCAAACGCCATGTCCGAAATCTGCTTCTTGGTCAAGAGCCGCGAATGGTGGCTTTGCTCGATCTGTCCATTGTCCACCTTGCGTTCTTGCACGAGACCGTCATATGACGTATTGCTGTCCTTTATGAGCATACCATCATGCTTTTCAAGCAACGAATGTACGAAACATTGCGTTTTCCGGCGAACGTTGTCCGGGCGGGGAGCAGTAGAAGGTATGAGAGACGATTTTCGACGGTGAATAGCCTCGTTTTCGAAGACCACCTGAGCCATTAGCGGGGAATGCAACATTGACGTGATCGATATACCTCAAGTGGTTGCTGCCCTTCTTGATCGCTACTGTTCACACTTCGGTTGTCGTAATCCATAGAGTCTCCCTCAGAGTGGATGTAAGTCTCACGAATACATAATTCGATTAGAGTGGGGGTTACCTCGTTCGTCCCTCTAAGCTCTGTCACGCCGTTTTCCGAATTACCGGTAACCATACTCTAGGAGCTAACGTTCCAATATGTGGAAGGAATGGATATTGATGACAAGCGGCTTATAGACTCAGATTGCTTTGAAGTTGAGGTAACGCTACCGCGGGGGTGAGTCCCGCTTCAACCAATCAGCGTTGATGACGTCAGCCATTCAGCGTGCTTAATCATCCCCTGGTTTGAATGGCGTGCTGTGAAGTCATGACAATAGAATGCTCGACTTTGGGATGTGGGAAACAGTGGTAGGCTGTGTTTGAACACTGTTGGAAAGGATAAGATTGTGATTGCCTCAAGGGCCATAGTTCCTTCCTCGAATGTCCCATTAGCTTCACTAGGAGCCAGCCTCTCCTCGATTATAGGTCGAGTCGATGACTTGAATCAGGGTCGTGTCAATACTTTGTGGTTCCTGTTAGAAGCTGAGGTCATTCATAATGGAACTTCTACAGACTGTAGCACCTCTTCGATCACATCTTCCACTGTTACTCCTTCCAGAACAGCTTTCACGGCTTCCAATGAACTTCCCCATTGCATGCTTCGCTCATTCTCGGGCGCTGTGATAACAATCCGGTGGGGATAGATCTTGCGAGCTGCAAGTGCAACTAGAGATGGAGAAATATATGAGAGTCCGTGAAGCGGAGCCAATGCACTGACCATGTTAGCTTCTTTCATGTGCAGTTTAAAACTGGGAAAAAGGGTGAGCTTACTGGGCAAGGGTGTTGAAGTGACGGGTTGCCATCGCTGAAATGCCTCCTGCCACAGCTCGATGCAGCCGCATGAAGACGACAATGTTGTGAAGATATGATCGTACATCGGAGCTTATCCTGACTTCTGCAGTCAGGGCTGTGAGCTTTCCGATTTCCTAGTGCACATCAGTTGCAGTCGATCCTTTTTGGCTGATAAATTACCTCCAGCGAAAACACTGGCGCTAAAAACTTTCGCTTTTCAGCCAGCATGGGAGATGTCCGAACCACTGAAGACGTAGATGCATCGTCGTCAGATGCAGGCGCCTTGGTCTGAAGCTCTTCAAGATTCGGTAGACCATCATCCGCTTGATGCCTGTGGGATATGAAGAATTGGTCATTCTATAGAATATGAGTGATAGGCTGAGGAAAACGGTGTAACCCGTACCAAATGAGTCGTGAGCCGAGCAGTTCCACTGGGGTTCAACGCAATGAAGAGGAAAGGCCGCGGCGCCGCGTGCACGGCGGTCCTTGTGAAATTGCGTTTTCCACGAATAAGCTATATCTTTAGTTAATCGATTATGTTTAAATTCCAGGGGTAGCTCTTACCTCCAGTGCTTGAATTTGGACTTGCTGAGTGGACTTGTTAAGGTTCTGTGCAATGACGACATTGGCAATTTGGCGGCTATCTAGTGGGCTGAACGGCAGATGAGATTTTGATGTCCGTCTGTCAGAATACCTTGGGATCTCTGACGAAAACATAAAGGACTGGTTTGAAGTTAGAATTGTGCATCAGCCGTTGTGCAACGGTCATTCGTAAAGCGTCGGGCAGGACGGAGAAAAACTGACATCCTCTTTCGTCTTCCCATATCTGCTATTGAAATATCCTTCCCCATCTTCTTCTACGAGAATGCCATGACCAAAGTCATCTAATGAGGTCTGCTCAGAACAATCCAGAACCGAGCACTTAAGGCCGAATACATGGGAAGCAATCTAAATGATCAGTATGCTTTGTATGAGCTAAACCTAATGTATCCACATACGACTTGAAGCTCAGCTACTAGCCCACTCAATGTCTCTCCATCAGTTTCGATGATGCAGTGCTGATCTGCCACGAGGCAGAGAAGCACAGCAAGCTCAATGTCGCTCAGAGCTTGAACCTTCTCCACGATGCGTTCGTCAGCCTCTTCCATGAACCTAAAGGACACCTGTAGCGCAGCTGTGTCACATACAGGGGCGAGCGGAAAGACGTGTCAGCAGGTGGCAACAAAGCTGCGCTCAAAGGACTGCGGGGTGCGTTGGGAGACGGCGGTGGGGTGTAGGAAGCTATGACTTATCAAGACTAGCTCATGCGAACTAAGTCTAGCGTGAACACCTCAGCTCAACTTCATGTCTCGACGCGCCAGGCAGACTTCAATACCATATCACACCGCCTAAACACTTCCTTTCGCCGCCCGCTTGGTGGCAAATTGCCACTCAAAGGCGAAGCAGGGTAAGTGATTGGGAAGCTTACGACAGATGTGAGGTTCACGGCTTGTCATCCCGCCATTCCTTCCAGCCTTCTCACCCTTCTTGTCTTATCTCTTTTGCTCGCCACAACAGAGATGCTCCCCATATCACACTTTTCTCGGACGTCTCAATCCCGGCAGTTCTCATTTGCCACTTCGTCTTGCCGTATTTGTCACATCGTCGTCCTTCATTTCTCCCGAGCGCCAACGAGGCTCACCACCAAGATCTAAATGCACGCTTATCATTCTTGATCTTTTGGGGCACCCCAATCAGTTCTGCATAACCGTAGAACATTTCTTCGGGTTTCCTCTTGACATCTCACCATTTTCTTAAGAACGACTAGAAAGAGTGCTCGCCTACGAGACTTTAGATCTAGCACAGTTCGTCTGAAATTGCCTGCAAAAGGAGACAACAGTACGCTTTCTTCCTCCCCTCCGGGAGCTAGAATTTGGTGTGAGTTTTCTTAGAAATGCTTCACTCACGTATCTGCCTCTTGTACACCAAAGAGATTAGGGTACCAGTTGGATTTAAAAGCCTGGGAATTTGCTATCCCTATCAGCGCGGATTATTCCATGGTTTTATTCTATGGATTGCGCGAAGCTATTCCCCTTGGATTGCCGTTAAGGCGGACACGACACACCCGATCCTAGCTAGCGACGAGGACACCTACGACGACAGCAATTGCTTATTTTACGGAGCGAAACACGAGGCTGAAATTGATCACTGATTGGTATTCTACATCAGCTGACAGTGGTAACGGTTCGGCTAGGGATCGCGCCGAACCGCCACATTACAGTGGAACCGTCAAGTATTGGGCTCCCACGTTCGTGGTCCGCATTGCTGCCACCTAGGCGCTTCGACTGCGACGGACAAAGGCTGCTTTATCAACACACGGTGTCACCGGCAGCATTAGGATCTCACGTTGCTCCAGCTGCTGCAGCGGCATATTCGACCCGATCGAACGAGAATCCATTGGCGCAGATGTACCTCCAATCAGATTCTAGACCTTGAGAGAGCCTAATGAAGTAGAGGATAGTAAACTAGAAACACTAACCAGGCCTACTATTTGGAAGTGTGCATCGTCTCTTCAGGGCTCTCAGGGCCAACTTCTGACTCAGGGATTCAGACCGCTCTGGCACTCAAGAGAGCGGTAAGCGACATGTCTCGGCCCTTTACTTGGAGAATCTCTACGTAGTACTAACAGCAGGATGGCCCCAGGTGCGAAACATCCGGGCGTGCCGTTATGTGTTGTCGTCGCCCCGGCTGCTGTTCTCTCGGGCCAGTGAGTCTTGCCGTGGGTAAAATGACTACTACTGCCTGGGCGCCACCAAATTTAACTCATTTTTCTGCCAATGTAGGAAAGGGTTGAAGTTTCAACTTCGATGGGAACCCTGGGTTATCGCTTCACTGTTTCTCTGCCTTGCGGCAATGCCGCCGCCGCCGCTATCTACATCGCATACCAAAGTAGAATTTGACGACCTTATATGAAGACATTATGCAACACTTCTCACCCTTAAATCGTTACCCAGCCTCCTCTCACCTTGGAATTCTTAACATGTCGACTCAACCCTCTACACACGGGGGGGATGGCAAACTTGGCAACCAGTCAGTAGAGTTGTGCTGTTGCGGGATCCCACTAATTGCCACAGAGAGGGACAACACTCTAAATACCAAGCCGACCTACCTCTCCCACCTCCACCGAATGGTACAATTCTAGTCTTCTTGCCGTCGTCCTAGAATTAATTCCTTTCCAGGCTCCGCTTCCCAGGGTTTCAACTCCCAACAACGCAACTGCCCCTATCATTCTCCAATCCTTGAATGCAGCCCTTCAAACCCTCCCAAATTTCGTGGCGCAACCCCTTTGCACAGCTTTCTATACTCACCACCAGCCGAACAAGCTTCCTTGTTCATGCGACCGGATTCCGTGCAGTCCTCTTTGGCCAAGGGATGCACTTGCGGACGGCTGGACCAAATTATCATTGACGGCATAACTCACGACGCTATTAATAGCCTAGGTTCGATGCTGGGTACCCAATTTGAGGAAGGGTTGAAGAACTGGAGGAAGCAGTTCTGACTTTCATTCATAATCCCATCCTTTTGTTCAAATGTTCAGTCAATAGCTCGTCGGTTTGTGTTCTCAGGGTCTTCTCTTCGTCGACATTCCTTCGTTGGTCATTACGAAACTCTTGGCTATATATCTAACTCTATTTTATTTCATCATGTTCTAGAATGCTGCCTCGATACTGCTCAGTACGTTCGACTTGCTGGTTGCCTCTTCAGTGACATGCATGTCCTTGATACCAGCATCGTTACTTACTACCTCCTCCATGCAAGACCCAGCCGTGTTCAATCCTATCACCTACAGGAACGGGCTGGGTTACAGAAAGAGCATGCAAGGGTATATTTGACTTATGATTCATATGATCCTGCAGTTCGACATTATTAGGTATAGGTAAAGTATCACCCGAAATTCAAACGACATTGGGATAAGAACATCCCTGGTTGTAATGCTTGCACAAAGTGATACTATCAAGATGTCTTTCACGAGGCTACTGATATCTCCTCTAGCTTCTTTTTCGCGGCCCACTGCTTCTCGATGTTAATCTTTTCCAGTATCTTATCGGCCCCCTTCTCGAGCAAAGTTTTCGCGACATCTCTGCCCATGGTCTCCGCTTCTTCAACTGACCGGACTTTCTGCACTGACACATGTTCCACAGAGTCCTTGCCATCTACACTAACAACGATGGCTTTTAGAACTAGTTCTTGGTCGTCTAACTTTATTTGGCTGTCTTCAACCGCCTTCCTATTCTTGTCGTAATCCTGGGCAGTTTCGGTTCCGGTAGCAACTCCATTCCCGCCCCTCCATGTCGTTTCCACGCCAATCGGAACGCTACAGCCTCCCTCTAATGCTCTCAACAGTGCCCTCTCGGATGAGCAAGCTCGAGATGTCCGTTCACACCGGATCTTATTCAGCATCTCCTTCATCGCGTCATCATTCTTCCGAATCTCGATGGCCAAGGCTCCCTGTCCGACGGCGTGTAACATTCCCCCATTATCACTGCTTAGATACTGACTTATTCGATCTTCCATACCGAGCCTCTTGAGACCTGCTGCTGCGAGAATGATCGCTGCGAATGGAGAGTCTTCGGCATCGAGCTTGCCTAGTCTGGTCCCGACGTTCCCTCGGAGGTCCGCAAATTGGAGCGTGGAATAGAGACGTCGTAATTGGGCCGCACGGCGAATCGACGAAGTACCTATTGTGGCATTCGGTGGGAGTGTGGTGATTGTCGTGTTTTTCGGGAGTCGTGGCGAGATGACGAGCGCATCGCGGGGATCTTCGCGCTCAAGGATAGATCCCAAGATTAGGTTGTCGGGCAGTTGTGTTGGCATATCTAAGGACAGTTTAGGATGAAATGATATTTGCTTTGCAGGGTATCCATAGAAAGTACCTTTTAAGCAATGCACAATAATATCTAACTCCCCCTTCTCTAACATGGTCTCCAACTCACCCGTCCACAAGCTCTTCGCATTCTCTCCTTGACTCAATTGCTGCAATGGTGTAACCTTATCTTTGTCCCCCTGCGCCAACACAGCGCAGATGTTGTATGTTCGGTGCGGGTAGGCGTCTTTGAGTGCTTTTTCTACGGAGCGAGCTTGAATTTGGGCGAGAGCTGATCGTCGCGTGCCAATGTTGATGGGAGGAAATTGTGCGCGAGCAGAGGTTGAGGGACTCTGGGGAGTTATGTTGGAGGGCGTTGGGAGATTGGAAGCTGTTGCTGAGGCCATTGCCAAAGTGAATCCAAGGTGGTGGGGTCTCAGAGTTGTGAAAATGTGAGGGTAACTTTTGGATGGAGGGGCATTTATCTCAGCAAGCTCAGACGAGATGGGGAGAGAGCCTCGACAGGGGCAAGCCCCTGCTAGTAGCCTTAGTGGCGCAAGCCCCATCTCTCTAGCCAATAAGGGTGTAAGAAAGGCTTTCTCTCCCTAGCTGTCTAAGGGACTTTTATGATTTTTTAGGTGATATCATGGTTCTAAACCTCCTCCACCATGCACCAGCTCAACTAAGAATTACTGTAGCTTTACCACTTTTCGTCCAAACCAGGTTAGATTTTAATAGGTAATAGAGACAGTCTCTAGCTATATCCTAACATTTTTGTAACCTAATTCTAACAAGATTCAGCAGAGTATTGCGCCATTAAGTCCTACGCAGGACATTTTAATAACCCCACAACTACACCTTAATGCGACTTCCTAACCACACAATATATCATCTTTAGAATTTAAGACCTGTCTAAGACAGGCTCTATTAGAGAGCCTGCAAAATTTTAGGAGATCTAGGCCGCTAGTTATTAAGCTGGATAGTAGGCTAGGGACATCGCGATCGCTCTCATGTCTGCAGCT